GCAGCAGCAGGACCCAGCCAAGTACCATCACCAGCGATCCGTGGACCGCCAACCGAAGCAGATCAACTTATGCCCATCATACGCGAAGTCTGCCGAAGTCCCGCCACGGTCGTCGCGTTCTTCTCCAACGCCGACATATACCACCGCTCGCCCGGCCATCGCGCTCCCGACGACATCTGGCACCAACGTCTCGGACATCCTGCAAACAGTACAATGCTGCAAACCATCCAAGCCGAAGTGTTAGAACGTAACGCTCTTCTTACAACGAGCGGCCAAGAACTTCGACGACCACGCGCACGGTGCTTTACGTGCCCCGAAGCCGATCTTCCCCACCAGCCTTTTCCATCCCATCACAACCCAAGCGCACCTGCATACGCACCGATGGAAAAAGTCTACAGCGATATTTTAAACATGCCTCGAGAAGACACCGAAGCCGACTTCAACTATGTCATCACGTTTATCGACGCAGCAACAAGATACGTCTGGCACTACAACCTCAAGACGCGCGATCAAGCCTTCGACGCCTTCACGACATGGCTCTCCATCGCCGAACGAGAATCAGGAACCAAGCTCAAAAGCTTCCAGTCAGACGGTGCACTGGAATACAAGTCACAACGCTTCAGGACCTATCTGGCGGAAAGAGGAATCAGACGCCTGGTGTCTCTGCCCTACGCTCACCAGCAGCAGGGGGTCGCAGAACGCTTGAACCGGACCTTGCAGACGACGATGCGAAAGCTGCTCCTGGGGATGAGACTGCCCACCACACTGTGGCCAGACGCGATGACACATGCAGTCCACCTGCACAATCTGCTGTCCTCGTCATCGCTTCCCAACAACGCATCACCGCACCTGCTGTGGACACGAAAAAGGGGCAGCACAAAATTACTTCGAGTTTTCGGCTGCATGGTACAGTACAGACCCCACACAGCCCGAGCAGGACGCTTCACTCAACGAGCTCGGTGGGGACTACACCTCGGCATCGCCAAACATTTTCACGCATGGAAAATCCTCGACATACATGACAAAAATACCGTGGCATCACGTGATGTTATCTTCTACGAGCGACTGACGCTGCAGTATTACATGGACAACATTGCCAACACACACGACCCCACCGACGGCCTCGCGGGCCTTTGTTCCTTCGCCGACCGTGCTGCCGAGGCTGACGCAGCAGAAGAAGACGTACCTGGAGCCTCGGAAGCTGCCGGACCACTCCCTTTCTGTTCCGTACCTGTTCCACTCGACGAAGACAATCCTCTCGATAGCAACAACCTCAACACCTTTTACTACTTCGCTGACCAAGGTTACGTTACACCCCACCCCGTCGACACGAATGTTTCAGAACGCATCGGCCCAAACTTCTTACCTGATCCAGAAGATGGTGACGAAGCAGCTTATTCCGGGAATGAAAATTCCCCTCGACACACACCCACGGGACTACAGATCCTCGGCCTATGGGTCTCCGTCCAGCACCCGCCGCCGCCGTCTCCGCGCGAGCCCTCGACTCTGTCGCAGGCTCTGGGGGGGGAACATAAGGCGAAATGGAAGGAGGCGATGGAAAAGGAACTAAAAGCTCTTCAAGACCGAAATACATGGAAGTTGGTACCTACAACGAACATCAACGGGAAGAACGTCCTCTCGGGAAAGTGGGTGTACCGCATCAAGACCAACGCGGACGGCTCCATCGAATGATTCAAAGCTCGATGGGTCGTAGGAGGCTTCGATCAACGATACGGAACCGACTACACAGAAACCTTTGCCCCAGTCTCCCGTCACACCTCCCTGCGCATCAAACTCGCCGTCGCGGCCACGAAGAAACTACCACTGCGCCAAATCGACGTCGCAAATGCTTTCCTGTACGCACCTGTGGACGCCGAGATCTTCGTCGAGCAGCCCCACGGATTCATCGACGACCCTACAAAAGTATGCCAGCTGATAAAATCCCTTTACGGGATCAAGCAAGCCCCGCGGCTCTGGCAGCAGCATCTTCACGGTCGCCTCGTAAAAATCGGATTCCTATAGCTGCCGCATGACCAAGGCATGTACCGACTGCAGAACGGAAGAGAGTATATCCTACTCATCGTTTACGTCGACGACCTGCTCTACATCGGTTCCACTACCGACATCGCCACCTGGTTCGAAGGGGAGCTGAAAGGGGACTTGACACTCACGGTGTCCGACACAGTGACCCAGTACCTGGGACTGAATGTCGTCGAAGACAACTCGGCGTTCTACCTACACGCTGGAAAATACGCAGGCACTGTCGCGAAGAAATTCGGTCTAACGCCGACTACGGTCCCGACTCCCTACCGCTAGATGAACAACAGCAACACCTCCGCAAAACTCCCCGCGAGGCAAATCCAGGAGTATCAGCAGAAGCTCGGCTGCCTACTATTCGCAGCAGTAACCTGCCGACCCGATCTATCTTACAGCGCGAGCCAACTGGCGACGCATCTGAAGCAGCCGGAACAAGAAGATCTCGAGGAACTTAATCGGGGCACTACTCTACTTCGTCTCCACGCCGACGACTGGGCTTACCTACGGTAAAGTAACGACATCGTCCGTACAACTACTCGGTTGCGTCGACGCCGACCACGCGGGAGACAAGGGAAATCGACGATCGAGAACGGGCTATATCTACCGACTAGAACCTATCGGAACTATCTCCTGGCAGTCGAGCAAGCAGGAACTAATCGCACTATCTTCGGCTGAAGCAGAGTATATCGCGCTCTGTACTGCGACCAAGGAAGGACTCTACCTACGAGAGTTGCTCGAGGAAGCGAAGATTGCGACCCTGCCCGTCTTCTCACTCCTCTGCGACAACCAATCTGCGATCAAAATCGCGAACAAGGACGGCTTCGCCAACCGAACCAAGCACATCGCCCTGCGGTACTTCTTCGTCAAGGATGAAATCGCGAAGGGGAGACTTCAACTCAGTTACTGCCCGACGACAGAAATGGCCGCAGACTATCTGACGAAGAAATTGGCGAAGGCAAAATTCGATTAGTGCACGCTGCTGACCGGGCAGACAAACGTCACCGGATCTGAACACGTCAGCACTCCAGAAACGAAGGGGAGTGTTGGAAATATCTCAAAGGACTTAAGCGTTTCTGAAGTGTAACACTACACTCGAGGAAGATCGCAACGGGTACACGAGTCAACAGAGGTTACACGAGGGGGTGGACAAAGAACGCAAAGGGACTCGAAGGGTCGCAACTGGAGGTTGCGACTGACCGTTACAACAGCGCGGATGGTAACCGAAGCGACAATCGAGTCGCTGTGCGACTCGATAACCGCTCCTGCAACTGTATTCTACAACTGCCTTACTTTCCTATTTTCTATATATTGCTGTATGCTTGTTTCTTTAATCAATCACTTGTTCTCATATACTAGTACAAGGGTTCAACTGCCTCAACTTCCGCTGCACTACTCAAGTCTTTTACAACTAGGACTTAGTCTCTGGAAAGATCCTAAGGGCTTTTCTCAGCCCAACAGCCACAAATTACTACCACGACAAAATGTACCTTTGTACATTTGCCGATTTAAAGCCCATTCAATCATGGTCAATTTTCTGAATTACAAGTCCATGCCTAAATTGGCATCTCGCGACTGTGAATGAAGGTGAACGCCCAAGCTTGCCTAGCATTAAACAACCATTCACGCCCAGTCTGACAAAGGAATGATCCGGCATTAAATGGACCACGATTGGCTACAATCTATGCCATTTATGACACACCACTAAATGAGCAATATATATAAGTTTAATAACCTGATACTGCTTTAAATTTCCATTTCGAAGGCTTACATTTTTTTAGATGCTAGTGTACTGACGATGCTTTCTTTCCGGATATTTGCAGTGACCGATCCATGGCGTTGAGGAATTGGCTGAGGCTCGTTTCGCGAGCTCATTTCATAACATTGAGCCTCTTGCCCAAGGAACGGGAGCCGCTAGCGTTACAAGGTAGAGGCGCGATGTTATGAATAATCAGGGTAATAACATGTAGTGTAATAAAGGAGTCGTGATTCAAGAGCGTCGATACAAATGAGGGCCTAGGCATTTATAGGCACGAACAGAGCTAGCCGAGAACGACGCGAACAGGTTGGGGCGATTCGGTTGGCGAAAGCCACGGAAGCGCTGCGCGTCTAGGTTTGGGTTCGCAAAGTGGTTTGGGACGGAAGAAGTTGGCCTAGCCTGGACTTACGAGAGTCGAGGGCGTAAGCGTTGTAGTCGGGCCCAGTAAGGAAAAGGGAATTTCCTTACACCACCCCCCATTCCGGGATGAGACTTCTCACATCCATCAAACTGTGGCTCGCCTCGCCATCAACGAATATTTTGATGCGGGTGTCTCCAACTCTCCCTTCAACCACCACAGGGCGATCAACCGGTTCACCCCCCTTATTCAGTCAGGAATGGTCGATAGCCTAAATCGGCACTATAACCTGGTAGGGGTGTTGGCGTTTGGGCGACGCAGTCAAGTCAGTAGGTGGCCCATCTGCTACTGACGATCTCCATTTCCCGACTGGTTCTTATCGTTAGGTAAGTTCTTCACCGCATAGTTTATTCCCGCATAATTTCCCACTCTTTTTGTTATCTACGAATTGCCTGATCTATGGTGGTAAAACATGGCGGTGAGGACGAGCGCAAAGGAAGTAAGAGGTACTAGTAGGCAGTATAAGAACTTGGTTTGGGGATGGGATTGGGTTGAAACTGGGAGGTATAGGAGGGAAACGGAAACGGAATCAGTCAGTGACGGAATTCTCGATGTTTGTGAACAGAGCTCGTCAGTGCAGTACCGCGCACCAAATCCCCCGTTACCGCGCTCAATGTCACATCGACCTTTCCATGAGTTCATGGACAGTTGTGATTGGTCTCTCGTGAGCGACTCGCGGAGATTTTTGAGCTTGTGTCACCCTGGTTTGTTTTTTACACCTAAAACTTTTAGTCCGACGTTTCTGCGTGCGTGGCAAGTGATTGTTGGAGATCTTGAACGAAAACGGAAGTTGAAACCGCCGCTATCATCATGAAGACAATTTGATGCCACTTATAAAACAATGGGCTTACATAAGAGTAGTTCTCAAGACAGTTACTTGTTCTCAACCTGCAACTTACAACTTGACCCCACTTGGCCGCTAGGGGCAAGCCCCTAGCGTTCACCCGAGCACCACGATGAGGTGGGGGTCATTCGCTCGGGAAAAAGGGGGGAAAGGGGAAAAATTATTAGTTCTGCCACGGGCAGAAAACCACCTCAAGAAGGCCTCATGCTCACGAGGGGAAGAGAGGAGTGCTGCTGCTGCTGCAGAGTGGCGAAGGTCAATGGCGATTGTAACGAGCAGCTGCAGAGGAGGTTGCGAGGAGAGACCGTCCCTACTGTAACGCGATCGTCCTATGTAACGCCGTTCGGTAACGCGACCGTCCTATGTAACGCCGTTCGTTAACGCGATCGTCCTATGTAACGCCGCTCGGTAACGCGATCGTCCTATGTAACGCCGTTTGGTAACGCGATCGTCCTATGTAACGCCGTTCGGTAACGCGACCGTCCTATGTAACGCCGTTCGGTAACGCGTCGTCCTATGTAACGCCCTTCGGTAACGCGATCCGTCCTAGATAACGCCCTGCGATCGTCCTAGATAACGTGCCTGTAGTAACGCCGTCAGTAAGGTACCGTCCCCATACTTAACCTTTCCGCCCATCCATTCTCCTCTCCCCCTTGTGCGCATACCTGAGGTATGGCGGGAGGAGGGGAAGAGAGAGGAGGGAGTCATGGCGTCCGTAGCCTCCACCCTTGCCGAAACCTGCATCTTAGAGCCAACCGAAATAGGTTAGTACGGGAAAACAAAAAAAAACAGAAACGATAAAGCACGAAATTGATAGTACCTCAAAGGTCCGTCGTTGGCGTGGGGACCCGAGGAGAAGTGGGAGAGGGAGGGTTCGATGGAGAGGACAGGGCCGGGGCTGCCATGCCTCTCCACCTTCCCCTGCCCCCATCCCCCCCCACGACCCCCACAGGCCCCCCTTGGGCAGTCGTAAGTCTTGGACGGTCTTGGACGTCTTGGACGGTCTTCACTTGGACGTCTTGGACGGTCTTCACTTGGACGTCTTGGACGGTCTTCACTTGGACGTCTTGGACGGTCTTCACTTGGACGTCTTGGACGGTCTTCACTTGGACGTCTTGGACGGTCTTCACTTGGACGTCTTGGACGGTCTTCACTTGGACGTCTTGGACGGTCTTCACTTGGACGTCTTCGACAGTCTGCACAAACAGCTGGAAAAAACAAAGCCAAAAAAACCGGTCAGTACTGACCGGGAAAGAATAAGCTGGAAATTGCACTTACCGTTTAGGTAGTAGAACCGTCAGGCTTCGTCAGCGACACCATCGATGGAGAAAGGTGTCGACGGCGAGGGTCTTCGTGGCCTTGACGAAGCTCGTCAAGGCCATTCTCCGACCTTCGTTATCTTGGGAGGTATATGGACCTGCACTTATAAAACAACAGAGAATCATTGACTCGGTAAAGGAAAAGGCTAAAGGAAGGAACTCATGCTTACCGTGCTGAGCGGCGCGCCCGCGGAGATGGGTGAATTGGTAGCTGCAGACTTCACGCGGGACCATACCATATAGCTGTTACCTTAAAAAAAAAAGCTGTTACCAACTGTTTATAAGGGGGGGGTCCTTTGTGAGAGGTCCGCAGCCAGAGGAGGAGGATAATAAGGTAGGTGGTAAGAGGAGGAGGAAGCGGGTGGATGGTAAGAGGACGGGGTTGGCGTAGAGGAACGCCTCCAGGCTCCGCGTTGCAGGAGGAACGCTCAAGGTAACCTCAACGGAAGAGGAATGATCGGATCTAGAATCTCTCTGAACTTCCAAAACGGAAGAATATAAAAAAGAAATGACGGAGTGGGACTAAACTATATAGGTTATTCCGTGAGGGGAGGACCTCCAGGGACGGGACTTGAGAGACTGGTTTGGTGGTGCTGCTGCTGCTGCTCCTCGCCGCCATGTCAGAGCCGCGCCGTTGAATGTTTGACTTCACATACAGTTCAGCGGCAAACCGAAACGCGCACGCGGAGAATTTCGTGCAAGCCCTGACAAGCCTCACTGTAGCTGTTTTGGTTGGTGTACAGTTGTGTAGAGTGTTGATGTAGCTTGGTTAACTTTTGTGTTCTTTAGATTGAATTTGTTTTGATTTCGTTTCGTTTCGCTAAGCGCAAATGGTTTTTATTGGGTCAGGTTGGGAGAAGTGCGGGGCTGGCAAGTTCGTGAGGAAATCGTGGGGCAGGCACGAAATCCTAGGAAGTTGTTGACGTGGCACTATTTTTTATGCGTAGTGGAAACCAATTGTTTTGCGTGAGGTGCGGGACGGCATGGGTGAGGAGAGCTAGAGTTTGGCTGGGTTGAAGCCAGTGGCAGTTGAATTAAGCTGAGCTGCTGTTGCTGCTCGTTTTGCTTCTGGCAAACCACGCTTCGGGCAGATGAAAAACGTGGAATATCTGGGGGGAAATCTCGCGAACTAAAGGTTTCCTCATCATCACTTTGCGGTAGAATCACAAGGTCATCACCTGGACTTGACTTCACATCCACACCCCATATCGTCATGGAATAGTCAGTGCTAGACAAGACTGTTTTCGTAGTACCGTAGCTAGTCACACCTCGTAGCTTCGTACCGTGCCGTATTGTCCGCTTCAAATCGCCGCACTATTTGTGCCGCTTCGTATCCTCGGTAGTAGTGGCTTGGACAGACAGATCCGTAACTAATTTCAGTCACGTCAGATCTTAGTTCCGTGGCGTATCTTAGATTCTCATTCATAGCTAATATTGGTCGCGACTCAGAGATGAATTTCTTGGCTTATGCTAGTCGCGACTCTGATTTCGATTCCGGCGTATCCATCTCAGTAAGGTACCTAAGATGGTCCTGAGGCCATAGTTAGCAGCAGTAGCATGCTCGCCACTCGTAGATCGTACGCCTCACTCCGAAATGCTTGCTTGCCATGCGTTAGCCCTATCGTTGCCTCAACCCGAAATGCATTTTAGTGCTCAGATTTCGGCGCAGATTTCGGCGCAGCCCTGAACCAATCGCATCGACAATGTCGAGCTGACGAGCCTACTTGGTGACCTGCGGTGGTGGGTCCGCTACCGCTCGACCGGTCAATTGCGAGGGAAGGGACGGATAGCGGTAGGTGAAAGAGGGCGGGGGAGTGGGTAGTGGGGAGGGGAAGGGCTGGGGGGAGGGGAAGGGAGGGAGGAAGCGGGGGGAAGAGACGAAGGGAGTACATAAGTGGGAGGGTGGGAGGGGGAGGGACTGTTTTCTGGAGTTTTCTGGATGCAAGAGCATGACTGCGAGTTTAGGCCTTATCCTATATTCCCACCCCCGTTCCCGTTCGTCTTCCCCTTCCCCCGTCGTTCACCCCTCACCCCTCCCCCTCCGTTCACCCCTTCATCCCCCCGTCACTCACCTCCCATCCCCTCCGCCGTTCACCCCTCATTCCTCCCTTCGTTCACCCCTCACCCCCTCCCCCTCCGTTCACCCTTCATTCCCCCGTCACTCAGCTCCCATCCCCTCCGCTGTTCACCCCTCATTCCCCCCTTCACTCACCCCCCATCCCCTCCGCCGTTCACCCCTCATTCCCCCTTTCACTCACCCCCCATCCCCTCCGCCGTTCACCCCTCATTCCCCCCTTCACTCACCTCCCATCCCCTCCGCCGTTCACCCCTCATTCCCCCCTTCGTTCACCCCTCACCCCCTCCCCCTCCGTTCACCCCCTCATTTCCCCTTCACTCACCCCCCATCCCCTCCGCCGTTCACCCCTCATTCCCCCCTTCACTCACCTCCCATCCCCTCCGCCGTTAACCCCTCATTCCCCCCTTCACTCACCCCCCATCCCCTTCGCCGTTCGCCCCTCATTCCCCCCTTCACTCATCTCCCATCCCCTCCGCCGTTCACCCCTCATTCCCTTCTTCACGCACCTCTCATCCCCCCTCCGTTCACCCCTCATCCCCCCTTTTTCCCCCTTGCACCCTTCATCCCCCCGTCGCCCCTCTCTTCATCCCCCCGTCCCCAGGCCCTCCTCTTCTTCCCCTCGTCACCAGGCCCTGGACTTTACATGCATGCGCTCAGTGCATTCGGGCTGGTGGGAATATTGCGTCTCCTTCTCCCAATCCCTCTCCACCCCCCAGGACCGTTGCTCTCTATGCTATGCTCTCTGCATTAACCTCACCCATCCCATGTCATAGCCCCCCTTTTGGTATTAGTATTAACTGACTTCTCACCCGTTCACACCTTGTGCCCAACATACCACGGAACGGTACTGGCCAGTGTCAAGCACGGATGGATGGAGTGGATTTGCGTTTTACTGATGTGGCTCAATCGGCGTTAAAATCTGACTTGCAGCGTTAGAGTCATCAGCTAAAATAGCAAACCCCAGCCAAGTTCGGGTAAAAAAAAAGGATGGCAAGCTTTATACCACTTCCGATCATGATAGCCGAATAAATTTGATTTACAGAAACAGCCACAGGCTCAATTCGAACTTGCCCCCACCACACATCATGCTCGCGGAATGTCAGCATCTTTGCGCGCGCAAACATTCAACTGCGCTACGCCCAGACAGAAAACCTCGCAGCGCAGCGGCGGGCCCTTTGCAGACACGAATCTGCTGGGGGCTCTGCGCGTCACCGCGAAACTCGTCAGTTGTGGGCCCACTAAGATTGTTCTCAGCCGTTAGATGCATCGGGATTGCCCAATCTTCCGCAATCACTGGGGTTCCTGTCAGGTGTGCGGGGTTCATGGGGTGGCCTCCTGCTCGGGTTCGCAGAGCCGCGCGCGGTCCTAACGCGGATTTTCGTAGCTTTTTCTACGATTAGCGGTTACGTTTTTCGCGAAGGCTTTCTACAGGTGACGAAAAGCAAGTTTCTTCCGTCAACAATTAAGTTCGCGAAAAGTGACGGAATCAGTTATCCCCTCCGCCATGTAGGCGGCGGTTTCCGCCTGGGGCTCGAGGAACTTCCCCTTCCTCCTCATGCTCCTCCTCACCCGAAGCTACCATAGTGCTCTCTCTGGAAGGAAATTCGGAATTCCCAAGGTTCGAGAAACTGAGTTTCTCACACTCATGGCGTCCCTTGACTCCATGCCTCGTCGATTACCTCAGCATGAGCGCAGACTACGCTCATTCCGTACCGCTAGCTTGTTGACTAAGGATTTTAACGCTTATTTCTTTGAAATGCGAGCATAGCTCAAGCTTACGTCGCCACAGCTGCCGTCAAATATCCTTCCGTCAAATAGCCATCAGATTCATGGCAGATCCTGATAGTCCTGTCCCTTATGGTGAGAATCTGAGATTCCTATAGGCTGAGAATTTTACCGTTTATTTCTGGCTTACTTATTGCTTACGGGACTGCGTTCTGGTCGAAGTATCCGTCTTTCCGTAGTATGGTGGAGAGATTCCCGGTAGTTGAGCCAGCTTGTCGTTATTCGGATGATTTGCCGCTTACTTTCATATAAGACTGTTCTGACACATCAGCAACCTTCCTAGGCTGACACTTTGATACTTCTTAGCTGAGAAACCTAGTCTCCCTGCTGTTGACGGTTCTTCACGGCTTCACCGCTGACGGTTCTTCACGGCTCTAGTTCCCGCGAGTGCTTTCGCGGCAACGGCGCAACTCGCCGGACGGTTGAGCTTGAAATATCGAGCAGCAACGGTGTAAACCGCGCATACATGGACGGTCGAGCTTCGAGCATGGCGAACAGCACGCGAGTCAAACGGCGTCTCACCTGACGGCCAGACGACGAGTGGAGAGCACCGAGTGGCGAACGGGAGAGCGGCGAACGGTGAACGGGAGAGCGGGCTTGCACCTCCGCCATCCGCTCCTACCTCGCGGAAGCCGCTGCCCCTCTGCCCCTCCTGGAGAAGCTCGACCCCCAGCTGTCGCTCCTCCTCCTCACACGCTGCATCGGCCACCGAGAATCCTACCTCCTCCGCTCAACGCCCCCCCACCTACTGCCAGACACCTCAGCTGGGGGGAAAAGCTCTTCACAACGGCCCTCGCCACTTGCTCCACCCCTGCCCCACGCCATGCAGCCAAGAAGAGGCGGGTGTGGACCCAAGCCTCCTTGCCGCCGACCCTCGGGGGGCTTGGCATCACCGAACCCGCCGCCGAGGGTGGACACTCCTTCCTCACCTCGGTCGCTGCCGCTGCCCACCTGCTCGGGGAAATGCTCGGACGCCTGCACCCCGAGCTCGCCTCCCTCGAAGCCCGGACGTCGCAGGACCCGCCTAAGGTGCAGCGGGCTCTAGCGCTCGAGGTCCAAGCCGCCCGCTACACGACCCTCCTGGAGGGAAGCCGCCGCCTTCAACCTAACCCCCTCATTGGGCATACCCAGTAGCTGGCGATTGGCTCTGGAGATTGGCTGGAGATTGACTCATCGCCATCCCGCTCCACCCCTCCCTCCGTCTCTCCCCGGCCCACTTCGCATTTGCCATCGCCTTCCGCCTCGGACTGCCGCACACTGTCCCGGGGGTATGCGACTGCGCCGACCAAACCCCAATAACCGACCCCCGGCTGCCCAACCACCTCCTCCGCTGCAACACTGGCCCGGGGGGGACGGCCACCCACCACGGCCTCCGTGACGCTGCAGCAGCCATAGCCAAGGAGGCCGGCTTCATTACCCGCGTGGAAACCTCCCATTTCACGCGGGTGGCAGAGCTACGGGCGGATGTCGCCATCCGACACCCCTCCACGGGGGCCGTGTGGCTGTGTGACGTCATAGTCACCGACCCCATCCAGCCCCAAGACGACCGCGCCTGGAGGGGGACAGGCTATGCCGCTGCCGTCGCTGCCCGGGAGAAGGAAGCCAAGTATGCCCCTCCGGCCCGGCCAGAATGGGTAGGCTTCTTCCCGATGGCAGTTGAAACGTACGGCTGCACCCACCAAGGGGTCCTTGCCTACCTCCGCCTCTGCGCCGATCTTGCCGCCAAGAGACAGTTCAGCGCCGCCCCCTACTCCCGTGAGACGGCCCGCCTCTTCCATACCTACCGACAGAGGTGGGCAATTGCCCTGCAGCGAGGGCAGGCCGTTGCCCTCAACACCAAGTCCAACCGGGCCCTGCCTGCTGACGACTGGCCCGAAGGAGGACAGCCTGACCCCTTCGACCTCGACTACCTGCTCCACACTCTAGAACCCGAGGGGGAGCTCCCCTAGAGGGGAGGCTCCAGCCAGGCTAGCTTGCTAGTTTGCACCTGATTTGATATGCATGCCTTGCCTCGGATGTAACCTCCTATTCAATAATGAAGGACCACTCGACCAGCTGTGAGACCAGCTGTGAGACCAGCTGTGAGACCAGCTGTGAGACCAGCTGTGAGACCAGCTGTGCGACCAGCTGTGCGACCAACTGTGAGACCAGCTGTAAGACCAGCTGTGACATTAGTTGAGGGACCAGCTGTGAGATAAAATGTGAGACCAACTGCGAGACCAGCTGTGAGACCAGCAGTGAGACCAGCTGTGAGCTGTGAGACTAGCTGTGAGACGAGCTGTGAGACGAGCTGTGCGACCAGCTGTGAGACGAGCTGTGAGACCAGCTGTGAGACCAGCTGTGAGTCCAGCAGTGAGACCAGCTGTGTGACGAGCTGTGAGACCAGCAATGAGACCAGTAGTGAGACCAGCCGTGAGACCACCTGTGAGACCTCCCGGGAGATGGCCCGCCTCTTCCATACCTACCGACAGAGGTGGGCAATTGCCCTGCAGCGAGGGCAGGTCGTTTCCCTCAACACCAAGTCCAACCGGGCCCTGCCGGCTGACGATTGGCCCGAAGGAGCACAGCCTGAGCCCTTGGCCCTCGGCTACCTGCTCCACACTCTAGAACCCGAGGGGGAGCTCCCCTAGAGGGGAGGCTCCAGCCAGGCTAGCGCCTTCATCTGCATCCCACACTGCCGCTGTGCCAAGGGTAGCCACTTCTCGAAGGCAGCCAAGGCGTCACTCTTCTGCGCCAGCTTGTAGACCCAGACATACCGGGTCTTCCGATCCTTCAGCACCAGGAAGTAACGGCTCCCATCCTTGGTCCGCTCCCGAAAGGGTCCGCAGAGGTCTGCATGCACAACTCCAAGTACCTCATCTTCCTCGCCACCCATAGGAGGGAAGGTATGGCGAGTAATCTTCCCGCCCACACAAGAAGCGCAAGGCAGTCCCGACTTTCCCCCTTTCTCGAGTTCCAAGCCCATCACTGACCCATGAGCTGCAGTACGCCGATTGGTGTCAACACCAACGTGTGCGAGGCGAGCGTGCCACATGTCATCCGATGACCGCATGCCGGAGGCCAACGCCCAAAGTGCCACATTCTCGCCCACAGCACGCTCAGCAGGCCACAGCTGGAAGTCGGTACACAGCACTCGCCCCTTGGATTCCGCACGCCCCAGGAGGGAGCCATCAGGTGCACGCATGAGTGTCCGCTCCCCTGTATCCAACAGCTGCACTCCGGTATCCTGCAACTGCCCTAAGGAGAGAAGACTAGCCTGTACCCCCGGCACATACAGCACGTCCGGTACCAAGACACGCTTGCCCCCCTCTCCTAGGAGAGCAATGGTGCTCCTCCCTTGTACTGGCTTTATCGCGCCGTTGAACCCGCAAATCTGGCTGATGGAATAATCACTAATCAGCTCCACAAATGCCGCCCGATCTCCCATCAAGTTGTGGGAACAGCCACTGTCCAAAAGCACAACACTCGGGTTGGCCTTCACAGCAGCTGCAACAGCTTGCAAGCCTTCCCCGACCTCCAGTTCCGGTAAGATCGAAGACTGATGCGTTAGGATTGGTTCCACCATCGCGCAGGTGGACTGCCCTCCGCCCCCCGAACTGCTGCCTTCCTTGCAGTTGCCGCCACCCCCACTGGCACCTCAACTCCCTTGCCCTTTCTGCGCTACCTTGTCCTTGCGCTCTGGACAATGGAAAGCGACATGCCCTAGCTGGCCACATGAATAGCATTTCCCCTTGAAAGGCTTTCTCCCCCCTTTCTGCACTTCCCCCTTCGCCCCTTTTTCCTTCCCCTCTCCTTCTCCACTCCCGCTTGATTGCTTCTCCGATGGCTGTTGCACAGGAGTGGATGGGGAAGGGGCAGGAAGCGTATGTTGCTTTGGAAGAAATGATGGCTTGCCAAACCTCTTTGGAAAGGTCAGGTTTGCCTGGGGAGGGAAGAAGTCATTTCGCCCTTCTGCCGCCGAAGTGCATTCCTCCTCTATGATGTAACTAGCGAGGGTGTCGTCGTCTGTCTCGCCGCGCACCTGCGGCAGCTTCAGCATATGACGTACGAGGTTATATTGCAGTGGCAACCCCTTTACGGCGTGAGTAATGTACGACGCGTGCGAGTAGTCTACGCCGGCTATTCTTAGATTTACGAGAAGCTGCTGTGCACGGTTGCAGTAAGACGTGGTGGACTGGTGCTCTCCCATCTCGAGGTTAATGAGCGCTTGCTCTAACTGACCTATATACAAGTCATCCTTCGCCATGTACTTTCGCATGATAAACTGCCAGGCTTGCAACCCGACATCTACCTTCAAGCGACATGCTTTAAGGGCGACTTGCACTTGGGGGGAGCAACAACGAGAAATTGTCATAAACGTCAGTAACTGAGCAGCTCGAAATTGCGAGAGAAGTGCTACTGCGTGCTTCAGAGGAGTAGGGGTGGAACCGTCGATAAAGCGTTTGAGCTGAGCTATCTCGAGCTGAGGCTCAATCGATTCTACCCAAGATGACAGGTCGTGACGCCCTTCTAACGGCCTGGGCACGACAATCTTGTCAGGAGTGAATTAAAGTAGCCGAAGTCAGGTGCTATCCCGGCGTCTCTTGCCGCAGAGCGGTGCGGTATTATGCCGGGCATAACGCCACTATCGCGCTCCTCTACATGTCCTCCTCCAACAACGCTTCGCCGCCCTATCTTGTCGCGCTCGCGCGATGCTGCCGCTTGATGCACATGCTCCTGAACGCCACCCATACTAGCAGTGCTACCGCATATGTTTTCTCTGAGAACGCCACGAGCGAAACGCCGCTTGCTTGCCACACTAAATCTATCGTCATCGTCTCTAGACGTCGCCGACGCACCTTGCGAAATTCCAGCTTGCGCATTTTCCGCTACCGGAAGAGAAGGGTGGTCACGTCGCCACCTCGTTTGAATCCCTTCCAGCATTAGTTCATAATCTTCATCATTAAGCTCTCCGCGAGAAAGACACGTGTGAAGAATTGCCTCTAGCTCGTGCAGTTCAGTGACGTCAACATTCGCCTCCTCCGCGTTCGCCATTACTGCGGCTCTTCTACATACCAACTATCAGCTAGTATAAAGTGCTATTTACTTAATTCCCTTGTCTCGGGGTCACCTCACAAGGGTCCTCAGGCAAATGGTAAGTAAATACCAAAAGCCCTATCCTTGGGTCCAAGAACGTAACTGGAGGGAAATTAAATAAATCGCAACTTACACCAATGATAGTTCTCTGCTATAGCTGCAGCCTTCAAGACGAACGAACGAATGTAGTAGATCGATGACGGGGAAAATAGATAACGCGCGTGCTCGTTCCACGCTCATCGCACCATGAAGGAATGCTAAAGCGAGAGCGCTTGTAAAGTGTGGAGCGATTCTGACAGAGTAATGGTATTCGAATAGCGTGCTAGGCGTTGGTGGTATTTGGGCAGAGTTCGCCTTCAAGTACTTGGTCGAAATTCGAGTAGAGTAGAAGTTCACTAGAAAATTATGTATGTCAAAGTACAAAAAAGCATGCAAATATATAGGCAAGTGCAAACCCAACCAAAGTTGCGTGGCTCTCCGGGTGTAACCAACCACCCCGAATTTGCTGAAGGGTTGGGCGAACTCGCCTCGCCCAATTCTCCAACCCAACTCAGCAAGGTTGGGTTTGCCATGTATGCAACTCCAACCAGCAAGGCAAACACCGCCTTGCTCCGCACGGAAGTCCATCGCGATAGCTACGACTACTCATGAGTCGTCAGAGTCACTGGTCGTCGTGGGCATCTCCGGACCAGTCCACACAAACTAGACTTGGACTTCGGATGCAAGGATTAGTCCGTGCACTTTGGTCATGCCAAACCACAGCTGCCAGGCAATCGGTGCACCGACATAAGTCGGTCAACGCCTGGCTGCCCGCATCTGCAGTAGGGCTTCCAACACTTTCCCTGCCCCCTCTCCCCTCCCCTCAGCAGCTTTTAGCCTGCCTTGCGCCCGTCCTCCCCCTCTCCCCTCCCCTCAGCGGCTCCCAGCCCACCTTCGCCGTTCCCCCCCTCTCTCCTCCCCTCCATGGCTCCCAGCCCGCCTTCCGCCCGTCCTCCCCCTCTCCCCCCCCCTCAGTGGCTCCTGGCCCACCATCCGCTTGTCCTCCCCCACTCACCTCCCCTCTGCGGCTCCCAGCCCACTTTTTGCCCGTCCTCCCCCTCTTCCCTCCCCTTAGCCAGCCCCCCTTCCGCCCGTCCTCTCACTCTCTCCTCCCATCAGCAGCTCCCAGCCCGCCTAACGCCCGTCCTCTCCCTCTCTCCTCCCCTCAGCAGCTCCTATGCCGCCTTTCACCCTTCCTCCCCCTCTCTCCTCTCCTCACTGGCTCCTAGCTCCCCTTCCGCCCGTCCTCCTCCGGTGGCAGCAGCACGCGCCGCCCGCAGCAGCACCACCTCCTCTGGCGGCAGCAGCACGCGCCGCCTGCAGCAGCACCACCTCCTCCTGCGGTAGCAGCACGCGCCGCTCGCAGCAGCACCACCTCCTCCGGCGGCAGCAGCACGCGCCGCCCGCAGCAGCACCATCTCCTCCGGCGGCAGCAGCACGCGCCGCCCGCAGCAGCACCACCTCCTCCGGCGGCAGCAGCACGCGCCGCCCGCAGCAGCAACACTTCCTCCGGTGGCAGCAGCAAGCGCCGCCCACTGCTGCCTGCACCTCCCTCAGGCGGCAGCACCACGCGCCTCCCGCAGCTGCACCTCCCTCCGGCGGCAGCACCATGCGCCGCCCGCAGGAGCACCGCCCTCCGGTGTCAGCACCACGCGCCGCCTGCAGCTGCACCTTCCTCCGGCGGCAGCACCACCCGCCGCCCGCAGCTGCTCCTCCCTCCGGCAGCAGCACCACCCGCCACCTGCAGCTGCTCCTCTCTCCGGCGGGAGCACCACCTGCCACCCGCAGCTATTCCTCCCTCTGGCGGCATCACCACACGCCTCCCGTAGCTTCACCTCCCTCCGGCAGCAGCACCACGCGCCAACCGCCGCCGCACCTCCCTCAGGCAGCAGCACCACGCGCCGGCCGCCGCTGCACCTCCCTCCGGCGGCAGCACCACGCGCCGCCCGCAGCAGCACCTCCCTCCGGCGGCAGCACCACTCGCCACCCGCAGCAGCACCTCCCTCCGGCGGCAGCACCACGCGCTGCCCACAGCTGCACCTCCCTCCAGTGGCAGCACCACGCCCGTCCGCAGCAGCACCTCCTCCGGTGGCAGCACCACGCGCCACCCGCCGCTGCACCTCCCTCCGGTGGCAGCACCACGCGCCAACAGCCGCTGCACCTCCCTCAGGCGGCAGCACCACGCGCCGCCCGCCGCTGCACCTCCCTCCGGTGGCAGCACCATGCGCCGCCCGCAGCAGCACCTCCCTCCGGCGGCAGCACCACTCGCCACCCGCAGCAGCACCTCCCTCCGGCGGCAGCACCACGCGCTGCCCACAGCTGCACCTCCCTCCAGTGGCAGCACCACGCCCGTCCGCAGCAGCACCTCCTCCGGTGGCAGCACCACGCGCCACCCGCCGCTGCACCTCCCTCCGGCGGAATCACCACGCGCCGCCCGCAGCACCTTCTTCAGCGGCAGCTCCACGCGCCGCCAGCAGCTTCCCCTCCTCCGGCGGCAGCACCACTCGCCACCCGCCGCTGCACCTCTCTCCGGCGGCAGCACCATGCACCGCCCACAGCTGCACCTCACTCCGGCGGCAGCACCACCCACCGCCCGCAACTGCTCCTCCCTGCGGTGGCAGCACCACGCGCCACCCGCAGCTGCACCTCCCTCCGGCGGCAGCACCACTAGCCGCCCGCAGCTGCACCTCCCTCTGGCGGCAGCACCACTAGGCACCCACAACTGCACCTCCCTCCGGTGGCAGCACCACGCGCCGCCCGCAGCAGCACCTCCGGCGCCAGCACCACGCGAGGCCCGCAGCTGCCCATCCTTCAGCGACAGCTCCATGCGCCGCCCGCAGCTGCCCCTCGGCCGGCGGCAGCACCACGCGCCGCCCGTTGCTGCACCTCTCTCCGGTGGCAGCACCGCGCCTAGCAGCACCTCGTCCGGTGGCAGCACCTCGCACCGCCCGCAGCAGCACCAAGCGCCGCCCACAGCGACACCTCCCTCCACCGGCAGCAGCACCAGGCGTTGTGAGCAGCAGCACCTCCTTCGAGAGCAGCCGCACGAACCGCCCATAGCAGTACCTACTCCGGCAGCAGCACCACCTGTGTCATCTGGGGGCAGCACCATGTGCCGCCCACACGCTACACCTCCCTCCTCCGGTGGCAGCACCATGCACCGCCCACAGCAACTCCTCCCTCGTCCGGCGGCTCCACTACGCGCCGCCCGCCGCTGCACCTCCCTCCGGCAGCAGCACCACGCGCCGCCTGCAGCTGCACCTCCCTCCCAGGAGGCCAGCACCACACGCGCCACCTGCAGCTGCAGCTGCCCGCGTCGTCCTCCGGCGGTAGCTTCCTGCACTCCCCCCGTCCTACTTCGGGGGCCCGCATCCTCCTCCCAGACCCAATGCTTCAGGGGTTGCCTCTTTCCCAGACTTCTTGCTCTATGCAGGCTAAGGGGTTGTGTTAGAATATATCGCCCACTCTTTTAGCCTACATAGCTAATAAGTCTTGGGTTGTTATAAGCATCGTATTATAGCTTGGGTATAGTTACCCTAGTTGGGGATGGGATCCCAAAGTTGGGTTCTCATCCTCGCCATTCTCGGCCCTCAATTGGTTGAGTTCCCGATTATTGGCCATCCCCAATTAATCTGGCCACTCTGGCCAACATTATTGAGGTTACCAATAAGTCGGTCAACCTCATTGGTGGGAAACCCCAGTCCCCACATTCCTATGGCCTTGTGCTCTCCTCTTTAATCAACTATTCAAGTTCACTCTTTCTCTCACAGAGGACAGCAGAGGACAGCATTGGACAGCAGGGGGCAGCAGAGAGCAGCACAGGACAGCACAGGACAGCACAGGACTGCACAGGACACCAGAGGACAGCAGGGGACAGAAGAAGACAACAGAGAACAGCAGAGAATAGCAGAGGACAGCAGAGGACAGCAGGGGGCAGCAGAGGATAGCAGAGGATATCACAGGGCAGCAGAGGACAGCAGAGGACAGCAGAGGACAGCAGAGGACAGCAGAGGACAGCAGAAAACAGCAGACGACAGCAGTTGACGGCAGAGGACAGCACAGGACAGCACAGGACAGCAGAGGGCAGCACAGGACAGCACAGGGCAAAAGAGGACAGCAGATGACAGCAGAGGAAAAGCAGAGGACATCAGAGGACAGCAGAGGACAGCACAGGACAGCACAGGACTGCACAGGACAGCACAGGACAGCAGAAGACAGCACAGGGGAGCAGAGGACAGCAGAGGACAGCAGAGAACAGCAGAGGACAGCACAGGACAGCACAGGACAACAGTGGACAGCAGAGGATAGCAGAGGACAGCAGAGGTGAGCAGAGGACAGCAGAGTTGAGCACAGGACAGCAGAGGATAGCACGGGACAGCAGAGGACAGCAGAGGACAGTAGAGGACAGTAGAGGACAGCAGACAACAGCAGAGGACTGCAGAGGACAGGAGAGGGCAGCACAGGGGAGCATAGGACAGCAGAGGACAGCACAGGACAGCAGAGGATAGCACTGGACAGCAGAGGACAGCAGAGGAAGAATGGTGCAAGAGGTCGGCCTATGTGGTGATGATCCACTTGGCGACCTCAGCCGGGGTGATGCGCTTGTCAATTAGCTACACGTAGGCGATCTTGTGGGTGTCGAAGGCAGGAGACAAGCCTTCAATGAGGTGGCAGCAGAGCACAGGGTCCAGGTACAGCACGCCAAGAGCCGCCAGACGACGAGCGAGGTCGAGGACACAACGTGTGAAGGCAGCTGTGCCAATGGTAGAGTCCATGGTGAGGCTCTGGAACTCGTTGATGAGGGATTAGAGGGTGGCGATGTCCTGCCGATCATAGAGATCGGTGAGGAGCCGCTAGAGGTGGGAGCAAGCTCCTGCTTGAGGGTGGGAGGAATGGTGGCGAGGAGGATGGTGAGCGCGCACCGATCAGCGATATGCCTGGCGTCGAGGTCAGTGATGTATGTGCCCTCGCGCCTGGCGTACTCCGCGAGCGCCGCCTGGTACGCGTCGTAGGCGGCAGTGGCGGCGTCATGCTTGGCGCGGGAAGCCTTGTAGATATACTGCTGGCGGACGTGGTCGGTCAGCCCGGCGCGGTAGGGTGCTGGTGACGGTCTCTGAGCTCTGAGGGTCGTTGACGACAGGGGCGAAGGTTGGACGATCACTGGGGCTGACCGGAGCATTGCCAGGAGGAGGAGGTGCAGGGCCCGTGGGAGCATCCGGCTGGGCAGGCTGAAGATTGCGCTCCTCGAGTTGGACAACGGCTTTCAAATTGTAGACTCTGACCGTCACCGAAAAAAGAAGCACTGTGACCGTTTGGGCAAAGGAATGCCAATTGGTCGCGGTGTTATCGGGCAGCAACTCGAGTGCGTCCACGGAGGTGAGATCCGCTGAGGAATCGGACGTTATTGAGCAGGAGGAGGAGGGGGAGGAGGAGGAGGAGGGGGAGGAGGAGGAGGAGGGGGGGGGGGAGGAGGAGGAGGAGGGGGGGGAGGAGGAGGAGGAGGGGGGAAAAGAGTTGGTGCGCGGCGACGTAAACGAGCTGCGCAACGCGCTCCAAGGGGGATGCGGCGACGGGCAGCACAACGGGAGGGCACGACAGACGATTGCTCGCGACGGCAGAAGCGACGATCGCCCGCGACGGCGGAATCGTTGACGGGGGCGGTGAGCAAGGGCGCGATGGAAGGATTCGTCGGCGGGCGTGCGCGGGGGCCGTGATGAATGGGCGCGCAGTGGGAGAGCGTGACAGATGGCCTCACGCAACGGCGGAGGGCGCACGACAAGAGGGCGCAGCGAGGGGACGCGTGAGGAGGATTCGACCGGCGGAAGGGCGTCGATAGGCGCGACGGGAGGTGTGCGACGAAAGGGAGAGCGTGCGCGATAGGAGGCGCGCAACGGGAGGGGCGAGGGGGCAGCGGGAGAGCGCGACGGGAGAGGGCGCACAGACGACGCAGGGAGTAGCCTGAGGAAGGGCTATGCTTCAAGGACGAGGAGGGACGGCTTGGGGCCGTGCTAGTTATGATCGACTAGAGGTGGCGTGAGCCATTGTGGCTATGATTACCATGAAGGAACTAACTTTCAGGAGAAAAGAGTGAATTGAGTAGGGAGTCAAGAGGCTCTATTGTACAAACAAGGAGCAAGGAAGAGTTGGAAGGGAAGCTCTCCTATTGGCCATGATGTGGACCAATGGGAGAGGTTGCTCGGAGGGCAAGCAACCACAAAGTGTGGTGCTCTCCGATTGGCCACAGTGTGGACCAATGGGAGAGGTTGCTTGGAAGGCAAGCACCAAGTGTGGTGCTTGGTGATTGGTTGGTTCTTAGGACCATTCGGTTGGAACAGTGCCAACCAAATGTCTAGGACTAAATCCAATCTTGACCCCAAATGTGGCGTTGGTCAACCCAATAAACAACCACCCAATAAAAATAATGACTACACCTCCTAATCTAGGCATGCATGCTGTATATATATATTTTACAACAACACCAGCTGTGAGACCACCTGTGAGACCAGCTGTGAGACCAGCTGTGAGACCAGCTGTGAGACCAGCAGTGAGACCAGCAGTGAGACCAGCAGTGAGACCAGCTGTGAGACCAGCAGTGAGACCAGCTGTGAGACGAGCTGTGACACCAGCCGTGAGACCAGTTGTGACACCAGCTGTGACACCAGTTGTGAGACCAACTGTGAGACCAGCTGTGAGACTAGCTGTGAGACCAGCTGTGAGACCTGCTGTGAGACCAGCTGTGAGACATGCTGTGAGACCAGCTGTGAGACCAGCTGTGCGACCAGCTGTGAGACCAGCTGTGAGACCAGCTGTGAGACCAGCTGTGAGACCAGCTGTGAGACCAGCTGTTACACCAACTGTGAGACCAGCAGTGAGACCACCTGTGAGACCAGCTGTGAGACCAGCTGTGAGACCAGCTGTGAGACCAGCTGTAAGACCAGCTGTGACACCAGCTATGACACCAGCTGTGAGACCAGCTGTGACACCAGCTGTGACACCAGTTGTGAGACCAGCTGTGAGACCAGTTGTGAGACCAACTGTGAGACCAGCTGTAAGACCAACTGTGAGACCAGCAAATGAGACCAGCTGTGAGACCAGCTGTGAGTCCAGCTGTGATACCAGTTGTGAGCCCAGCTGTGAGACCAGCTGTGAGACCAGCTGTGAGACCAGCTGTGAGACCAGCTGTGATTCCAGCTGTGAGACCAGCTGTGAGACAAGATGTGAGACCAAGTGTGAGACCAAAAGTGAGACCACTTGTGGGACAAGCTGAGAGACCAGCAATGAGACCAGCTGTGTGACCAGTTGTGAGACCAGCAATGAGACCAGCTGTGAGACCAGCTGTGAGACTAGCTGTGAGATCATCCGTGAGACCTGCAGTGAGATGAGGTGTGAGACCAGCGGTGCGACCAGCTGTGAGACCAGTTGTGAGACTAGCTGTGAGACTAGCTGTGAGACCAGCTGTGAGACCACATGTAAGACCAGCTGTGAGACCAGCTGTGTGACCAGCTGTGAGACCAGCAATGAGACCAGCTGTAAGACCAGATGTGAGACCAGCTATGAGACCCGCTATGCGACCAGCTGTGAGACCAGCTGTGAGACCAGTTGTGAGACAAGCTGTGAGACCAGCTGTGAGACCAGCAGTGAGGCCAGCTGTGAGACTGGCTGTCAGACCAGCTGTGAGACCAACTGCTAGACCAGCTGTGAGACCAGCTGTCAGACCAGTTGTGAGACCAACAGTGAGACCAGCCGTGGGACCAGCTGTGAGATCAGTTGTGAGACCAGCTGTGAGACCAGCTGTGAGACCAGCTGTAAGACCAACTGTGAGACCAGCAATGAGACCAGCTGTGAGACCAGCTGTGAGCCCAGCTGTGATACCAGCTGTGAGCCCAGCTGTGAGACCAGCTGTGAGACCAGCTGTGAGACCAGCTGTGAGACCACCAGTGAGACCAGCTGTGAGACCAGCTGTGAGACAAGATGTGAGACCAAGTGTGAGACCAAAAGTGAGACCACCTGTGGGACCAGCTGAGAGACCAGCAATGAGACCAGCTGTGTGACAAGTTGTGAGACCAGCAATTAGACCAGCTGTGAGACCAGCTGTGAGACCAGTTGTGAGACCAACAGTGAGACCAGCCGTGGGACCAGCTGTGAGACCAGCTGTGAGACCAGTTGTGAGTCCAACAATGAGACCAGCCGTGGGACCAGGTGTGAGGTTTAGGAAGGAGAAAAGTCGAGAGAGAACAGAGTGCTAGGACTAGAAGAGAAGGAGATACAAGAAGAGGGTTTGTCCCCTCTACAATAGGATGTAGTAAGTAGCACAACTACCAAGCCTACAATTATATAAGGTATATAATTGAACAAGAACCCAATATTGGTTATGTACGACAATGTAGTCTCATATATAGACCTGAGTGTGTCGTGGCTCTGGGATAACTCCGTCGATCCTCTCTCTCTGTTTAGGGAGGGTACTGGGGAGGCTTTACCCGGGGAAAGTGGATATATGGAACCTAACCCTCCCGATGACATCCCTTCTTGTCCTGGTAGTTAGGATTGGTGACTTTCTGACATGGTATCAGAGCCATCCGGGGTTCAAGTCCTGGTGTACACGCTATTCCAGCGAGGGGGTGTGTCGTGGCACTGGGATAACATTGTCGAACTCTCTCCTTGTCTAAAGAGGGTACTGGGGAAGCTTTCCCCAAGGAAAGTGGATATTTGGAGACTATACTCTTTATGACATCCCTTCTTGTCCCAATGGTTAGGACTGGTGACTTTATGATAAGAGTGTACATATATATAGTGTATACTTAGTGTTGGAAAGCTCACCTAGGGCCTTGGGTTCTAAAGCAATCCAATAGGAAAGGGTACGCAAACAACTACTGCCTGTATGTACAAGTAGGTGCTAGTAAGCGCACGCTCTTGAGATATTTCGTTACGCCTCTAGTGAGCCACGGCTTGAGCTGGAACCTTGGGTCCAACCGTACGTCTTGGTGAGGCGAATCTGGGTGTATGGTGTACAGCAGTGCGTCATGGGGAGAGAATAATTAGGGAGGTAGGCCAAGACGAGAAGCAGGCGGCGAGGAAGTTAGGGAAAGATCAAACGGCAAGGCAGTGTGGGCTGCGGGACGAGGGCAGGAGGGAGATAAGACTGAGTTGAGAGGGGAAGGAGGGAGAGAAAGAGGGAGGTGGGCGGGTGGGATAGAAATGGGCCTGCTTGAGGGAGAGGCCCATACCTGTGCGAATGAGAAGATGGCTCGGACGACACGGGCGTAGTCTGTGCCCAGAGACTGCACCACCACGTCCGCTATGAACGCACCCCACAGCCTGATGGGCGCCAGTGCAGCGTTGGCAGGGAGAGGAGAAACAGCAGGGTTGAGGGAACAGGAGGACCAAGCAAACAGCAGGGTGAAGAAAAGAAGCCAGAAGAAGCAGAGCTCACGCAAGGAGGAGAGTGAAGGCAAGGGAATCAAGAGGAAGAGGAGTGAGGGAAGCAAGGCATGTAGACGAAGCAAGAGGAGGGCAGGCATGGAAAGGGAAAAGGCGAGGAACTTACAGGGGCCCGAGCAGAGCCATGGCGCTCCTGAGGCTCACATAACGAGCCGTTGCTGCCGCCAGGCCCTGCACAGGGTAGAAACACAGAGAGAAGAAGAAAGAAGAAAATGCTTTAAGCTGTGGGGCCGCTTTTGAGCCTCTTCAAACGCCATGCCCTGCACAGGGTTAATAAAGAAGGAGATGAAATAACTGCTTGCTTTGAGCCATGACCCACGGGTGCATCCCAGGAGAACAGCTTGTGACAACGGTGCATGCCACGGAAACAGGGGGCGTGGCAGGCAGAGCCATGGCTACACTTCACCAGCGAGCGAGTGCATGCGAATAGCAGCAGCAGTGCAGGCATGAGGTGACTCGCTCCTACCTGCTTGGCACTGTAGAAGGCCAGGCGAGACTCGATCGTGGACAGCACTAGCTGGCCGCCCTGTCAAGGGGAAACAAGATGGGATGGGATGTATGGGCTGGGTGAAACAGGAGATAGAGGGATGGGACATCTCGCTCCAGCAATCCACAGCTAAGAGGGGCGAGCTAGAGGGGAAACAGGAGGTTCCGGATGGGATGTCTGGGCCAGGTGGGCGGAAGAGGAGGAGCGCACTATGTGCTGACTAGCAAAACAGTTTGCCAGTCCGGTTCAGTTTCTTTCGAATTGGGTGACGCCATACGAAAGGAATGCTGGTGCAAGGTTAAAATTAAATGCGATATCTACGGGGAAGAGCAACGAGAGGGAGCATGTACCCGTTTTAGAGCCATCTGCGTGACTTCAAACTTGGCTCGCTCGTACAGCACGCGGCCAGTGATGCGCGATAGCAGCTGGCAGAGAGGGAGAGGAGGAGGTCGATAAGGGGAGGGGAGAGGACTGAAGCAGGGGAGGGCAAAAGTACGCAAACAAGTTTAAGAAGCACCAGGACAATAAGGCGGGAACCTTAAAAGGCGTGCTGCAGAGAAGAGAAAGAAAAGAGCTCAACGAGGCGGCATGACGAGAACCAAGGGCATCATGAGCACAGACATGAGCATTGGAAATGCGTGATGTATTGAGATGACAGCAAGCCATGGAGAAGAATGAGAAAAAGCACGCAACCTCGTAACCATCTAGAGGATAGTCAACCAGTACCAGTACCAGTTTCAAGCCTAAAGTCGATACTTAAAGCCAACAACTTGTACACGATCTAAGCATACCAGCTTCTTGACGGAAGTGAGCGTTAAAGCAGACCCGCCCTTGAGAAACGTGGCGAGGATCTCATCCCGCCCCATGCGCATGGCAGCCCGCACACCGCTGCGCAGCGTCCCCACCGCCCATGACCGCAACCCCCCCTCCTTGCCTCTCTCCTCCTCCTCCTCCTCATCCCCCTCGTCAAGCCCCAAGTCCCAACTGCTGTCTCTAGTCTCTTGGCTAGCTCTTCTACTGCCACTTGCACTCCCACTCTCGCGGGAGGCTTTCCCCTCTTGCCCCATGGCCCACTCCCCTGCTATGGCCCATGGGCTGCCAGTGCTGCCAGTGCTGCTGTTGCTGCCGCCAATATCCCTGCGAGGAACGGGGTACAAGAAGAGGGCGGCGAGGGGAAGTGAGTTCCTTGAATTAGATTAGAATCGATGAGCTTGGAGACCTGAGTTAAGATTGACCGTGGGTTGCATTTAGAATAGCTTGAAAAAAAGAAAGAGAGCGAGAGGCGAGTCTAGAAAATTGACAACCTTGTGAGAGTAATGTGATAATAATCAAGTCACGCCTTCTAACATACTTAGAACAAACTCACTCTTCCATGGTGTCAGCGTAATTGTTCAGCAGGTGCAGAAATATCTCGCTCTCTAAGTCAGGCGTCGACAGCACCGCACTGCACCGCACTCCCAGCCGCTGCCGCACTGTCAGCAGCACATCTCGGTACGACGGGCGATTGCCACTGAGAAATCAAAACAGAAAGGAAACGAAAGCGGATAAGACAAGCGCGAGCAGGGTAACACAGAGAGGACGGAAAGCTTTATAAGGCGCCTTAAAAGCTAACCCCGTACAAGGGATCGTTGCCCAGCCTCACTCACGTCACGGTGTCTCTAGCATCGGCAGAGGGGAAGAAAACGCGGGCCTCCAGCCCCTCCCTCTCCAGCCTCTCTCTGTACTTGACTGTTATACTCACCTCTCTTCCTTCCTACCAGTCTCTGCCTGCCAGATAAAATCACGGCTCACCACTAGTCCGTTTCTAGTAGTCCTTCGCTCTCCCTCCCCGCCTCCCCGCCTCCCCGCCTCCCTCACTCACGTCACGGTGTCTCTCGCATCGGCGGAGAGGAAGAAGAAGCGTGCCTCCAGCCGCTGGATTAGATCCGCCCTCTCCAGCCCCTCGCTGCTCTCCCCGAACGCCGCGCTGAACAGCTGCGCGGCGGACGCGGAGCCGTCCCCCGCCGTGATGGACTTGAACACCGGGCTGAAGAGGCTGCGGCCGTAGAGAATGTCCCACAGCTCGCGGAGCTCCTCGTCGCTCGCCAAGTGGAGCACGAACTCCACGTCATCCTCGAACCACGCGCTGCTGCCGTCCACGTCACCCAGAGCCATGCCCTCGCGCGCAGCTGCTGCTACAGTATTGCCGCGTCTCCTCGCTGCTCGGCCGTTTTTCCTGCTTCCAATCTCGCGCGGTCCTGATAAAGCAGCGGGAGAGGACTCGGGCTCGCCATCGCCGCGGTTCCACCCTGATGCAGCGGCGACGACGGAGAGCGCTGGGGGGAATGGAAAGCGGAGTAACGGGAAGATTTTCGTGGAAGGAGTAAGTTACGAACGCGAATGAGTATATAAGCCTATTGCGGTGACGACTCGCACAGGTTTGGCAAGAGGGGACGACTGGGGAATGAAAGAGAAGGGAACCGGGGGGGCTTTTCGACGAGAGAATTTAGAGATCAGGCAACTATCTACGTTCCAAGTTCGGACGAGAAGCCTAACAGTCCTGATAGTCAGCGCGCCGTGTGTCAACCACCGCACAGATCCGAAACGAGACAGCTTCAGATCGTGATTTCCCAACTTGAAGCAGAGACGCACCTCGGAAGCTTCTGCTGCGGTTTGGCTGATGGAAGTTACCACGCCTGGCTTTGGATCCAGCGGTTGGTGAGAGCGACTGCCGCAATTGCTGCAATTGCTGCACACGGGTAGCCGAGTTGGGCGACGATGGCAGAATATGAGTTACTAGCCATTGGTAACTCAGTGTGCGAAAGTTCCTGGCGAAAGCTCGGCTAGCTGAAAACAACAGCGGGAGAGAATCGCGATGAGAGGGCCGGGCCGAGAATCGTCGGACACTGTGACTGAACGCCATGAGCGAGCAAATGAAGGAATTGCGGGATGCGAGTTCAAAAAAGTTCACCTCGGAACACAGCGAGGCGGATTCGTATGACGACTGGCGAGCAGCTGTCGTAAGAGGCGGAAATCGGCGACAAGGTCGCTGTGGCTGCTGCAATCCGAGAAATCCGGCTTCGCTGGTTGTGGTGCTGACGCGGATGCATCCGCTGAAGGCTGCACGAGCGGCGACAGCCATTCTAATCACTCCCACGTTTTATACAACAGAGCAACAAGAAGAGAAGCGGAACGGCTGACGTGGCTCGAGAATAAGCCCTTGGCTTCTTCTCCCGTCCGTTATACTGAATCAATCTCAAGCGAGCAGAAGGCGAGGCTGCTTGAGAAAAAGACTGGCAGAACGGAAAGGGGCTTGTTTCAGGAGACTAGGAGAAGCCCCTGAAACAAGCTTGAAGAGTCGCAAGGGCTGTGATTTGTGGCTGAAATCCTTCACTCACGAATCATCACAACTTCATGTCACCCTCCCACTCGGTACACCCAAATATTCTTTTAAATCGTCGGTTTCGTTTGGGGCGGCAGAGATTGTTTGATCTGCGGAGTGACTGTAGAGCTATACAGTCAAATGCCCGAGAAACCCATGTTCAACGGGACTCGGCCTCCCTGCAACATTACAAACCTGGCCCAAATTGGGATGGTTGGAACAAAAAGTGCAACTCTAATATGTGCTATTTAATCGAATATTTGGGTGTACAAGACCAACCTTGAGAGTAGCGAGTCGAGTCCACACCTCCACTCCCCATCCCCTCAGCGCAGGCAATTCACCACCACACACACACCGATACTGTCCTGATTTCGTGGATTTCCCTCCCCGCTCACCAGCCGCCCGATCACAACAAACGATGATGACCGTCGGATCGAATCATCCAGCCTCGAGGCTTCATCGAAACCCCTTATTACCTGCCAAAACCGAACAGCTCCCCGCCACACCTGGGCTTGCGCCTCGCGCTTTCCGCGCACACTGGGGAAATCACGCAGGCGCGCGGCGGTGCCCCAGTGACAGCGACCTCGTGGAGAAGCATCCTCGCTTGTGGTTGGACAAGATTTGGAGGTTTGCCTTTCCAAAGCAGGCTCAGCCTCTCAGGTGGAGCCACGAGCCAAAAGATCCAGGCCCTCGAGAGAGAAAGCTTCGATATGGTTATAGAATCGCACATCGTTTTAATCGATCTGCTCCATCACGGCAGTATCGAAAGATTCAAGGATTGTTGAATGAAACCTGCGTCGTCGTAACACGGTAGTTTTTCGCATGGCAGGCGACCGGCGGCAACTTGGAAATTTGAACTTTTCAAACTTCGAGCAAGAAGGCTCTGGGCACTTCTGAATGTGGGGGGGAGTTTGGCGGCGCTTGGGGAAGCACTGTACGGGCAAGGAGGAAAAGGCGCGAAAGAAACGCTACCCAGCGCATCCCCCCTTCAGCCTGCCATGTGGAAGAGCCACAATGACGCTACCCCCCATGATCAGCGCCTCGAGATCTCCGTGCTCCTCCCAGCAGAGTCTCATCAGTGGAGTTACCAAGACACTATTCCGCCTGAAGGAGTTCCAAGTGCTGGTTTTGGTAGGAAATGGATCGCTTGAATGGCAATTCCTGACAGATGCTGCTATTGTGCGTTGATGATTTAGAGCGTTAGCTACTTCGTCGCAATTGGATATTTCCTGGCAGTCTTCTTTGGCGCGGCTTCAACGCCTCTCTAGCCCACCATGTAGCCAATTCCTCCTCATCACATGCTCGCTCTCCAAGAATCAACTGGCGAAGCCCAACTCGCTGTTCGATTCTCAGTTACAGCTAGTAGCTGTTACGTAGCGACAAGGCTAAAGCTGTAACCTTGAACGCATTATCCTTCTGCCTAGCGCGCTCATATTCGTTCGCCTGCCTACAACTGCATCACCCAGGATCTGCTTCGCAGCATCACAACAGCCAGAATCGATAGCCTTTCGAGTATGGTGGTATCGTCTCAATCCGCTGCCACAATGCGGGGCAAGGTGAGACGTTACCCCGCGTTAGTCTATTACTAGTAGTACGAATAGTAATGCCCGATCGGATCGCACTTGTCTGACTGGTTTCCCACAACTGTTGACTGTCCGCCTTTCTGGTTGCGGCACCACCTTTGACGGCGCGGCTGATTATCGAGAAGCGAGAGTTCTTGATTAGCAGCTGACTCACCTTTGTCGGCGCTGTCGGCTTTCAAGCGTGCATCCCGCCATGTTCAACTCCCAGCTACAACATGGCCGCTGAAAACGAACCCAACCCCCATCTCCCAAAACCGCTGTTTGCCTCCGCATTGCTGACTACCATTCCTCTGTCTCTCTGGCTCTCTGTTTATCTTGTTCTCTCCTTCTCTGGTTTCCTTCGTTCGTGCTGCTGGTGACTCTCGCAGGGACCGAAGAAGCCCTCCGCGAAGAAGGGAAGCGCGCCTCCCGCCGTCTCGAACTTCGGCATCAAGCACTTCTTCGGTAAGTGGGCCGCGACGCGCGGAGCAACCGCCGCCGCTGACGCCACGCGTGCGGCTCCCACCTCTCGAGCAACGGTGGCTGACACCGCCTCCGGCGCGCGGACAGATGGCGCTGGGGGGGGTGACACAGGAGCAGTGCAAGAAGCGGTAGTTGCGCGACAGGAAACGGCGGGGAAGGAAACGGCGGAGAAGAAAACGGCGAGGAAGGAAACGGCGGGGAAGGAAACGGCGGGGAAGGAAGTGCCGCAGCTAATGTCGACTGTAGCGAGAGAAGCAGCTGGAGCAACGGTACGAGCAACGGTACGAGCAACGGCAGGAGCAACGGTAGCAGAAAAGAGGACCTCCGTGTCTTCCGTGGCCGATCGTGGTGACACGGCTCCGATTGGAATAGCTACTAGAAGTAGCGGTCACCGTGCCCCGGCCAAGTCTCCCATTGTTCCTTGCGATCTTGCGACAGCTAGAAACGGTGGCCGAAACGGCAAGGTTGGCGACAGTGCAAAGCCCGTGGTTACCATCGGAGCTGCGATTTGTGTGAAGCCGGAGGAACCTGGACTGACGGATGAGATTTCATCCAAGAAACGGCGTCGTACGGATGAGCTGGACGAGATGGGGGAACGCGTGCAGGCTGAGTCAGCAGGCTTGCATGCTGAGTCAGCGGCCGTCCTGGATAGGCTAGCGACAAGGCCTGACGAAGAAGGTAACCCAGAAATCCCTGTCGTGAAGGAGGAGGCGAATGCAGAGAGGGCGAAGGCAAGCTATAAGGAGACGGGGGAGAATCAAGGTCAGGTAGAGGAGAAGGGGAAGAATGGTACTCCACCTGCTGCTCTCCCCTTGAGCAGCCTGCTCGCCTGCAGCTCGATTGGCAGGAAGCGGACGGAGAAGGGCCAGGAAGAACAGGATGCGCGGGAATCCACTGTAACGGATGCTGGTGGTCTTCCTCGCGTGAGTCACAACGGCTACAGTCAAGACAGACACAGTCACAACCACCACAATGGTGGCGAGGAGAAGGGTTTAGGCAAGGAACCAAAGGGATCCGCTGTGCTTGGCGTGAGGGCAGAGGCACTGGCGTTGAATGGCGCTACGGGCGATGGTGGTGGTGGTGCGGAGAAGGCCCCAGTGGGTCGCACTCGAAGAATGAGCGTGAAGAGACACAAGGTGAGAGGGCGTAAAGGGGGGAAGGGTCGGATGTTACTGCTCCTTGGGCACCTTAGAAATGCTGCTTGGCGAGTGAAAGCTGGGTTGAATGCTGTTGCTTGTGCAGATGCTCAGGCCTGTACTTGCGCTTGTGCTCATGCCCGTGTGTGTGCGTTTTGTGCGTGTGTGTGTGTGTGTGTGTGTGTGTGTGTGTGTGCGTGCGTGCGTGTGTGTGTGTGTGTGTGTGTGTGTGTGTGCGTGTGAGTACCGTTGCTTGCGGATTGGCCAACTGCAGGGAGTGCTGAAGATCCTGGACGAGCTTGAAGCCAGCATTGTGAGAGGCGCTGGTAAAACCGCCACTGCAACCACCTCTCTTGCCAATGGGAAGAGCAGAGACAGTGGGGCAGTGGATGTGGGACTCAAAGTGCGCATGGCAGATACAGACGCAGCAACAGCAGCAACGATGGATGCAGGAGCGTCAAGTGCACAGAGGCAGGCGCTTCAGCGACTCTCTCCCAACCACAGTGTTGCCCTGCCTGTTGCTGCGGATGCTGCTGCTGCTGACGTTACAGTTAATGATGTTAATGCTGCTGCTGCTGCTGCTGCTCCCGCTACCACTGCTGGTGGTGCTGCTGATGCTGCCACTGCTTGTGGTGCTGCGGATGTTGCTGCAAATGCGAACCTCCAAGTAAGTGAATGCGGGGCGGCAGAAGGAGCAGGAGCAGTGGGCCCAGACAAGCAAAGTGCTGAGGCGGAGGCGTGCGCATGGGCAACGAGGGTGATGGATGGTGGGGTGGAAGAGGAGGAAGAATCTCAATTGATGGATTGTATCGGGGAGGGGGGTGCGAAAGTAGTGCTATTGGGGGAAGAAGTGGAAGCGGATGAAATTGAGGAGGTAGACTCGATGAAGGAAGGTGGGGAGGGGAGTGGCAATGAAGGGATCGGCTTGGGGGTGGAGGAGGAGAGGAAGGAGGAGAGGAAGGAGGAGAAGGAGGAGAAAGAGGAGAAAGAGGAGAAGAAGCCAGGAGTTGAGCAGGCGCAACAGGAGTTGGCGGAGGTTGAAGGGCAGATCTGTGGGCTACACTTGAGCCGAGATACCAAGCCGGTTGGATCACTGCAATTGAGGGAGGAAGAGCAGCGGCGGCAGCTGTTGCAGCCGCAGCAGGAGCAGCAGCAGCAGCAACAGGAGCAGAAGAGGCAGAAGCAGCAGGAGTTAATGGAGGACTTCTTATCTGAAATGGATGCCTGTGAGTGGGCCATGGCGATGGAGGAAGAGCAGCAAGGACAGGGACACGAGACCAGAGTTAACGAGCTTGTGCAGGGTGCTGCAGCCGAGAAGGAGGGTCATAATCGGAGACAAGGGGAAACGAAGGAGGAGGAGAAGGAGTGGGGAGGAGTGGAGGAGAAGAGGGAAGGAGGAGGAGAGGAGAAGCAGATCAAGTGCACTGCTGCCACCATGGAGCATGCTTTCGTGCTGGAGGTATGAGCATGGTGCCGTTTTTGAAGGAGGGAGTGGGGAGGAGGGGTGGGGGATGGGTTATTCGACGGGTAGGGGCCAGCAGCAGCCATGAAAGGACATGCTCTTCGCTTTAGGTTAGTCAATCGTGCGGGCGCTCTAATTACGTGCATGAATGCCTCCCTCCATATTCACCCCTCCCTCAGTATTCACCCCTCCCTCCATATTCATCTATCCATGCATCCTTCCGCCCATACTGCAGGTGTGGGAGGAGCCCTTCAGCACTGTCAATGCCCGTGGCATCGCGGCGGTGCAGCATCAAAAGGTACCGCAACCGTCTTTGAGCCGACTCATAAACAGGGCTCAATCAATGCCCGTGGCATGACACCTGCCACGTGACACATGCCATGTAGCAATTGCCATGTTTTCTGTGCCATGTTACACGTGCTATTTTGTCGCCGCCAATCCTGCTTCCCACACCTTGCGCGCCCTCAATGCCACTCTGCTCCAGCTGCTGCTCGTATCCCTCCCGCACTGATTGAGTCTCTCCCATCCCAGGTGCTGTGTGTTCGCATGCGTGCCCAATCTCACCCCCCCGTGCGAGTGCTACTGCGGGACGACTGGTACGTCCTTGCTCTCCCCTCTCGTTTCTCATCTTTCGTCCTCTCTCCTCTTTCCTCTCTTCTCTCTTCTCTTGTACCTTCCACCCGGCCCAACAAGCAACTGCACTGCCACAGGGAGTGCTGCCGCCCTAGTTTACCATCACTCTGATCACCTTCCGCCGTTCCCCTTTGCTGCAGGCTTGACGTGCCTGTATCAGCCGGTGTCACAGTAGCACTTATTGGCGGGCAAGAGCAGGCAGCAGCGGGAGGAGCGGCAGCAGGAGCAGCAGGACCAACCTCAGGAGCAGCAGCAGGAGGAGCAGCAGTGATGCCCGTGCCTGCTGCTGCTGAAGCTACAGATGATGCAGCAGCAGTGGAAGGGGCGGATAAGGTGGTGGTGGTGGACATTAATAACGGCATGCTTATCCTGCATCCAGACGTCCTTATCTCCGGCTCTCGGGTAAAAAGACAGCCCACGCTCGGTTGGATGCTGGTGTGATGTGATGTCTATCCTTCCTTGATGTATCATGTCGTGTGCTTGCTGCACTTTGGCTGTAGTTTGGGTGGCATCCCTTCTGTTGCTCTCTGTGCCTGCCCTCTCCATATTGCTCTCTTTTTCTTTCCTTTACTCCGATTTGCCCCTCCTCTCCTCCCCTTTCCCGACCTCCCCTCGCACCGAACTCTGAATGTGAACCCCAGGTGGGGGGCAGCTTTGCGTGTGGGCGAAGGGCAGTGGTGGAGGAGAGGGTGAGGCAGAGGGACGTCACAGCGCCAGCACTGCGAGGAACAATGCTGCATCAGCTGGTGCAGGTACCAACTTGTGTGCAGGCTTAAATGGTGCAGGTTGGTTACGCAGCTGCTTTTTCTTGCCCCGCCTTTTGCTCCGATGGCTCACCCAACAGTGTACCGTCTACCGGACCGGACAATACCCACCAAGGTGGCGTTGCAGCATGAGGCAGGGCACGTCACTAGCAGCAGCAGCAGCAGCAGCTGTAGCAGCAGCTGCAGTGGTGTATCTTAAGTCAATTCACAGTGTCTCAAACACACTTTCTCATCTCACATTCGCCCTCCTCCACCTCAACCCCCACCAGGTGGCGTTGCAGCATGAGGTGGGAGCGTCGCTGGCAGCACGGCACCTGGAGGAGGCAGCAGTTGCCATCAGCCAATCACACACGGACTCGCTCTTTGCACTTGCCAGTGAGTAGCCCAGAGCTGGACACAAGTGGGCGTAGAGTCGGTGCAACATCATCTCTCAGTTTCCATCAGCAGAAGTGCTATGTGTGTGTAGCGGCAACTTGTTTGTGCTTGTGCGATGACAGTTGTGGTGACCCTGTCTTGAGCTCGCCCGTGCGTGTGTGTGCCGGTTGATTTCGCTGTGTGTGTGTGTATCTGGATCTGCGGCTTGGTCCATGGACACAACGTGCACTGATGGTGGTGTTTCCTATGGGTGCGGTGCTGTGATTTCTATTGTGTTGTATTCTTGGATGTGCACGTGCAGAGGACGAGTCCTGGGCGTTGCAGCAGCTGCAGGAGGCAGTGCCGTCCGTGCTCTCCTGGGTCCATCAGCTCCTATATCCCAAGGTACCACACCCTTTTCCTCACTCACTCACTCACTCACTACCTACTCCCTCGCTTCTTCCATCTCTGTGTCCTCTATCTGCACCCTTTCCTGTTGTAAACTCCTACTACAACCCCCCCCACCTCCCCCTCTCTTCACCCCCCCTTTTTCTTACAACAGTCTGGCGCCCTTGCGGCTGTGCCATTTGGCAATAGAGGCGAGCAGCGGCAAATGCGACTGGCCAAGGTATACTGGGTGCCGAATCCTTGTTAGCATGTGGTTGGCAAAGGTACGGGCACTATATAACGATGGGCACTTGTGTACTAGCTATGCCTTTGCCATTCTGGTAACAGTACTGCTTTAATGGGGTGCTGCTTGATGGGGTGCGGCTTGATGGGGTGCTGCTTGATGGGGTGCGGCTTGATGGGGTGCGGCTTGATGGGGTGCTGCTTGATGGGGTGCGGCTTGATGAGGTGCTGCTTGATGGGGTGCGGCTTGATGGGGTGCTGCTTGATGGGGTGCGGCTTGATGGGGTGCGGCTTGATGGGGTGCTGCTTGATGGGGTGCGGCTTGATGGGCTATTCTTGAACCGTGCTTGCTGCTTGATGAGGTGTAGCCGCTCACCTTTCTCGGTTCCTCTGCCACCCCTTGCATGTGCGCCCAGGTGGTGGACATTGAGGAGACTGTGTGGAGCCCTAGACTGGGACTCAAAGGGCGCCTGGACGTATCTGTGTGCGTGGCAGTGCGCAAAGGGGGAGCGCAAGCTGGGGGTGTGGGGGGGAGGAGGGGGGGAGCAGGGGGAATGGGGGGGCAGCAGGGAGCGAGGGCAGGAGTGGGGAGGTGGAAGGGGAAGGGGAGTGGGGGGAGTGGGGGGAGTGTGGGGAGTGGGAAGGGAGAGGATGGGGACGGGGAGGAGATGGTGATGATGCCTCTGGAGGTGAAGACAGGAAGGAGTAGCTCCAATCAGGTGGGTGGGTGGGCCTTTGTGGATTGAGCTGCGTGGAGGGGAGGAGGGATGGTGTGAGTATGGGATGCTTGCTATGCCACGATCATGCGGGGTTCAGGTCCAGGAATACAGTACTGTACTCTCCTGTCCTGTTGTGTTGGCGTTGAGCCCTGTATTGGGAAGTAAGAGACAGGAAAGGAAGTGTCGAGACACACAATTAGGCAGGTGGTGTTGTAGGTAGAGCTGTGCATCTGTAACTAGCTGGTGGTGATGCTCATACCTCTTCCCCCCGTCTTTCCCCTCCTCCTCCAGGCGTCCATAGAGCACAGGGCGCAGGTGATGCTGTACTGCCTGCTCATGGCAGAGCGGTACCAGCAGGGGGTCAGTGCGGGGCTGCTGCTCAACCTGCATAACACCGCCACCAGCGTGAGTGGGAGAGGTGTGGTGTGGTGTGGAATGCAGATGAGTTTGACTGTGGCGAGGTGCGGTGTGGTGTGGGTATTCCATGCATCTTGCACATGTTTCATGTGCCATTTCTCTTGCGCAATCGGGTCCTTTTAAGGTGGTCGTTGCCTGGGCTTCACGCCTCACACCTCACGCCTCATACCTCATACCTCATGCCTCATGTCTCATGCCTCATGTCTCGTGCCTCATGTCTCGTGCCTCATGTCTCGTGCCTCATGTCTCGTGCCTCATGTCTCGTGCCTCATGTCTCGTGCCTCATGTCTCGTGCCTCATGTCTCGTGCCTCATGTCTCGTGCCTCATGTCTCGTGCCTCATGTCTCGTGCCTCATGTCTCGTGCCTCATGTCTCGTGCCTCATGTCTCGTGCCTCATGTCTCGTGCCTCATGTCTCGTGCCTCATGTCTCGTGCCTCATGTCTCGTGCCTCATGTCTCGTGCCTCATGTCTCGTGCCTCATGTCTCGTGCCTCATGTCTCGTGCCTCATGTCTCGTGCCTCATGTCTCGTGCCTCATGTCTCGTGCCTCATGTCTCGTGCCTCATGTCTCGTGCCTCATGTCTCGTGCCTCATGTCTCGTGCCTCATGTCTCATGCCTCATGTCTCATGCCTCATGCTTCATGCCTCATGCCTCGTGCCGTACCCTGTCTCCTCTCCCCACAGGGCATTCAAGTGAGTCGTAGGGAGCTGGTGGGGTTGATAATCAGGCGGAATATTCTCGCCAACGACTTGAAGAGGGCGTCGGCCTATCAGGAGCTGCCACCTGTACTTGAGGTGAGTAGTAAAGAGAGAGAGCTAGAAAGCGCTAGAGTCTGGCTAGTCTACCGTTGATGACTTATTCCATGTACATTTACCATTACTGCTCTCAGTTTTTTTCTTGTCAAACCTCAGGTTTTCCCCTTGCTTGTGCTTGTTTGGTTTCCTGGCTTCTTTGTTTGTATTCTCGTGCCAGAGTGTGAACCAGTGCAACAACTGCAGCCAGTTCGACGTGTGCTCGTCATACTTCAAGGTACATACATGTTACAACGGCCGTGCGCACTGCCGCTGCACATGTTAGTGGATTGACATGGTGCTATTGACAACGGCACGATTGCCACCACTGCCACAGCCACCAGGAAATCAATTCTAGATCCGGCCACTCTGTCATCTACTGGTCAGCAGCAGTGGGACTTGCAGAACGCGTATATATTAATAGAACCCAATCTCTTGACTCTGGTCAGCACCACCCCCATCCAGCAGGCGACCCATCAGCAAACGCAGAGGAGGTGAGAAAGTTGCTTCTCCTTCCCCTTCTCGTAAACCCTCCCCTTCCCCCCCTCCCTCTCCCCGCACAACAGCTTCAGGACCACCCACATCCTGCGTCCGACCCATCAGCATTCGCAGAGGAGGTGGCAAAGAGGCGGGGCGAGGAGTGGGGCCCGCAGGATGCGCAGTTCTTGAGCCACTGGGAGCGACTGGTGGACATGGAGACAAGCGGAGCAGAGGTAGGGATTGCAAGTTTAGGTAACTAACGAGCACCCCGCAGCAGCCCAAGGGCAGGGGTTTGCGCTGCAGGGCGCGCTTGAGCCACTGGGAGCGACCGGTGGGCTTGGAGACGAGCGGAGCAGAGGTAGGGGCTGTCTTGAAGGCGCGTCAAAAGCTTTGGGACCTGCAGGATGCGCAGTTCTTGAGCCACTGGGAGCGACTGGTGGACATGGAGACAAGTGGAGCAGAGGTAGGGACTCCTTTTTTTTTTCAGGCACCTGAAGAGTATTCCGAGACAGCCCAAGGGTTTCGTGTTGCAGTGCACTACGCACAGTTCTTGAGCCACTGGGAGCGACTGGTGGACCCGGAGGCCAGTGGGGCGACTGGTGCACCCGAGGAGCATTTTGAGGCCGCTCTGAGGTTTAGGGTTGCAGGTCAGTACGTGCAGTTCTTGAGCCACTGGGAGTGAGTGGTGGACAAGTGGAGCAGAGGTAGGGGTTGGGAGGGGGGAATGCTTGACGGTGTTTCTACCTCTCTGCCTCTCTGCCTCTCTGCCTCTCTGTGCTGAATCTTCCGCTCTCTCTCCTCCGCCTTCCCTCCTCAAGCCTCTCCCTCTGATCGCTTTTCCTATCCCTCCACCTCCATGCCTCCCATGCCGACATCTGAGCCACCCCCACAGAAGAGAGAGAGGCCACTGGTCGCTGCATTGAGCCCCTGCAGCTCGCTTAATTCTTCCCACTCCTCTGACCTCCCATCTCTTCCGTCCCCTCCTGTCAAATCCCTCCCTATATCCCTGCCTCCAGGCCTCCCATGCCGACATCTGGGCCATGCCCACAGAGGAGAGGGAGGCCACTGGCCGCTGCATTGGGCCCCTGCAGCTCGCGTCAGTCAAACCACCAGAGGGGGTTACCGAAGCAGGTGGAGGAGCGGGAGGAGCAGCAGGTGTGGGTAGTAGCCAAGTGGTGGGCACAGCAACGGCAGCCGTGCTATCGGATGGGCGGATAGGGCAGCTGAGGGACCAGTGGGAGTATACGTTCAAGCGAGCCTGGAGCATACACAATTGCAGCAGCAGTATCAGCAGCAGCCCTGGTGGGGGTGCTGGTGGTGGGAGTGGGAGTAGAAGGCTGGACCAGACAGGCTTTGCTGCTGGGGATTATGTGGTGAGAGCATGCTGCTTCTCTGCTCTTGTTTTATGGCCTTTCAGTGACCTTGTCAAATTTCCCACGTCATGACTCCTCCCGCCAGCGTTCCCCTCGGTTCTTCCCCAGGTATCCCCTAGCTCTTTCGCCCTCCAGCTATCTGCGAGTTCCACGTCTACTCTCCTGCCTGCATGTGAAGCGCTACCTCTCCCCCACACATGGCCGACCCCCACTCGTCTGAAACATCTGAGCACCCACAGAGCAGAGCAACAGTGTATATCCCAACCCCACCCCCAAGTCCCTAACCTTCACCTGAAACCCCTCCGCGCTTCTCCGTTTCTGTTGTACCCCACATGCCCTGTCAGATCCTGAGCACTGTATCGGGGCATGCTGGAGTGGCCACTGCCACCGTCACTGCTGTCACACCCCATAGCATCACTGTGAGTGCCTGCTGCTTGTTACTTGTTGTTGGAGGTTGCTGCTTGTTTGTTGGAGGTTGCTGCTTGTTTGTTGGAGGTTGCTGCTTGCTCGTGGGAATGTTGCTGTTTGTCTTTGGGAGGTTTCTGAGGGAGATTGGAGAGAGATGGATAAGGATGGGATTGCGCTTCATATCTCTTCCTTCAAAATCGTTTCTTATCCTCCAACCCCTTCTTCTCCCCTCTCTCTATCCTCCCTACCCCCGTCGCCCCTTTCTTCCCCCTCCCGTCCGTCCACCACCACCCTGTGTCCTCTCCTCCCATTCCTACCAGATGAGCGCGCACCGCCAGTTGCGGCTGCCCAGCCGAAGCGGAGCAGGGGGCGAGGAGGAAGGGAGGCGGCTGTGGAGTGAGAGGTGGAGGGCAGACAAGGACGAGATGGCAGGAGGGGGGGGCGGGCAGCTCAGATTCAATCTCATCGGCCTGTTTCTGCCTTCCGCTGAGAATGACCGCCGGCGACGCCTGGTGGTGCACCTGCAGGTGGGATGGGGGGGGGAGAAGGCTGGGGGTGTTTGTTTGTGCGTGTGCGTTTGTGTGTGTTGTGCATGTGTTGTATGGGCAGGCGTACGCACTCAGGTGCTCTCGGGGTGAGAAGATGTGGTGGGCTGTGTGTGGGGAGACCACAAGGGCGATGGATGGATGGAGCCAAGTATGGGAAGCCTATTATTGAGGCGCTTAAAAAAAGGGCGATGGATGGATGGATGGATGGATGGATGGAAGCGTGCATGCATGGGAAGCGAAGCAAAGGTCAGAAAGGGCGGCACAGTGTGAGCAAGGGAAAACGCGCTCATGAGAACGCTCCTGCACCTCTGTCTATCCCCCCAAGGCCCTCTCCCTCCCTCCATTCCACTCTCCACCCCCCAACCATCTTCAGCCGCCCCAGTTCTTTCCTCCCGAGGACATCCATCCAGACAGCATGGCCCACTCCTGTCCCTCTGTCTAACACGCCCGCTCCCGGCCCTCTCTTCCTCCCCCCACGCCTCTATCTCCCCCCCCCATCCATCTGCAGCCGCCCCAGTTCTCTCCTCCTGAGGACATCCATCCGGACAGCATGGCATACCTCTCCTCCTTATCACCCCGAGAGATCAACGAAGACCAGAAGCAGGCGGTCGTCAAGGTGAGTCGTGTGCGCATGGTGTAACAGACAGCTCGTTTCGCCTCCTTTGGCTGCTGCTCTAGAATGCGCCTGAGGCACCTCATAAGTTTGTATAAAGGGCATGGTGGTGGTGGAGTGGGTCGTTTCCTAGAGTGGCTGATGCTGATGCTGATGCCAAGGTCCGTATTTTTTAATGTCTACCGACCTACACCAGCGAAAGAACAACCCACCTTCACCAGGTGCACAGACGGTTTGTTCTTTTGCTGCCTAAAAAATCGTTGCTGCAGCTGCTCTTTCTTCTTTCCTCCCGAGTTCTGCCAGCACTGACTACCTGCTGTTGCAGGGTAGGCCTGGGGAGGGCTAGAGCATTCCAACCTATCCTGTGCCTGTCCCCCACCCTCTCTATCCCCTGTCTCTCTCCCCCCTCCCCCTCCTCGGATATCTCCTATTCCAATCCCCCCAGGCCATGTCAGCACAGGACTACCTGCTGGTGCAGGGCGGACCTGGGGCGGGTAAGAGCACGGCAGTGGTGCACCTGGTGAAGGCGTTAGCTGCAGGGGGGCGGTCGGTGCTGATAGCTGCCCACACGAACACGGCTGTGGACCACATTCTGCTGAAGCTCATGAGAAAGGTAGGGGCGTTTGGAGGCCCTCTCTGTTTTTCGTGGGCGGGTTGGTAGTGGTGGTTGGCTGCCCTGCCCCCACACGAACACAGCTGTGGACCACATTCTGCTGAAGCTCATGAGAAAGGTAGGGGCGTTTGGAGGCCCTCTCTGTTTTTCGTGGGCGGGTTGGTAGTGGTGACTGGCTGCCCTGCCCCCACAGGAACACAGCTGTGGACCACATTCTGCTGAAGCTCATGAAAAAGGTAGGGGCGTTTGGGAGGGCATCTCTCTATTTTTTGTGAGTGGGTTGGTAGTGGTGGTGGGTGCCCACCCACACGAATACGGCTGTGGACCACATTCTGCTGAAGCTCACGAAGACGGTGTGAGGCTGAAGCGTAGAGTGCTAGTGGTGAGATGTTGTCTTCAGAGAGCTGTGCAGTGGTGGCATGTATCAAGTTTTGGCATCATGTCACTCCATCCATGCAGCGCCACGTTTTTTTTTAAGGCGCCTCAAAGCTGGTTTTGTTTTGAGGCTCCTCAAAACTGGTTGTTTTTGAGGCGCCTCAAAACTGGCTTTGTTTTGAGGCGCCTCAAAACTGGCTTTGTCTTGAGGCTCCTCAAAACTGGTTTTGTTTTGAGGCGCCTCAAAAGTAGACTCCTATCACTCCATGCATGCAGCGCCATAACATGCTGGTTTTTGTTCAGCGCCTCTGAAGTGTTCCTTTCCCTTATCCTCCCTCCTCCGCCCCTGACGCTCTCCAACACCAGGGTGTGTCAGTGCTGCGTGTGGGGCGGCCTGCAGCTGTGCACCCTGACCTGCTGCCATACACCCTCAATGACAGAGGTGAGAGAGGGGGCAATGCCTTTTCTGACAGCAATGCTTTTTGAGTCGCTTCACGAAGTGATTTCTGAGGCTCTCAGAAACACCCCCAACGACAGAGGTGAGAGAGGACAGAGCGAGTGAAGGCGATTGGAGTGAAAGCAATGTGAAATGAGGGCAATGTGAGTGAGTGAGAATAGTATACACTTTTGAACGGCTGCAAGTCTAGAGTCCTGGGTGCGTTCTGAAGGGACAGTTGAGTGCTTTCACGAGAGAACACTCGGCGCGATGGACAGAGGTCACACTGTCTCGTGGTAGAATCCGTCATGATCCACAACCTTGTGTCTACTCTGCATAACTATGTGCCAAACTTCCATGGCTTCTCTATCAGGAGGGGGCATGTGTAGCGGGCGTGGACAGTGAGGCGGGCATGGAGGCAGTGGAGGCTGGGCGCATTTCTTGTAGGCTGCACGCGCCTGGGCGCGGTACAGTTTCAACTCTCCTCTTGCCATGTATCCAGTACTCGTTCCGTGTATCCCTCTTCCGGACTCCCCCAATCACGATCAGGGGGGGGCATGGACGTGGGCAGTGTGGCAGGCATGGCGGCAGTGGGGCTGGGGGCATCTGTCGTGGGGTGCACCTGTTTAGGTGTGGGTCATTGGAAGTACTCATTCCCGTGCATCCCTCTTCCAAACTCCATCACAGGAGGCGGCATGGACGTGGGCAGTGTGGCGGGCATGGAGGCAGTGGGGCTGGGGGCATCTGTGGTGGGGTGCACGTGCCTGGGCGTGGGGCAGTCGCTGTTCTCCCGAAAGCGCTTTGACGTGGCTATTCTGGATGAGGCGGGGCAAACAACATTGCCGGTGAGAGGGAGAAGGGGTCGTAAACGAGCGGAGGGGATGAGATGGGAGATGGGAAGTGTGAAAAAATATTGCCTTGCCTTGCCTTGCCTTGTCTTGCAGTGCAATTTCATGCCACGCCACGTCTCATGTGATGTGTGGTGTGTGGTGTGTGATGTGTGGTGTGAGGTATGGTTACAGGAGGCGCTAGGTCCGTTACGCCTGGCGTCTTCGTTTGTTCTGCTTGGGGACTTGCACCAACTTCCGCCTCTTGTCCGGGTATGCAACCTTTCTGCCCTTCTCTCTGCCGTCGGTCCTTACCAGCTCCCTTTTTATCCCCTGGATTTGTAACCCTCTATGTTCTGTTCCCCTGTTCTTCCCCCATCCTGTCTTGTATGTTCGCCCCCCCCCCCCCTCCCCCCACCCCCTCTCTCAATCCCTCCATCCCTCCCTCGCCCCCTTCCTCTCCCGGCCCCCTAACAACACCCCAGAGCACACGAGCTCCGGCTAGGAGTGAGACTGCTGGCAGAGGCGCGTCTTAAGACCATAGCCCACCTCTATCCTACTGCCATCCCCTTTCCCCCAACAACAACAGCACCCCAGGGCTCGCGAGCTTGGGCTAGGAGTGAGTCTGCTGCAGCGGCTGGCAGAGGCGCATGCCGGCGCCGTGGCGCATCTGAGCACACAGTACCGCATGTGCCGGCCGGTCATGGACCTGGCGAACGCGCTCGTGTACGAGGGGCGGCTCAAGTGTGCGTCGGAGGCAGTGAGGGACGCCAGACTGCACCTGCCAAAGATGGGTTCTCTCATGGGGAAGGGGACTCTGCCTCTGTGGCTGCAACAGGTATGGTGGCTTTCGATGATACTTTGACTTCTTGAGACGTGCGGCCATCTTTGTATTCTTGGATTGGATATGAAGACGCGTCTGGATTAGATGTGTCCAGCCACACTTCAGGGCGCTGGACTTAAATGCTACTGTTGACTGATGACCGAGTCGCGCTTTTCCTACCCACCATCTTCTCCCATCGTTGCTCTGCCCATCGTTGCTCTGCTATTGTACACGTCGTGACCACTCTTTCCCCTGCTCCCATGCTTCCCCTGCTTCTATTGCCCTCCGCTTTCAGGTCATTGATCCAGAGAAGCGCCTCCTCTTTCTTGACACGGGTAGGTGCTCTTCCAGAGAAGCGCCTCCTCTTTCTTGACACGGGTAGGTGCTCTTCCAGAGAAGCGCCTGCTCCAGACTAGGAGGTTATCTCTCCTCCGTCCCTTCCTTCACTCCGCCCTTCCCTTACACACATGCACATTCACCTGCCTGCATACTCGCTCCCTCACTCAGACACACATTCTTCCACATAGACGCACGCACGCACTCACACTCCCCCTCTCTCCCCCCCCCCCCCCTTCCACACACACACCTACACGCCTCCTTGTGCCTGTCTTCCGTCTCCCTCACCAGGCGAAGTGGAGGGCCTTCAGGAGAGCCGGGAGAAGGAGTCGACCTGCAACGAAGGCGAGGCAGCCATTGTGGCTCGGATCGTGGCCGCCCTAGTGGCAGCCGGCCTCCCTCCCTCCCACATCGGCATTGCAACCGTGTACAATGCTCAAGTGAAGGCGCAGAGAGCAGCTCTGGACACAGTCATGGGAAAAGAAGAAGGGTGCGGGGGGGAGGTGGAGGTGGATACGGTGGATCGGTTTCAAGGGCGGGACAAGGCGTGTGTGGTGTTCAGCACTGTGCGGTGCAACCGGCGGGGGCAGCTGGGTCCCGTGCTGGCAGATGTGAGCCGGTGCAACGTCGCCATCACGCGCGCTAAGGTGAGACGAAGAGGTGTCTCTTGGGGGATGCCTATTTTTGAGGCGCATGAAAAGCTGGGCCTGTGCTGGCAGACGTGAGCCGGTGTGACGCCGCCATCACACGCAATAAGGTGAGACTCGGAGGAGTCTTTTGGGCTGGCCTGTTGTGCACTGTAAGAACTTTGAGTCGACGTCTTGTGTCGGCTCCCCTGCAGCTGGGCCTGTGCTGGCAGATGTGAGCCGGTGTAGTGTCGCTATCACGCGCGCTATGGTGGGCGGGTGCGAATATATGGGGGGCGTGAGAAGAACTCAGAGGTCGGGCCGTTAGTGAATGTGATAGTTATCTAGTTTAGAGACGTCTCAAAGTTAATGAGCCTGTGGAGGGAGTGAATTCAGGTGTGCTGTTGAGTCGGCTAAAAAAAAAGGCGTCTCAAAACTTCTGAGCATGGAGAGGGAGTGAATTCAGATGAGGGAATGAATTCAGATGAGGGAGCGAATTCAGGAGAGGGAGTGTGACATTGAGGGTGGTGATATGGATGGTACCCCACTAGAGAGAGTATTTCATGCCACTGCATGCTGCAAACCTAGTCCCAGCATACCCGCCCCCTCGATACCACATATCCCTCCATTGCCGCCACACAACATGGCCTTCATGACATCACCCTGCTCTCTCGCCATCACCGTACAACATTGCCCCCATGCCGCCATGGCCCTGCTGTCAGGCCAAGCTGCTGATCATCGGCTCCAGCTCAACTCTCCGCCGAGGGTCCGCGCACTTCCTGCGACTGCTGCAGCTGGTAAGCCCCCCCACTTGCTTCTCGACTCGACTCAATTTTTTCTGCCTCTGCCTGCCCTGCTGTGTGCTTGGCCTGGGCACTTGCCGATTTCTGCCCCAGCATTTCCTGCGATCACGAGTTTTTTTCACCTCCAAAGTTCCCTACCCCTCCTTTTGTCACAACTCTGCGTGTGTGCATGTGTTTCATGGATGCACAGGTGGACAGGGATGGCCAACTGTTTGAGCTGCCATCTCATGCACTGATGGACTGCAGCAGTGAAGCATACGAGTTTCACCCATAGATGGACATCTCACCTGCAGCACGCAGATATATTATTCATTCATTTCATACCCCTCGACGCCCCACTGTGGCTGTGTGCGCTGTCAAGGCTCGACTACGGGTGTCTCAGTCCTTCGAGCAAGTGACACGGGGTCATGCAAGTGAAGGGGCGCTCAATCAGAGGCATCTGACTTGACTTGATGCATGCGACAAGCTGTAACCTTGCTCCAGTGTTCCATGATGATTCTTACACCTGTGCTCTTTAACGCATGAAATGTCCCATCCACACCACACCATGGACGAACACTTCTTACTGTGCCTCACACCGGTACCTACCATCCGAGCCGTGAAATTGCTGAGTCTGATTAGTTTTCGGGGAATGTCATGTCATGTCATGTCATGTCATGTCATATCATGTCATGTCATGTCATGTCATGTCATGTCATGTCATGTCATGTCATATCATGTCATGTCATATCATGTCATGTCAAGTGCAGAAGTAATGCAAAGCAAAGGTGGTGCGTGCTTTTCTGGTGCGCCATCAACGGAGCTGTGTTCAAGTTGAGTCTAGATTGTTCCCCTGAGTGCCATAGAGATCAAATGATTGATTGAGCCTTGTAAACCCTGAGTTCACCATCCTTCCGGTCAACACGGTCCCAAACTCTTGCCACACCACACCACCAAGACCAAAGCTCTCTAGTCTCCCCACCCCACTCCACAAGCCTCCATGAGGAAGGCACGGTACGGTATTGTACATTCATCCACTGAAACATCCAACTGAAAAAGAGCATCCATCACTCCCCTGCCGCAGCCTTCTTTTCCTCCTCTTCCTCCTCCCTTCCCCAGCCCATCATCATCAGCAGCAATTGCAGCAGCAGGCACAGCCAACAACGCCTTTGCGTCCTGCCCCATGCATCCTCTACCTAAGGCACCTCTACTACTCGTCCTCTGCAGCTCTTTTCTTCTTCCTCCTCTTCTTCCTCTCCCCCTCCCCATCACCCCCAGTACCACCACCAGCAGCAACCGGCACGGCCAGGAACGCCTGGGCGCCCTGCCCTTGCACAGAGCGGGAGCCGGGAGCGGGCTTGCTGGTCTTCTCCTTGAGAGCCTTTGCCATGGACGCCACGTCCTCGGAGGATACCTTGTTGCTGCTGCCAGCTGCGCTCTTGCCTGCCGCAGTGTTCTTGCGCAGCTGCAAGGGGGGAAGGAAGGGGGGGATGAGTGTGGGTGAGAAGGGGGCGGAGAGGGGATGTGGCAGGAGGGAAGAGGAAGCGGGGATGACTCGATGAGCAAGGATGAGGGGTGCTCTCTCGTGGAGTCAAGCAAATTAATAGCTTGGTGCTTGCGTCCTCTAACTCACTCCCTCTCTTTCGTTCTTTCTTTCTTTCTTACACACACACACACGCACACGTGCGCGCGCGCGCGCACACACACGCGCGCCCACGCACGCACGCACGCACGCACGCACGCACACACACACACACACACACACACACACACACACACACACACACACACACACATAGGCACGCACCTTGGGTGGTTGGAAGGCCTCCTCTCTCTTGCGCTTCCTCTCCTCCACCGCCTCCTCCTGCTTCTCCATCTTCTCCGCATGCTTCTTCGCCGCCTTGCGGTCCGCCGACAGGAAGTACTCGCCGCTCTCCAGCGCCAGGTCCACCTTGCTGGGCGGCTGCGGCGGGGGGAAGGGCGTGTACGGCTTCTTCGTCTTGCTCTTCACCTTCTTTGTTTGGACGTTCTTCCTGGCGAGGGTTACAGAGGTTGGTTGGGGAACGGGGAAGGGGAATAGCAGCATGAGTTGAGCAGGGCTCCCTTCTTGGTCTTGCTCTTGACCATCTTGATCTGCACGTTCTTCCTGGTACGGGTAACCGTGGTGGGGGAGTGGAAGAGGAAGGCGAAAGAGAAGTCGTGCTGAGGGAGGGGGGAGGAGAGATAGGTGTGCGTGGTGTTATCTAGACCACATAACCACTCCTCTTACAAACTCCCCATCCCTCCCGGATGACTCCACCTCTAGCAACAAACCCCCTCTCCTCCCAAAAAAACCCCTCTTCCTGAAACGACCCCTTTCCCCCAGCCTCTCTTCCAACGCCCAGCCTCTCGTCCCCCCCTTCCTTCCCCCCTCCCCGCTCCCCCTTCTCCCCCCCCAACCCCCAACACCCCTTTCCCCCCCCCCCCAACCCCCAACACCCCTTCCCCGCCCCCCATGTTACTTTTTGAATGTGGGCAGGAAGCGGTCCCAGATCTCCTCCTTGAGCGCAGGGTCCTTCTCCAGCTCGCGCTTGATCATCAGCGTCTGGGGGGAGGTGGGGAAGGGAAGTGGGGAATAATAGCAATGGTGCACCTTGATATGGTATACGGGTGTATGTTCCTCGTCAATGTACTCTGCACCTTGGTATGGTACACGGGTGTATGCTCCTCACTGTACCGTTCCCTTCCATATATTGGACATGCCACATGCCACATGCCACATGCCCATACCTTGATGTGGTAGATGGGGTGGATGTTCTTCATGCAGTCCTCCACTATCCGCCTCACGGCTTTCAGCCCGCGGGGCGTGCCTATGGCCGACACTGTGTTACCCTGCCATGGGGGGGGTGGGGCGATGGGGGGAGGCGATGGGATGGGAGGGAGGGTGATGATGCATGGGAGGGAGGACAGTTCAGAGGCAAACAGAGTAGGGAAGGGTCGCACGCGCTGGCAGTGCAAAATAACAGGCAACACAGCAGCAGCAAGGACGACCGAACGAGGCACGGTGCACTGCATGCCCTACAACAGTACAAGCACAGCACAGCACTGTTCGCTGCTAAGTAACTCTACACTCAGCCACCGCATACAGAGCGACACCACAAAGCACCGCACAGCACCACACAGCACCGCACCGCACCTGAACGAGCACGTAGCACCCAGTGAGCAGCTCGATGGCCTTGAGCGTGGACCCGTTGGGGCCCAGCAGCCGCTGCCGCCGCTTCACAAACCGCTCCTGGTGGGGGGAGGGATGGAAAAAACGGGGGAGATGGGGGGGGGGGGGTGTCTCTCTGGATTCTTGCAGCAGGGACGAGATAGGCAGAAAGGAAAGGAAAAGAAGAACATGGCTAGAGGGATCATGGATGGATGGATGGATGGATGGATGGATGGATGGATGGATGGATGGAAGGATGGATGGATGGAAGGATGGATGGATGGATGGATGGATGGATGGATGGATGGATGGATGGATGGATGGATGGATGGATGGATGGATGGATGGATGGATGGATGGATGGATGGATGGATGGATGGATGGATGGATGGATGGATGGATGGATGGATGGATGGATGGATGGATGGATGGATGGATGGATATGGATGGATGGATGGAATGGATGGATGGATGGATGGATGGATGGATGGATGGATGGATGGATGGATGGATGGATGGATGGATGGATGGATGGATGGATGGATGGATGGATAGATGGATGGATGGATGGATGGATGGATGGATGGATGGATGGATGGATGGATGGATGGATGGATGGATGGATGGATGGATGGATGGATGGATGGATGGATGGATGGATGGATGGATGGATGGATGGATGGATGGAAGGATGGATCGATGGAGGGATGGATGGATGGATGGATGGATGGGCAGACGATGGGAGTTTTTCCCCCGTCTCTGGCATGTGTCTCTCGCCTGGTTGGTTGGGTACCTTGCTGCGAACCATGCCGCCGATCTTGATGATGTCGCAGTATGTCTCGTCGTCCAGGATCTTCAGCGCCTGCCAAGCCGAGCGGTCGCGGGGAGGGGTGGGGAGGGGTGGGGTGGTGGGTGGGTGGGGGGGGAGGCATATGCAGGGGGAAAGCTAAGGGAGGTCAATACAGACAAGCAATGTGGCGGCTGGATGACTTTAGATGAACCTCGAAGCCTAGATGAATACTGCGGCAGCTGGACTGGACGAAAGAGAGGAAGGGAGGGAGGGAAGAGGGGAGAGCGAGGGGTAAGGAGAGAGCGGAAGACGGATCAATCCCACACACACGCACCAATCCCTCCCCCTTCTTCCCCCCTTCTCCCTCTCCCCCCCCCCCCCCCCACAGTCACCCACACGAACCTCAGATCGCCAACCCCACCTGAGTGACGGGCACGGATCGCGAGAGCAGCTTGATCAGGTCCCTAGCGCGAACTATTATGTACGGGTCGCGCGTCTTGCGCGTGGTCTTGACCGTCATGCTGCCCTCCACCAGGTTCAGCTCGCACGCGACTCCGAACTCGTTCAGCGCGCGAGTCACTTCGGGCCACGCCTCGCGCAGATACTTCTCTGGGGGTGGGGGAGGGGGAGGGGGAGATGTTGTGTGGCGGGGGGGGGAGGGGGGGAGGGAGGGTGCGGGGGAAGCAGGGGAAGCGATGGAAGGGGAGAAGCAGGGAAGCGGGAAAAGGGGAGAAGGGAAGCGGAGAAAGGGGGGCGTGTGAGGGCGTGAAGAGTTAGCTCCAGGAATGTCCCGTTCGCGTGGGTCGCTAACCGCCATGCTGCCCTCCACCAGGTTCAGCTTGCACGCGTTCAGCGCGCGAGTCACCTCCGGCCACGCCTCGCGCAGATACTTCTCTGGGAGAGGAGTTGGGGGAGCAGCGGGGGGGGGGGGAGCAGGGGGGGAGCGCACTTCGATACAACACAAGAGCCGCACCTCGGTACAACTCAAGCGCACCTTGGTCGGTGCTAACAACCTGCTTCGATACAGCACAGGCGCCGCACCTCGCTACAGCGCAGCTCGCTACAGCGCACCTCGGTACAGCGCACCTCGCCACAGCGCACCTCGCTACAGCGAACCTCGCTACAGCGCACCTCGCTACAGTGCACCTCGCTACAGCGCACCTCGGTACTGCGGGAAGAGCGTGGCGAAGGAGCTCTCCTCGAGGAGCCCCGTGGGGTTCCACGACGGGTCGAACTTGTCCACCTTCCAGTGCTCCACGTCGTCCGTGTCCCACGGCTTCGGCTTCCGATACTTGTTGTGGTCCTTGCCCGACGCCGCCGCTCCGCCTCCTGCTCCTGCTCCTCCTCCCCCTGCTCCGTTCTCTGCAGCTGCTGCCTGCCCGTCCCCCCCCTCGCTACCTCTTCCTTTTTTCTTCCCCATACGTATACGCGGGTGCCACGCTACGGGTTTTGGCTTCCCTTTTTGTTTCTGTTCCTGTTCCTGTTCCTACCGTGGTGTCAATATTGAACGAGTCTGGATGCTTCGCGCGGAGGCTTTCCTGGCTTCGCGCCAGAAAATCTGCTAGCAGTGACCCGACAAATAAGACCGCGCGACTAAGCTGCGGTGTTTTCTGAGCAGCACGATCGTTGCAAGGACGGTTTCGGCATGAAAGGACTGGTGTAGGGTGAGAAGAACCACACCTGGGAGGCTGAGATGATGGAGGATTCTCGAGAAGAACTAAATATTCAGGGGTTCGGGTTCGGGCTCAGGGGAGTGGAGGGGATGGAGGGATGCTAACGAAGACTGACGAGAATGTTACCCTCCGCAATCCGGGTAACTTTGCTCGTTATGGCCAGGCTTGCAAACGTTGCTCGCGAAAAGTTCTGGAGAGGTCTGATGGGTGCAGCCGAGCTCGCTGGGGAGTGCACCGACAAAATACTTTCAACGGACACATCCGAGACGGTAAGAGTGATCGATTTATATATCAAGATGATAAGACAGATGATGACAAAACAAAGCATGCCATGTAGATTTAGGAAGCCAGAAAATTTAACAAGCAACAGAGACTTCAGCGCCCTGTTGTCGCTTCCTGTCTTCTTCAAGCATCGCCTTGATGTAGAATTCTCCAGCGCGATACGACGAACGAACCATGGGCCCGGCAGCAACATAGCGGAAGCCCTGCACACATGTGAGCCAACACGTGAGCAAACAAAACATGCGATTGTGAGAATCGCCCCACCACGACGAGTTCCTCACACTGTTAGCATCTTAAAGCCCGAGTCTAGAATGGTAAAAAACCATGTTTACTGACCATGGAAACAGTGCCAAAAACACTGGACGAAAGCAATTTCGGCAAAGCTCCCCTGGCGAAAAATACTTCTCGGCGAAAAAAAAAGGGTCGCTCGCGACACAAAAGGAACCCAACAACTTGTAATCAACAGTGCGCTAACAGTGACGACTTTGGGGGTGGGGGGGCAAACTGTACAAAGCATTTCCCGCGCAGTGAGTCCCGGCAAAAAATGCGTCTAGAATGGTACCAGGCGTTTTCAACTTCAGTATGAGTGAACAGTACGTTCAAGGTTTGTCTCATGTAGCTAATTTCGCACGCTGCCCCATTTCCCCAGGGGTTGCGACGTGCTGGTCCCCTTCACTAGGTTACCCCAACTTTTACGAAAGCAAGTTCAGGAATCCTGAACTTGATAGCCAACCAATGTAGACTCGGGCAATAAGGCCCGCGGCCCAAATTGTTCATACGCACTGCGTATGAACTGCGAGCCTCGGCTTGGACGAAATACACAGACAAATCGTAAGGGTGTTTCATCTCGCGAATTCGCAATTTGTCGTAGATCGTCCGCTTTGCATGCAGGTGGTGCGACGGCTGAGATTACATTTCGATTGACTGGGGGAAGCACTTTACTTGCGCACCGTCAGATGGAAATCCCTAAATATTGGACGGCTAAAAAACGCGAGGCACTGGGTGTCCCAAAATACGTTCCGCGCTGAACATGAAAGCCAGCCCCGAGTGACGCGAGTCACGTTACCCCCATCTACACCCACGAAAACGCGACTTTCAAACGCAGTGCGTTTGAAGGTCGCGCCTCGCAATTTGGGCCGCGGGCTTTAAAATAGTGGCAGGGGACAAATTGACTCTTACAGGCACAGCAACAAGCCTGTGAACCCACCCTCTGAAGACCCCCCCCTCCCCCCCCCACACACACAAAAAATTCACGGCTGCAGTGCAGTGGCACCCCAGACAAGCTCACCATTTCCTCGCCCACTTTCTTCCACTGGTCAAAAGCCTCGGGAGTGACGTAGTGGCTGACAGGCATGTGGCGGCGCGTGGGGCGCATGTACTGCCCGAACGTCATCACATCCACGCCAGCTGCCCGCACTGCCTCCATCGTGCGGAGAACCTGGACAAGCGGGGGAAGGGGGAGGGAGGGGAGAGAGGGGGGGCGGGGGTTTGGGGGGAAAGGGGATGAACAAGAAGAAACAGCTTCAGAAGAGAGACACAGAAAGTGGCCAATTGCAGCAATTTGCAAGGCTCTCTGTGAAAAAACACGAGCTTGCATCTATGCCAAAATACCCACCTGTTCTGGCGTCTCCCCGCACCCCAGCATGATATACATCTTGGTAAGCATCCCCGGGCACCCCCCCCTGCCCTAAGTCGACTCATAAGGGCACCCACCTGCTCTGGCGTCTCCCCGCACCCCAGCATGATAGACGTCTTAGTGAGCATCCCGGGGCCGCCCCGCTCCCTGCCCTCGCGGGCCATCTCCTTGGCGAGGCGCAGCGTTGAGAGCGACTGCTCAAAGCCCGCGCGGGGGTCCCTCACAAACGCCTGCAGCTCCTGGACCGTCTCGATGTTGTGCGCATACACGTCCAGGCCGCTGTCCACCACCCGCCGCACACACTCCACTGACCCGCGGAAGTCAGGCACTGGAGGCGGGGAGAAGTGGGAGGGAGGGGGGAAGAAGAAAGCAGCGGGAGGGAGAGGAGCAAGAGGGGAGCAGAAGGGTAGGTGAGGGGACAGAGCAGAGGAGGGAAGAGATACGACAAGTTGGTGTTGTTCTTAGTGCTGCTTCCATTGTGGACACAGGGATTGCTGCTGCTCACCGTGCGATGCTTTCTGCTGCAAAAAGTTGGGTTCCTGTGGTTAGCCTGTTGTTGAGTCACATGGTTTCCTGCCTTCTCATGCCAATGCTTCTGCTCGGTTGCACAACATGGCCCACACTATGGCTCAAGTCGCGCTCGGTTCTGGCTTGCATTCAGCTCACGAACGGCTTTATTTTGGCCTGCAGCAGCCTGATGCCACAGTGGCTGCCTGATGCTGCAGCCAACCGCCTGCAACCCTGACAGTTCACACTCCCCAGTTCTGTTACCTTATACCCATAAGTGAGATCCCACGGATCACCACTCATTGGAGGAAGAGCATAACGCGAATGTTGTCTCTTACCCCTTAAAACAAAAGAGAGAACACTACTCAGTTCACACTCTCCCCTATGCACTCCCCAAACCCGACCTGGAAGAAAACATGTCTCTGTAATGATTTCCGAAACATTGTCCTGTTACCTGTAACATGCATGGCTACACCACACCACACCCCCTTGCTTGCTTCTACATCCCCTCCCTCGCTCTACCACTCTTCTCATGGTCATTCTGATCTGACTCCTAGCAGTTACCGGGTGACGTCTTTCCAAACACTTACAACTACACACCACATTCCCAAACTCACTCTCACACCTCCCACAACCAGTCCCACACTCTTCCACAAACTCTCCTACAGTCCCAACCCCATAATCTCTCTCTCACTATCAACCCCCCCTTCCACCCCAAACCAAACCCCCAAACCCCCCCCCCCCCCCCCCCCCCCCCCTTCCCCGCCCATTCCCCGCGCACTCACCCAGCGCCTCCACGAGCATGTCGGGGCGGCGCTCCTTGAGGCGCACGATGGTCTCCGCGAAGTGTCCGCTGCCCTGGTCGGCCAGGTCGTCGCGGTCGACGCTCGTCAGCACGATGTACCCCAGCCCCCACTCCCCCACCGCGTCCGCCACCTTCCGCGGCTCGTCCGCGTCCGGGGGAGGCGGGTTGCGCGCGGTCTTCACCGCGCAGAACCTTTGGGCGGGGGGGGGGGGGGGGGTCGGGGGAGGGGAGGGGGAGGGGGTGGGTTCAGAAGAAGGGGAAAAGGAAGGGAGATGGGGGAGGGCAGGAGAGAGAAGGTGAGGGATCGTACGCTGGATGTAGGGTATGCGGGAGATGCAACATGGCACTATGACCAGCAGCAGCAACATACCACCAGCGGCAAAATACCTGCAACCACGCGTGCACGTGTCGCCAAGTATCATAATAGTAGCCGTCGCGCCCTCGCCGTCCGCGCCGCTTCCGCCCCAGCACTCTCCTAGATTCGGGCACCGCGCTTCCTCGCACACCGTGTGCAGCTTTAACTCGCGCAGCCGCTTCTTAATCGCCACGAACTTCTCTCCCCCCGGCAATACCTCCCGCTTCATCCAGTCCGGCTTCCGCCGCCTCTCCCGCGGCTGCACCGCCTGCACCGCGTACACGCCTCCTAGGCCCAACCCCGCGTCGCCCTTCACCAATCCGTGTCCAGATCCGACGGAGATCGACGCATCGGAGCCGTCGGCGGATTCGCCGGCGTGATCGGGATCGCGCTTCCGCTGCGCGCCGAGGATGAAATCGCCGAGGCTGGGGGAATCTGGACCGGCGAGGCGGTCTCGAAGAGAAGCCAAGGTGTGCTGCTGGCGGGAAAAGGCGATGGATGGAGGAGCGGGTGGAATGGGCTGATGGTTGGACGGAAGGTACGCGGAATGTGCTATTAAATTGGCGGGAAAGAGGGACGGATTGGCGGGAGTCGATGGTTGGCTGGTGCGCGGACGCGAGAGCGCTGGGGCTTCGGCGGAAGATAGGTTGGCGGAAGGTGGGTTAGCGGAAGGAGGGTTGGCGGAGAGCGAGGCGGACTGGACGGACGCGAGCAACGGGGAGAGGGGGATGGAAATAGTTGGAGTTTTGGAGCGGATATGGCGGAGAGCAGCCATGGCTGCAGGCTGCCGAACCAGCCCCCCTGGGACGATTCGAGACGGAATACGCCCGAAGATAGTGGTTAGAGGTTTTCCGTCGCTGCGGACGCAAGCTATGGTCGATAGTCGCCTCGCTAGGTAGGCGCGACCAAGCTGGTTGTCCCTCTGGTAATCCCAAACGGAAAGAGGTGGAGACATGACAACCACCCAACACAAGCCAACCCGTTTGTTGAGGGCGTGTCCGCGGGTGCGTTCGATTGCGGTTAGGTGAGGTGCTCTTTGTGTCAGAAGGTTCAAATGACGATGAGAAACGGTTGGGTAGAGTATTGAGCTAGAAACGTACGCCTGGGACTGGAATGTGAGCAAAGTGGGAGTAAGCCTTCTGAACTTGGGTCCAAGTGTTGGATAGTCGGCTCTTAACTAAGCGCACGTTAACCTCCGAAACAAGCATGACGCTTGGAACGAAACAACCACCCGCCTCCACAGCATAATCGGTCAAACTCGGTGGAGAAAACTCCGTACAGTACCGAGTGCACTGATGTTGACGGTGTGGAGAAAGAACCACGCAATTAGTGAACTTGCGTGATCGTTCCACGTCACCTGCCTCTGTTGCCACCGTGTCAGGGCTGTTTCCCCAGACGGAAAAGGTTCACCCGTGAACCTTGCCGCTTCTCGCTATGTGGCTGAAATTTGTTCATGCATTACAATGTCAGTCGGCCAGGAACATGAATTTACGCGACATAAGAGACATCGCAGCCTCTAAAGAACCTCAAAGCCACTCCACCTCCAGCTTACCACTACCATGGCGAGGACATGAGCATAGCCATCGTTGGCATCCAAAGCAGCATACGGTATATGCACCATAAAATAGGCAAACCATTATGATTACAAGATCAGTAGCATAGAGAGAAAAAAGCGCAATCCAAGAACACAAGGTATAGCAGGAATGAAAAAAACAGGCGCACACAACGCCTAGCCTACGGTACAATGGTGGTGCCTACTCTTTCGAAGGGGTATTATTTCCCATATGGCTGCACCACCAAGGGAACCCGCACTGCATGCGCACTGTTGTCCACCCATGTTATCGACCCATACGAAAAGCCGTCCATTCCTCTGGTAACCTTCAGGTCCACCGAAAATGTTACCTTCTCCCCTGGCGCAATGGTGAATGTAGAAGGTGTGACTGTAACCTTCACATTTGCAGGAGCAACCAGCTTGGCCACATAAGTTGACGCCGCTGTAGCAACACTAGTAACCGTCCTCGTAACAGTCACCGAGCCAAACAGCTTCGACACCGAAATCGACGGCCGGTTGAACCTGTACGCATTCTTGAGCGGCGAAAAGCTGGTTACACTCGGGAACGAGGCCTTCGCCCGCTGCAAATCCTGCCCCGCGAGAAAATTCACGTAATCCTCAAACCCTGCGTCAAAGACAAGCCCAGGGTCCACAACCCTAGGCGGGTCCACATGGCCCGACCCCAGCTCCCACGGCGTAGCATCCTTGTTGAGCCCATTCTTCATCGGCTTCACCACGCGGTACGTGTACCCGCCCTTTCCTACGCCGCTCGTGCCGGGCTTAGACGACGACACAACCATGGTGCGGATATCCGTGGGCGAACCCCCCGGCGTGGCCGTCGTCATAATCGCCGACATCACCCGCGCCGGCGACCAATCGGGGTTCAGCTGCAGGATGAGAGCCGCGATCCCGGCCACGTGCGGAGTCGCCATAGACGTTCCCGAGATGGCAACATACGCAGCAGCCGAGTCCGTGTCATCTGGAGAAGAGGAGATCCAGGGGCCCCAGAGGTTGACACCGGGGGCGACGATGTCGGGCTTGAGGATGTCGTTGGTGGGGTAGGCGGGGAGTTGCATGTCATAGGGGTCGGCCACGGGGCCCGTGGAGGAGAAGGAGGCGAGGGAAGGCACCTCGTCGAACGCTGCTTCTACTGCCGTTCCCACGGTGGCAACGGGCCTGATTGGGGGTGGGGGAGGGGGGAGGAAGGGCAGCAGGTGAATGATGAAGGATATGCATTGGGGTAAGGATGGAATGGAGGAGAAAAGGAGAGACGTGCTACCAGGCATGAAGGGCCCAGCACCACCAGCCTGCTAGAACGAACAAGAAATGCAGCGCGTGGCAGGGTTCTTCTATGAGGGCGCCTAAGCTAAGCCACACTTGCATCACCAACACAAAACCCATTCTAGTCCTCACTTCTTGGTCTTCTTCATGTAGGTGGCCAGAGCCACGGCCTGCTTGAGCGAGAAGTGCAGGTATGGCACGGACGGGCCGGGGACGATAGGGAAGTTGGTGGATCCGTTGCGCACGTTCACCATCACCATGCCCACGCCGCCCGCCAGCTGCACTGCCAGCGTCTTGTTCCAGATGGGGTACACCCCGCGCGAGCAGATCACGATCTTGCCCATTGTCTTGTTCGGGTTTAGGGACTCCTCCTCGCAAAAATCCGCCTGGAGTAGGGGGCGGGAGGGCGGGGCGGAAGAGGAAAGTGGGAGGGCCAGCAGATGACGATCTTGCCAGCGGTTTTGGCTGGGTTGAGGGATTGCTCTGCCTGCTCTGCCTGCTCTGCCTGCTCTGCATGCTCTGCCTGCTCTGCCTGCTCTGCCTGCTCTGCCTGCCCTGCCTGCCCTGCCTGCTCTGCCTGCTCTGCCTGCTCTGCCTGCCCTGCCTGCTCTGCCTGCTCTGCCTGCTCTACCTGCTCTGCCTGCTCTACCTGCTCTGCCTGCGCTGCCTGCCCTGCCTGCTGGCGTCAAAGGTCTCACCTGGAAGACACTTTTCCCCGGAGCCACGGCGTTGCGGGAGTAGATCAGGGGGACGCGCTGCGCGGCCGCAGCTGCCTCCACGGCGTGCGCTTTGAACACCACGCCGTTGCCCAGCGTCAGATGCACTACGAAGCGCCGGCCCATGCTACTGCACAAGGGGCGCGGGGAGCGCAGGGGAGCGCGGGGGAGCGCGGGGGAGGCAGGAGGGCGGGGGACGCGGAGGAAACAAAGGGGGAGGGGAGAGCGTGAGGGTGGGGAAACAAGGTTTGAGACGGCTCAAAAAGACCAAGCCGTTGCCCAGAGCGTCAGGCGCACTATGAAGCGCCGGCCCATGCTAGTGCGGACGAGTAAGGAGCTGCGCCTTCGTGTGAATGATGTGTTGCGCTGTGCAATGAAGAGCTGTAAGGTGAGCTGCAGTACAGAGAGGTGTGGTGCGGTGTGGTGCAGTGCAGCGCTGCGCGGCGTGGCGCTGTGCAGCGGTGGCCCACCTGGCGCCGACGGTGAGGTAGAAGGGCGAGAAGTTGGAGAGCGAGCGGAACATGCCATTGCCCTTGTCGGGGGGGGCTCCGCTGTTGCCCGATGCCATCACTGCCAGCATGCCCGTCTGGGGAAGGGGTGAAGGCCGATGGAATTGGCAGCGCGGGGGGAGAGGTGGGGGGAGAGGTGGGGGGAGAGGTGGGGGGAGAATGGGGGGGATGGGTTGAATGGGGGGAAGAGAGGGGGCGGAAGAGGAAAGGATGTGGGGGGAGCGGATGACGGGAGATGAGGCAGGAGAGGGGGGAGAAAGGAAACGAGAAAACTAGAGATGAAATGACAGGAAAAGAGAGGGAGTAGTAAAAATGAGCAGAAGGAGCAAGCAGCAAGCAAGCAGCAAGCACGCAACCGCCACCCTCCCCTCCCCTGCCCTGCCCTGCCCTGCCCTCCCCTGCCCTGCCCTGCCCTGCCCTCCCCTCCCTTCCCTCCCCTCCCCTTCCCTTCCCTGCCCTGCCCTCACCTTCTGAATGTTCACAAATGGCACGTCGTCAAAGTACGTCGCATAGTCGCTCAGCGCGCCCACGCTCAGCGACACGACGTCCACGCCGTCCGCCACGGCCTGGTCCAGCGCCGCGTACACGTCCGCCATGGTGCCCGTGGTGCCCGACTCCGCCATGCCCGCCTCGCGCCACAGCACCTTGTAGATGGCCAGGTGCGCGCGCGGCGCCATGCCCGTCGCGTGCCCGAGGACCGTGGACGCCGAGATTTTCACTGGCAGCTGCCCGTTGCCGCCCGCCACCCTGTGCTCGGGGGGAAGTGAGGGGTGGTGGGGAGGGGGCGGAGAGGGGGTTGGGAGCAAGGGATGAAGGAAGGGGGTGCGGGGGAGGGGGGAGGGGGGGGAGGGGGGCGCGTGAGAAGGGGGAATTGGGGAACAAGCAGACGAGCGCAGTTCGAGGGTCATAACTAACAAGCACAGCTTTGAGCCACCCACCCATCCACCCATCCACCCATCCATCCATCCGCCCATGGCGCCAACCAACCCATCCACCCATCCGCCCATCCATCCATCCGCCCATGGCGCCTTACCCCGCACACCAGGTGCCGTGGCCGGACGAGTCCCTGGGCGAGAGGTAGTCAAGCGTCTCGTCCACGCCGTACCCCTTCGCCTGGTACCCGCTCACGAAGTGGCGCGCTGTGAGCACCTTGCGGTTGCACATGCCGCTGCTCTCCGCGGGGCACGCGCCCGCCCAGGTCGCTGGAGGGTCTGGGTAAGGCTTGGTGGTCTGGGGAGGGTGCGGAAGAGGGGGAGGAGGATGGGGATCGAGGGGAGAGGTCGGGCTTTGGTTTTAAATCGAAACGCTGAGTCGAATGCGGTCGACTCGAATGGTCTCGCAGAGCGCAGAGGGTGCTGAAATGCAGAGCGGAAGAAGGGGGCATGCAAGCAAAGGAAGGACGGAAGGAAGGGAAGAAGGAAGGAAGCACAACAAACACACACGCCAAGAAGCGACGAAGCAACGCAGGCGAAAGGGGAAGAGGATAGGGGAAGGGAAAGTGGGAAAGGGGAAGCAGAGCAACGAGGCCTCACGTTATCCAAGAACGAGGGGTGCTCGGGCCAGAACCCCGAGTCAATCACGCCGATCACCACCCCCTCCCCCGCGCTCTCTTCCCCGCCGTTCGCCGCCCACAGCGACGCGGGCAGGCGGAGGAAGCCCGGGGAGTTGGTGGTGAACGGGCGCACGTCGGCCACGCGCGCGACGTGCGCCACCGCGGGGTGCCGGCGCAGCTTGGCGGCTTGCGCGGGGGAGAGCTTGGCGGAGAAGCCGTTAGAGGCGAACTTATAGCTGCGCGCGCGGACGGGGGAACGGGGGAAAGGGAGGAGGAGCATTTGAGAAGTACGGCGGAAAAGAAGGGGGGAGAGGGGAGAGGGGAGCGGGGAGCGGGAAGGGGGAGCGGGGAACGGTGAGAGGAAAACTAATTAGGAAGAGATGAGATACAAAGAAAAGTTGGTTGTACGAGGGGAGGCAGGCAGTGTAAGGAGGGGGGAGCGGACGAGAAAGAGAGAGGGGAGGGATGGTAGGAGGCGGACAAGGAGGAAGGGCGGAAGCAGAGGCGAAACGAGCACGTCAAACAGGAAACCCTTTCCCTTCCCCTCCCCCTTCCCCTCCCTCTTCCCGTCCCCCTTCCGCCAAACCTTCCCCTTCCCCTTCCCCTTCCCCTTCCCCTTCTTCTACCCCTTCCTCCCTCTCCGCTCTGCGAAAAGTCCTTGCCCTCCGCTCCAATCATCCCCCCAACCACCCCCCCCCCCCTCCTCTGCCTCAACTGTACACCAGGTTAGCGAGCGGAACCCACGTGATAGAAGCCTAGATAAGAGGTGTCTCAAAAATAGACTCCTCCCCCCACCCCCCCGCCCCCCACCCCCCCTCTCCCCCCCCACCTCCTCCCCGCCCCGCACTGCCTCACCTGTACACCAGGTTAGCGGCCGGAACCCCCGCGTCTCGCGCCACGCGCAGCTGCATCTGGCGCAAGTACCGCCCGAACTCGCGCACATGGGGGGCGCGCACATTCACCTTGCGCTCCAGCCGCTTCCGCCACTTCCCCGCAAGCTTCCCCAGGTTCCTCCCCGCATTCCATCCCGCCCCGCCGTTGCCTCCCCGGCGCCCAAACCTCCGGCGGAACGACGAGACCGCATTGGCGGCACGAGCCGCCATAGTTTCAGCCGCCTTGGATAACGTAGCTGAGGCACTCGAGGTACTACTAGAGCCTAGTTTCAACGCGCTAACCCCGCCGCCGCCGCCGCCGCCGCCGCCGCCGCCGCCGCCGCTGCCGCTGCTGCTGCCGTCGCTAGCTGCCTCGTTGTCGTCGTCGGTGTCGCTATCGGACGGTGCCGTAGCGGGAATGCCGGCGATTCCGCCCTTGTAGTTGACTATAGCGGGGGCGGAGCGAAGGCGGATGGTGTAGAGCTGAGCCCCGCTTGAAGGTTCCGCCTGGCTTTGCGCCGCTGTAACAAGTGAGAGGGACGGGTGAGAGACGAAAAAGCAGGCTTCACTGAGGATGTGCTTGCGAAAAAAGGGAAGCATGGAGAAGGACGGGATGATGTCGATGGAGGGCGGCGGAAGAGGGTGAGATGCGGTTGAGAGGGGAGGGAGGGCGGGGATGAGGGGGGTAGGAGCGGAGGGGGGAAAGAGAAAAGGGGGTGTGTGTGAGAGTGAGGGGGGAGAGAGAGTGTGTGGGGGGGCGACGCACCTAACACCCCACGCGATTCATGCCGTACGCCGAATCAACTCAGAGTCGAGCAAGCACCTCGACCCGTCCCTGCCTCCCCTCCGCCACCTCTCACCTGTCAACTACGCTAGTTGGGTAGGGACGGACTAAACCACGTCACTCTCTGAGACCTGTCCGCCTTTAGCGGGCCCTCAATATGTGACTCAGTCACTCACTCCCTCACTCACGCACTCGCTCATTCCCTCACTCACTCACCTATGTGTGTGCCCGGACCGCAGCCGGCGAGAACCAGTATCCAGCAGGCGAGAGCGAGGAGGACTCGAGGGTGCAAGGAACGCGAGCGGGAGCGGGAGCGGAACGACCCCATTGAGCATCCCATCGAACACGAGACCCCTAATGTACGGGAACCGCGCGAGGGAGACTGTGAGAGGCGAGAGCGGTGCGAGGGCTGAGAGGGGTGAGAGACGTGAGAGAGGGTGTGTTGCCGTTGGGAACTCCTGTGTACAGCGCTGCGTGAGGGACTCGAGTGTGCTTGGCTAGTGGAGTGTGAGCATGACGCTTTAGCCATGTCGGTTCGAGGAGCGGGGGGGGGGGGGGGAGGAGAAGGGGGAGGAAGTGTAGGACTTCGTTACGAAGGGAATCGTACGCTGCGAGTCTCTTCCGGAACTAGGAGGAAATTTTAAGAACTAAGCTGCAGGGATCTCTTAGAACTAAGGCAGAGCTAAATCGTCAGCGATTCGCAAGGCTAGATTGCCAGGGCCTAGCAATGGTTACTGGAACGGACAGCTAAAAGTGAGGGCGCGTGTTTTCGGTGTGCGCAGCGCAGTGGCGGTTTACACGTCATGATACACTCGATACACCGGGGGCGGAGTGTGTAACGGCTACGACAGGTATGCGGGCTTCAATGTCCTACGAAATGTAATTGAGAGGCAGCGATGCGTACAACTAGCTAACCAGACGGTCGGCCTAGAAGACAAGTTTAGCTCGAGCAGCTGTGACTGTAGATCCCCTTGAGTTCTGACACACGCATCACCAACAAATCGCTCCTCAGCTCTTTCTCCCGCTAGGGTTTCTAGCCTCAACAGCTCTGCATCGTGGAGGGTGGCGAGAGGGGGGAGAGGAGGGGGAAGTTTCTGTTCTGCTGTTTCATGCTGCAGATATTCCTATCTCCTGCACAGAGACCTGCACAGTTCCTTGCGTGATGTGCGTGCGTACACGCCCTCCCTCCCACTGCCCAGGCGCAACCCATTCGCAGTTACAGAACAGTACCCCGGCTGATCTGATCTTGTACTCCCTGATAACCGGTATGTAGAGCTAGGTTGGGCTCGGTTTACCGGAGTTCAGTCGGGAACGAAGAGGATGGTCCTGGTCCAGGCGGAGGACAAACCGAGGAAGGCTGTCGGTGAGCCGGACAGGGGAAAGGTGAGAGAATGGTGAAAGAACAAACTGTAGATGACACATTGGGTGTGTCGTTCTACAGTAAATTTCTGTACTGCTACGGTACTGTACAAAACACGCACCGTAAACATTCCAGTCCTTGGCAACTAGGCCTAGCGGAGAGCCAATTGGGGGGGAAGGTGGGGGAACGTCGTCGCGCCCTCATTGGTCGCCACAAAAGCTGACCGACAATGTGGCACAGTGGAGCAGTCGATACAGGACTTTCTCGAGCCTAGTTCACGGCAGCTTTGAGGTTGATGGGCAGGTGTGCGGCTGGAATGGAGGGGGGTGAAGGGGGGAAAGTGGAGTGCAGGCAGAGCCCGGTTTTTCACTTGGGCAGCCCCATTGGCCCTGCCAGAGACTCCCACCACCAAGCTCCCATAGGTTTTTTTGCGATATAGAGTATTCTTCAAGGAACTCATGTTGGTTGTTTGTATGGTCGGTATGTTGATTATAAGCGGAACTCTTAGTGTGGATAGAGTTCATGGTGTAATAAGATTATGGTATATGGAGATGGGGTGCAAGATGAAAGGCAAAACGCATTCCCTAATAGTGTAAATATTTCCTTTATCAATGAAAATTTGCCCCATGATGTTCGGTTTTCCTAAGCATAATCTGGAATGAGTGTAGCTTAGTGTGTACCTTTGGGAAATGTTAAACAAATGCGTGGTGATCATAGTTCATAGAAGAGTTTTGTCAACGTAACACACAATTATACAGTCTCTCTGTCTCGTAAATATCGTCCCGTTGACGGTTCCTCAAGCTCCTCTATCACCTCCTTTCCTTCATCACAACTCACCACCTCCTCACTCTCCTCCGTACCTCCAGTCTGGCTCGCACCTTCTTCGGACAAGTCATACATACATACGGATTAACCGGTGCTGTTACAACCTGCGTCTACCAGTTGCGGATTTTGTAGCCGCACAGCATGCTGTTGTTATGCAGGATCGAAGCTTCTCTCTCCGTTATAACCCTGCTCCGCGCTTCTCCGATATAAACCTTAATCCTTGATCTCAATCCTCCAGCGAAACCCATGCGATCTTGATCCAATGGCTCAGGAGCTTCGGAATTCGCAGGATCTTCCGTTCGTGCCGTACGAGGCGGTTGTGATCTGCGCAGAGGCGGACGGGGTAGCTCCGGCGCTGCTGCTGCGGCCCAAGGCGGAGTTTGTCTCGCGATGGACTCCGCACACGGAGCAAGGCGGGGAGTACCTCTTCAACATGCCAGATGGCTTCGCGCGATTGGCTTTGGAGCATCGCGTGCGCCCTAAGCGAGGCCTGCGCGCGGCGTTCCTCACGTCTCTGGGCCCGGATGCCGCCGTGAGTGTAGATTTGGTCGGATATTTATACTTCTAATGTTAGTATGTTGCTACCTCGAGTACCACCTGTCGTAGCTTGCCCAAAAAAGCGCGTGCATGTAACGAACGTTCATGTGCTTATAACGAACCGTTGACTCTGGTACAGGCTGATGTAGGGTGCGTGCTGTTCCGGCTGAAGCTGGAGGGCCATGGCACGGTGGAGATATGCGGGCCACCGGGCACTGCTGCGTACTGCCACGCGCTACGACACTCCGTTGGATGGAAGCACCCAAAGGTGCGCGTGAGAGAGAGAGAGAGCGTGCGGGAGGGAGAGACAGAGAGAGAGTCAGTCAGTCAGTCAGTCAGTCAGTCAGTCAGTCAGTCAGTCAGTCAGTCAGTCAGTCAGTCAGTCAGTCAGTCAGTCAGTCAGTCAGTCAGTCAGTCAGTCAGTGAATCAGTATGTGAGTGAGTGAGTTAGGGACTGTGCATCGTCGGAGGAGTGTGCATGGCTGCTCCTTAATTGATATAGTTACTGTGCATGGCGGTCCTCAATTAGTATACTACCAAGTACCACCGTATTACTAGCAGTCATCTCTCGCGTTTCAAGGCGTCTTATAACCCAACGTGTTCACTTACTACCTGCATCACGCTCGCCCTTTCAGGCGCTTGCATGGGAAGCAATCTGCTGCTCCTGTTTGACTCCTGTTAAAGCCCAGCTCATGCTCTCACTCCCGTCCGTCCCTGCATCTCACTGTGCATCTCACTGTCTTCCTCAGGTGTTTGTGCGTGAAGCGGATCCAGGGGACCAGCCCGTGTTTGAGGACGGCAATGTGCTGCTCCTCCCTCTCTTCACCCACACCGCCTCCCTCTCCCTCTGCTTCTGCTGCTACCGCCGCCGCCTAGCCCTTCGCCTTGCTGCCCGATCAACTGGCTCTGCTGCTGCTGCTACTGGGAGCTATGGAGTGGGTGTAAGAGGGGGTGTGAGGGGAGAGGGTGGGGCTGGAGGCGGAGGATCAGGGGCAAAGGTTACTGGTAACCACACTGCAGGAGTGGGGAGTGGAGGGCGAGGGAATGGGGGAGAGGCAGGCGAGGAGAATGGTTGCTGCTGTGCTGGTGATGCAGGTGATGATGGTGATAGTTCTGACGATGATGATGATGGTTCTGTGGGAGTGTACAGCTCAGGGGATGGTGGGGTTGAAGGTGGGGAAACCGAGAGTGAGGGAGAGGGTGAGAGTGGGAGTGAGAGTAGCAGCTCTAGTTCGGGCTCGGAACGCAAGGACTCCCCAGGCAAGGTGGCATTGATCAGTGATGCCAAGAAGCCTCGATGCGCCAAGGAGACTCAGGAGGAAGCACAAAAGAAAGGAACTCTGGGGAAGAGAAAGGCACCCAGTACTGACTCGAGCGACAGCGACAGTGAGAGTGAGGAAAAGGTGGAAGAGAAGAGTGAGAAAGCGAGTGAGGGAGAGAGTGGGAGTAGCAGCGAGAGTGAGGGTGAAAGCTCTAGTGGGAGCCAGGGAGGGGAGAAATCAGCATCGAAGCTGTCACGGGAGGAGCTCTTCGCTCGCATGGACGAGGTCTTTCTCAGGGGGGATGGCCGGGGGAACGCACTCCACTCACTCTTCCCTGCCTCCCGCGGCTTGACCACTGGCCCAGCCCTCGGACTGAACCTGAGACGAAGCCTGAGGCAGCGTCACGGACAGAGCGGGGAGCGGAGAGAACTTCGCAGGGGAAAGCAGGAGCAGGGGCAGGGGGAGGGGAAAGGAGGTGGTGCACGAGGTGGTGGAAGTGGTGGTGGGGAAGGGAAGAGAGCTGGCTTTAGCTCTGATGGTAAGCCGGCCGCCGCCGGCCCTGGCATGGGTGGTGTGGCTGGGAGGGGAAGTGAGAAGGAGGAGGATGATCTGATTGTGATTGAGAAGGTGAGGGCGACTGAGGTGATTGTTCTGGAGACCGATAGTGAGGAGGGGGAGGAGGAGGAGGAACAGGAGGAAGAGGAGGAGGAGGGGGAAGGGGAGGAGGAGGAGGAAGAGGGGGAGGAGGAAGAAGAGGGGGAGGACGAGGACGAGGAGGAGGATAAGGGGGAGGAGGTGACGGGGGAAGAGGAAGAGGAGGAAGAGGAGGAAGAGGAGGAAGAGGAGGAAGAGGAGGAAGAGGAGGAAGAGGAGGAAGAACAAGAAGAGAAGGAAGAGGGTGAAGATGATGAGGAGGAGGAGGAGAGTGAGGAGGATGAGGAGAGAGGGGAGCAACATGCGAAGAATACAAGCAAGGGGAAGGCGAAGACATTGACGACAAGGGAAGCACCAGAGAGGAGATCTGCCAAGCGGCTGAAACTGACAGCAGGCAAGCCGCGAGGCGAAAGCGTCGTAAGTGACCAAGCCCAACGTTCCCAGAGACAGCTATCGCTGGGCGTATCTTTCTCCGGTTTCGACACAAGCACGGCACTAAAAGCCACCAACTCCGCGCCCCACTCCTGCTCCTCCGCTGCTGTGGCTGCTGCGCTTGCCCCTGCTGCTGCTACCTCGATATGGGCCCCTATTGAAGCCGCAACGGAAGCCAAGGCGAGCGGAAAACGCGGCTCAAAGAAGCCTGGAAGGCAGGTGATGGCGGGGAAAGGAGCAGCAGCAGGTGCAGCAGCAAGTGCTGGTGCTGCTGCTGGTGCTGCTGCTGGTGCTGGTGCTGGTGCTGGTACTGCTGCTGCTGCTGCTGCTGCTGCTGCTGCTGGTGTCCAGTCGAGACCCCTTCCTGCACTGGCTGCTGTGGCGCCGCTCCCTGCGTGGGACAGTCTTCCGCCTCTAGGCGACTATGAGAACGCCCTGTATGCTATCAGCCGCGTCGACGGTTCAGTGCACACCGTTGCAGAGGCTCTTGCTGCTGCAACTGCTGCTGCTGATGGTGGTGGTGGTGGTGCTGCTGCTGCTACTGCTGCTGCTGCTGCCGCTGCTGGTGCTGCTGCTGCTGCTGGTGCTGCTGGTGCTACAGAGGCTGCTGTGGCCCGTGGTTGTTTCAGCCCCCTGTCAGTGAGCAACCAAGGAGCGAACTACTCACCTCTGGTCGGCGGGTTAGGGCACAGTGGCGGTGGAGCGGGGACCAGAAGGGAGCGGCTGGCAATGGCTGGGAAAATCGTGCCTCAGATGGCGGGCTATGTGGTGTTCTTTAAACAGGCTGGGACTGCTATTCTGATCACGGATTGTAGCAGCGCTGAGGAAGCTGCCGCGCTGCTTCCGATTGCGTCGGTCTGCAGTGGGTGTATGGCTGGTGCTGGGGGTGGTGAGGGAGGGGGAGGGGCGGCTGGGGAGGGAAAAGGGAAGGGGTTGTGTCACTGCGGCAGCGGGTTTAAGGCAGGTGGTAAGGCAGGAGTCTGCAGTGCTGCTGCTGCTGCGGCTGCTGCTTCTGTTGGTGTTGCTGCTGGTAATGCTAAGGTGCCAGAAGTGGGTCCCCTCACAGTGGCATTCCACCTCAGCGCTCGAATGATGCTGTCCTCGCCAGCTCATCGCGCGCTGGTTGACAGGCTGGCAACGCCTCGTGTGCTGACAGGGGGCCTGACGGCACCTGGTGTTTCCTCTCCCGTGGTGACGCAAGCTCCTGGTATGGCTCAAGGCAAAATGAGCCGGGTACTATTTGAAAATCCCAAAAAAAACCATCAGAATCATCATCAGCAGCAGTGGCAGCAGCAGCTGCAGCAGCAGCAGCAGAAGAGGAACCAGCTGGTGTGGCAGCAGGGGCCTAGGAGGAGCCAGCGAGAGATTCACCAACAGCAGCAGCAGCAGCAGCAGCAGCAGATTCAGCAAGCACTACAGCGTGGCCAGGAACAAAGCTTGTCCTCACCGCCACCGCTGCTAGAGGTGCGACAGGTGCTGGCCCGTGCAGGCCCCAAGGAATACGGATTCATCAGTACGCTGAAGCAGCTATGCCGGCTTCATGCCATAGACCCCGCAGTTTTCCCCTTGCCGGGGCAGCAGGGATACGGGTCGGATAAGGGGATAGTGAAGGAGGGAGTTGTGCCAGGGAAGGAAGGCTGTACAGTAGATGCTGTTTTGGAGGTGAGAGAGAGGCTGCTGCACGGTGGGAGGGGTGAAGGGGCCAGGGCTGGTAGGATGGAGGAGAGGGAGAAGGGGAGAGGGGTTGAAGAGGAGGAGGAGGTAGATAGGAGTATGTTTGGGAGAGGGGGTGGGGGAAGGCGTGGGGGTGTGGTGGCAGGGAGGCTGCTAATGCAGGTTGGGATTGGAGTAGGGGAGGTGGCTGAGGATGTTGCGGGAGGGGATAGGGCAGGGGGTGCTGTGGGGAGTGGGTCGGGGGGAGGTGGAAGGAGAGGTGGGAGGAGTGGGGAGAGGTGCAGGGTGGTTCATGCGTGTGTGGAGTATGACAAGTGTCCTGAGGTTGTGGATCCAGTTAAGGTGTGGGAAGAGGTGGGTGGGAGGGAGTTGTGGGAGGAGGAAGAGAGGGAGAGGGAGAGGGAGAGAGAAAGGAAGGCGGAGAGGGAAAAGGAGAAAGAGAGGGAAAAGGAGAAGGAGAAGGAGAGGGAAAGGGAGAAAGAGAGGGAAAGGGAGAAAGAGAGGGAAAAGGAGAAAGAGAGGGAAAAGGAGAAAGAGAAGGAGACGAAGGAGGTGGAAGGGGAGAAAGAGGAGGCTAGGGAGAGGAAAAGGAACGGCAAGAAGAAGAAGGGAGAGGCGAGAGCAGGTGACAAGGGGGCCGAGAATGGGAAGGAAACGTTGAGTGGTGCAGGGAGGAAGGTCAAACGGAAGCAGCAGGAGGAATCTGAAAAGGAAGACTTAGAAGAGAAGGAATTAGAAAAGAAAGAGGAGGAGGAGGAGGAGGAGGAGGAAGAGGTGGAGAAGGCGAGGATGAGGAAGAAAGCGATGAAGCTGAAGCGACTGGAAAAGAGTTTGGAGCAGTGGTCTAAGGAGGTGGTGGGTGAGGGAGAGGAGGATGTGGAGGGGGAGGATGAGGAGCCGAAAGGCCGGAAGGAGAAGGGAAGAAGACCCGAGAAGAAGAAGAAGGCGGTGCCGGCTGGGAAGGCGCAGCGGGGAAGCAAGAGGAAGGGAGGTTTGGTGGTGGCACAGAGTAAGGTTGTTAAGGTGGCAGCTGTTATGCCAGTGACGAAGAAAAAGAGCGCAAGGGGCGGCAAGAAGAAGCTGAAGAAGAATGAGATTTTAGAGGTGCTTCAACAGGAGGAGGAGGAGGAAAAGGAGGAGGAAAAGGAGGAAAAGGAAGTGGAGGAGGAGGTGGATGAGGTGGATATTAAGAAGAGAGAAGAGAACGAGGTGGCAAGTGGTGAAGGGAAGCCGTCTGGTGCGCCCACGCCCAGTGCCCCCTCCTCAGAACGTTTGGGTGGAGAAGCAAAGAAGGGGATGGAGCAGGGGAAGGAGCATGTGAACAATGACGGTGAGGGGGCGGGCAGGGTGGGAGGGGGAGGGGTGTTGCAGTGGTGGGTTGACAAGGGAAGGGAGGAGGGTGGGGTGAAAGACGTGGGGGCGAGTGGGGGGGGTGAAGTGGAGGACGGGGAAGGGGAAGGGGAAGGTAGGGAGGTTGAGGGAAGGCGTGTGGAAGGAGGGGTTGGTGTGGCGATTGCGGCTGTTGTTGTGAAGAACGAGGAGGAGATCGAACTGGATGAGAACGAGGAGGAGGAAGAGGAGGAGAAGGGGGGGCGGGGGAAGGGAGAGAACAGAGAGAGGGGAGAGAAGGGAGAGGAGAGAGAGGAGGTGAGGAAGGTTGGAGGAGTGAAGGAGAGGTTCGCTGGTGGGGTTGTTGCTGGTGGAATGGTTGCACGTAATGAGGAAGAGATAATATTGGATGAGTGTGAGGATGAGGGGGGGGAGGAGGAAGAAGAAGAAGGAAAGGAGGGAGTAGATAAGGCAGGAGGGGGGAAGGAGGGAGATGGGTGCCAAGGAGGTGAGGAAGAGAAGGGTCGAGGGCACGGAGAGGAGGGCAGGAAGGCGAGCGCGGGGCAGGGCGGCAAGCTGACTAGTTCTGGCGCAGCATCTGGGCAAAGGGCCTCAGCAAGTAGTGAAGCAGCTGAGGCTGTAGCAGCCGAGGGTGCAGCAGCAGGAGGAGCACCAGCAGAAGGAGCATCGGCAGCATCAGAAGCATCGGCAGCAGCAGGAGCATCGGCAGCAGCAGGAGCAGCAGGAGCACCAGCAGCAGGAGCAGGAGCAACAGCAGCAGCAGCAGCAGCAGGAGCAGCAGCAGCAGCAGCAGCAGCAGCAGCAGCAGCAGCAGCAGCAGCAGCAGCAGCAGCAGCAGCAGCAGCAGCAGGAGCAGGAGCATCAGTCGCAGCAATTAAGGGGGTCGTACCATCGGGGAGCCAGGGGTCTGCACCATCTGCCAAAGGATCTCCAGCGCCAGCAATGTTCGGGTCTGTACTGTGTGCTGATGGCTCTCCCAGTTCAGCCAACAAGTCTGCCGCACAGCGGATCAGGGAATCGCTGAGCAAGGGCAAGGACGTGCGGAAAGAAGGCAGTGAAGAGATGGCAATGAGTAGGGAAGGCACGGCACAGCAAAAGACGGCACGGCAATTGCTGCCAACGCCACAAGTGGCACAGCCACTGGCAGCGCTAAGAGCAGCGGTATCACCAACAGTGGCAGCAGCAGCAACGGAGGTAGCAGCAATAATGGCAGGGGCAGCAGCACCGGAACGGGCGCCACCCTGGATTCGTGCAGATCCCCCACCACCACCAGCTGTACCACCACCAGCTGTACCACCACCAGCAGTACCGCCACCAGTGATATTGCCACCAGCAGTACCACCACTGCCACAACCATTGCCACAACGACCACCAGTGCAGCAACAACCGCCACGGCCACAACCACCAGTGCAGCAACAACCGCCACTGCCACAACCACCAGTGCAGCAACAACCGCCACTGCCACAACCACCAGTGCAGCAACAACCACCACTGCCAGATCCACCATTGCCACGATACGTGCCAGCACCATGGGGTGCTGTACCCAGGCCTGCTGTTACACAGTTACCGCATTCCACAGCAGCAGCAGGTTTTGGTGTGGAGAGAGGCCCCTATGCGTACCATGGCCCTCCCTCACAGTTCCCCACCCCCGTCCAGGCGAGACATGCACCACTGCCCTTTCCAATGGGCCCATCTCCCATGCATGGGCCAATGCAGCCAGCCATGCAGCCAGCTATGCAGCCGCCAATGCAGCCAGCAATGCAACCGTCAATGCAGCCGTCAATGCAGCCGCCAATGCAGCCGTCGATGCAGCCGTCAATGCAGCCAGCAATGCAGCCGTCAATGCAGCCGTCAATGCAGCCGTCAATGCAGCCGTCGATGCAGCCGTCAATGCAGCCGTCGATGCAGCCGTCAATGCAGCTGTCAATGCAGCCGTCAATGCAGCCGTCGATGCAGCCGTCAATGCAGCCGTCGATGCAGCCGTCGATGCAGCCTTCGATGCAGCCATTGCACCTGCAGCCCGTACTGCAGGCAGAAACAGGCGGCCCTCCAAGGTATGTGCCATCACCACGGCCTTTCCCGCAGTTCCAGGCTCGTTCGGTAGCAGCAACACCTGTGGTGCAGTCACCGTTAGTGGAGAGTCCAGGAGCAGGGGTTTCACTGGCACAGACACCAGTACCGCCAGTAATGGCAACTCTACCACCAGCAGCACCAGCAGCACCAGTTACACCATTTGCAACAGCGAAGCGAGCAGCACCATCACCAGCACCAGTAGCAGCACCAGCAGTAGCACCAGCAGCAGCACCACCAGCAGCAGCAGCACCAGCAGCACCAGCAGCAGCAGCTGTAGTGCCATCAACTGCAGCAGCAGCAGTAGCAGCAGCTGCGCCACCAAACCGAACACAAGCCCCATCGCCCCCCCTTCCTCTTCCCCTTCCTCCTCACTCCCCATCCCCTCTTCAAACGCCTCCCTCTCCTTCCCCTCCTCTAAATCCTCTTGCCACTTCTAAGCCTCCTCCCAGCAGCCCTCCCATATGCCCCTTAGAGGTAACATTCCTCGGAACAGGCTCGGCTGAACCTGACAAGCTTCGGGGAACCAGCGGCATCCTGCTCCGGTCAACAGTGACAGGCCTGAACGCCTTGCTGGATGCAGGTGCGGGAACGCTGGGAGCACTCAAGCGGAGGTTCGGGGAAAACCAGGTTTGGGAGGAAATTCGGCGATTGTCGGTGGTTTGGGTGTCCCACAAGCATGCGGACCACATGCTTGGACTTGTGCCGATCCTGTTTGGCTACCGAGAGGCGCAGGAAAGAGAATCAAGGACGAACGGGTTTGGGCGGTACTGTAGGTGTAAGTTCCCCAAAGCCGACCTGCAGAGCAGCAAGCAGCAGGAGCAGCAGGAGCAGCAGGAGCAGCGGCAGGAGGAGAGGGATGGGGACGAGGAAGAGGAGAAGTGGAAAAAGGAAGCAACTTCATACCCTCTCTCCCACCTGAGGCGCAGGCAGAAGGTGTGGCAGAGGAAAATAGCAGCACTCACATCAGCGTCGTCGCTGCCCCGTTTCTCCCCCACCACTCCGCTTGAGCATGGGCAACACAAGAGAGGCAGGGAGGGAGACGCAGGGACAAGTGAAGACAGGAGGGGTGGGGGGGAAATGCAGAGCGACAGGCAGGGAGGGGGTGTTTGGGAGGACGAGGAGAGGGAGTGGGCATGTTCTGTGTGTGGGAGGGCAGTTGCCAAGGTTCCGAGGAGGAGTGTCAGCAGGGCAGGGGAGCCAGGGAAGCGGCAGAAGCAAGGTGGGGAGAGGGGGACAGGGGATGTGAGCCGAGGGGCGGTGGCTGCAGGTGGTGTGAAGCCGTTGCTGATTGTCGGACCACATCTGGCTGAAAAGTGGCTGGCTGAGGTGGGTGAAGGTGTCCTCCTATTCTTACTTCCTCTCCCCCCCCCCCCCCCCTCTCTCCCTCCACTTTTACCCCCCTCCTGTCCTCTTCCCTTCCTCCGCACCCAAACCCCCCCTCACCCCCGCCTTCCTTTGGATTATTCGTACGCTGCCTGCCCCCCATTCTCTCTGCGTCTTGGCAGGTTTTTGCTTTTGGTTCATTCCATCAAACACTGCCCCCTTTCTCTCCGCGTCTTGGCAGGTATCGTCGGCCTATGCGGTGTCGTCCCGGCCCTTCCCTCCGTACCGCTTTGTGCACTGCAGCAACTTGAGCGCGTTCCCGCGCTTGGTGCCGCACAGCAGAGGGGCGTGGGATGGGGAGAACCAGCTCCGACAGCAGAACTACCAGAATCAGCGTCATCAGCACCAGCATCATCACCAGCACCATCATCAGCATCGGCATCATCAGCACCACCAGCATCGACATCAACGTCAGCATCAGCATCATCAGCATCAGCACCATCAGCAGCAGCATCAGCAGTTTGGTGTTTCTGTGGAGAATTTGAAGCAGCATCTCCTGAGGCAGCTGGGCCTCACCAATATCAAAGTGAGCCTTTCGCCCATTTTCCTATCCGTGTTTTTTACTTCTGTTCTTTTCGAGAGATCTGAGCTTTTGTGTAAGAACACACTGACACAAGTATACATATATTACACACACACACACACACACACACACACACACACACACACACACCTATATATATATATATATATATATATATATGTATATGTACATTTGTAATTTTGTTCGAATTTCACAAAACCGTTAAGTGGCCGGATCCCTTTTCAGCCTTACACCCCCCTCGGCTCCTCTCGCTGTTTCTTCTTCTCCGCAAACGTGGCCACTGTTTCTCGCTGCCCTTTCTCTATTTGCGCTCGCATTTGCCCTCGTTCTTCCTGCTTCCCATTCTGCCTAGCACCTAGTTATCCTTTCATCTCACCCTCTCTTGCTGCTTACTCCTCCTGCTCGCTTGTGCTCCCTCACTCGCTTTTCTCCCTCACCCGCTTTTCTCCCTCACTCGCTTTTCTCCCTCCCTCGCTTTTGTTTCGTCCTTGCGTTGCTCTACCAGGCTGTCCCCGCCATTCACTGCGCCGATTCTTGGTCTCTCATTCTCTGGGGACCCGCTCCTGCTACACCTGCTACAGCTGCTACAGCTGCTGCTCCCCTTGCTCCTCTCCCTTCTCTTGCTCCTACTCCTCCTCCTGCTCTTACTGCTCCGTCCCCTCCTGTTTCTACACCTGCTCGGGGATTCGAGGGCCTGAAGGATCAGCAGGAGCCTGAGAAGCAAAGAAAGGATGGAGATGAGGAGCAAGTGCTGGAGAAAAAGGAGAGGGATTGGGTGGAGAGAGGAGAGCAGAGGGAGCAGCGAGAGCAGGGAGAGCAGCCAGAGCAGAGAGAGCAGCGAGAGCAGAGAGAGCAGAGAGAGCAGCGAGAGCAGGATGGGTTGCCGCAAGAGCAGCAGCTTTTTGAGGGGGGCTGTGGAGAGGGGCGTGGGATGGGGATGGGAAGAGGGAAGCAGCAGCACCTGGCGCAGCAGCAGCAGATGGGGTTGCAGCCGCCAATGCACCAGCCGGTGATGGGTATGCGGGTCCTTGAGAATTCTCGGGACTTAAGCTCTAGTTACTCTGAAGCACGGTTTGGAGTGCAGCCCAGAAGGGCAGCGGAAGAGGCAGAGAAGGTGCGAGTGCAGGGAGGGATCGTGCAGGCGCAAGCACAGTTTGACTTCCAGGTTCAAGCTGTGGTGCACATGCCGACGATTAGCCACATGCAGGCACCAGTTAGTCACATGCTACCGCCACCCAATCCCATGCAGCCACCACCCAATCACATGCAGCCACCACCCAATCCCATGGGGCCACCACCCAATCACATTCAGCCACCACCCATTCACATGCAGCCACCACCCAATCACATACAGCTGCAACCGTGGTTGAACCAGCCCCAAGTGCAGATGCATCCCCAACAGCTGCACCAAAATCATCACTACCAGTACCAGCAGCAGCAGCAGCAGGAGCAACAGCAACAGCAACAGCATCTGCAGCAGCAGCAGCCACAGAGCCAACCCCACGACCACCATCAGCCGCCGTGGCAGCAGCAGCAGTATCAGTACCACCAACACCAGCAGCATCACTCCCAACAGCACCAGCACCAGCATCAACACCATCATCAGTACGAGCATCAGCAGCAGCTGCAACAGCAGCAACAGCAGCAGCAGCAACTCCAGCAGCAACAGCAGCAATACCAGCAGCAACACCAGCAGCAATACCAGCAGCAACACCAGCAACAGCAGCAGCAATACCAGCAGCAACACCAGCAACACCAGCAACACCAGCAGCAACACCAGCAGCAGCAGCAGCAATACCACCAGCAGCAGCAGCATCAGCTGCTTCCCCCGCAGGCACTTGTGACCAGGGGCGTCCAGGCACCGTTTCAACCAGAACAGTTGGTAGCACAAGCACGGCCTTTCACTATGCACGTCCATCGCATAGCGCAACTGCAGCAGCCACACCAGCAGCATCTCCTAAACCATCCGCACTACCAGCAACAGCAGCAGAACCAGCAGCAGATGCTGATGCAGTCCCTGGGGCAGATGCAGCCGCCAGGGCAGATGCAGCCGCCAGGGCAGATGCAAATACAACTGCAGGAGAAGCCACGCGTTCGCATCCAGATTGATGTAGAGCTCCAGCCCCAGGGGGTGCCCATGCTGCTGCATGTGGACCCTCAGGGCCAGGTGAATCTTCAGGTGCTGCCACAGCCTGCCACAGGCGTTGCGCCACAGGCAGGAGCAGGGTCTCAGGTGGGAGTTCGGAGAGATCAGGGGGCACGGGAAGAGCAGCTGATGCAGGGGCAAGGGCAGCTGCAGCAGCAGGTGCAGTTGCAGGCTCAGCAGCAGCAGCAGCAGCAGCAGCACCTTCCTCCCTTTGGACAATCTCAGGAGCATGGCGACCAGCACTTTTCCGGCCCTCGTACCACTTACGAGCGAACAGAACAGCGGGTCCAACTACAGACCACCTCTCACACCGCCACATTCACCAGCACGCGACTCACCACCCACTCCACCATCAAATCAGCCACAGCCGCCGCCGCTGCTGCTGCTGCTGCACGCACCGCCACCACCACCACCACTACAACCACGAGCAGCAGCAGCAGCATGACATGGTCGTTTGCCTATTCGGGAGACACCCGTCCGAACGACAGCTTTGCCCGGGAAGCAGTGGGGTGCACGCTGCTGGTGCACGAGGGCACGTTTGCGTGCGAGTATGTGGAGGATGCGCGGAGCAAGCTGCACTCGACGGTGGAGGAGGCGGTGGGGGTGGCGAGGAAGATGCTTGCGGAGCAACTCATTCTCACCCATTTCAGCAAGAAGCATCGCGGGGTGAGTGTATTGAGAGGGCTTGAGGATTGCGGGTTAGCATTGAGGTGTGTGTGAGGATTGACAGGGAGGCGATTGGTTGATATATGTGTGTGTGCCTGCGTAAGTGTGCGATTGATCAGGTTCGTTGGGCTTCGGATGGTGTGAGTGGTTCGTGGGTGGGCAATTAGAGTCCGAGAGTGTCTTTGCCTTTGGAGGATGCGCGGAGCAAGCTGCACTCGACGGTAGAGGAGGTGGTGGGGGTGGTGAGGAAGATGCTTGCGGAGCAACTCATTCTCCCCCATTTCAGCAAGAAGCACCGCGGGGTGAGAGCTTTGCGGGAAAGGTCAAAGATGAGCGTTGAGGATTGGAAATTGAGAGGGCGACATTGAATGAGAATGAGTTGCTCTGCAAGTATCTTCCTTGCCACTTCCACCGCCTCCTCCATTGTGAGTGCAGCATTGCTAAAAGAGCGTTGAAGGTAGGAAGAGCATTGACTTCGCGTATTGGGTGATGCCTATTCGCCTGCATGGTGGGTGTGACTCATTGGTGGGTGTCAGCATGTGTTTCTTTTGAGCATGAGTTGTCTATGGTTGGGCAGCTAGGAATTGAGAGGGTAGAGCAGTAAAATTTTATTATTTTTTTCCCAACCTGTGCCCGCCCATTCCTGCTTGCAGGTGTCTGAGCTGGACCCGCGGAGAACAGCTGGTAGCAGTGAGGGAGCAGCAGCAACAGCGCAGCAGCAGAGGCAGCGAAACCAGCAACAGCGGCAGGGGAAGCGGCAGCAGGCGCAGGAGATAGAGGAGCAGGAGCAGAAGGGAGAGGCAGAGGCTGGCAAGCAGCAGGAGCAGCGGGTGGAAAAAGCAGCAGTGCCTGCTGTGCCAGCAGCTCTGGCATTTGATGGCATGGTGGTTTTGCCAGCTGCCGCTGCCCGCCTATCGTCTCTCCAGCCCAGGATCTTCAGAGCCCTGGATGGGTAGCTTGTATGGGCCCTGGGTGTCTCGAGCTTGGATGATGGGCATGGCGGTGGGGAGTGGTGTGAGAGATGAGGTGGATGTGCCAGCAGGAAGGAGATACAGTAGTATAGGTGAAGTGCAGCTCTGGTATATACTGTCCCGGGACAAGAATCCATGGTGCGTCAGTTCGTGCTAATCTCTCCGTGTTACGTGGTGGGAGGAGCTGCTTGTAATTTGTTGCTTCTGGCAGATAGTTGTTTCCCTTCCCTGTACCCCCGTGCTGTAACTTTGTTCCCCCGTCTGTCATCACGTCACAAACAACTGTCACAGCAAATATTCACTTAAAACCCTGGAGTGTAATATGATTAGGCAGAAAATATAGTTCTCTGAAACTTCCACTACGATTGGACAGAAAACATAGTTAACTCTGAAACTTCCACTCCAACAGCTCATGTTGGGTTGGGAGAATGGCATACCCCGCTATTTTGTCGCTTTGAACACTAGATACCTGTCAAACATGTGTATTTGTCATGTTTGTATGGACTGTATAGGGTCGCCTCTTAGAGAGTACAACACGTAGGTATATACTCTCACTCTATCTGATATTCACTTCTCAATTCTGATATGGTATCACGCGTAGGTAGGATCCCCCCCCACCTACCGCTTCCGCTCACCCCTCTAGCCCCTAGCCCCGTCGCGACCCCCCCTAGCCCCGTCGCGCCCCATCCTGGGCCCTGTAGCGCCCCTCCTGAGCCCCGTCGCACCCCTCACTGGGCCCCGTCGCGCCCCTCCTAGGCCCTGTAGCGCCCCTCCTGGGCCTCGTCGCGCCCCTCCTGGGCTCCGTAGCGCCCCTCCTGGGCCCCGTCGCGCCCCTCCTGGGCCCCGTAGCGCCCCTCCTGGGCCCCGTCGCGCCCTTCCTGGGCCCTGTAGCGCCCCTCCTGGGCCCCATCGCGCCCCTCCCAGGCCCCGTTGCGCCCCTCCTGGGCTCCGTAGCGCCCGTCCTGGGCCCTGTCGCGCCCCTCCTGGGCTCCGTAGCGCCCCTCCTGGGCCCCTGTAGCGCCCCTCCTGGGCCCCCGTCGTGCCCCTCCTGGGCCCCGTAGCGCCCCTCCTGGGCCGCGTCGAGCCCCCCCCCCCTCCTGGACCCCGTCACGCCTTCAGGCCCCGTCGCGCTCGCCCGGCCCCGTCACCCCAGCCCGGCCCCGTCGCACCAGCCCGGCCCCGTCGCACCAGCCCGGCCCCGTCACGCCCGCCCGGCCCCGTTGCACCCGCCCGGCCCCGTTGCCCCCTGCCCGGCCCCGTCGCAGCCGCCCGGCCCCGTCGCACCCGTCCGGGCCCGTCGCGCCCGCCCAGCCCCGGTGCGCCCCTCCTGGGCCACCGTCCTGCTCGCCCGGCCCCGTCGCACCGGCCCGGCACCGTCGCACCAGCCCGGCCCCGACGCACTTGCCCGGCCCCGTCGCACCAGCCCGGCCCCGTCGCGCCCGCCCGGCCCCGTCGCGCCCGCCCGGCCCCGTTGCACCGGCCCGGCCCCTGCGCTCGTCCCTGCCCCGGCCCCGGTCCTCCTCACTGGTACGGTTTCCCCCCCCCCCCCCCCCCCCCCCGCCCTGCACTGCCCTGCACCGTACTGCCCCGCACTGCACCGCCCCGCACCACCCTGTACTGCCTGGCACCGCACTGCACCGCCCTACACCGCACTGCACCGCACTGCATCGCACTGTACCGCACGGCACCGCACTCCACCTTGCTGCACTGCCCTGCACCGCACTGCACTGTTCCTGATGGCGGCGGAGCTTCGCTTCGACGCTGAAGGCCAGCCTCTGGAGTTCGAGGCGTGGCTTGCCGACCTCCGTCGCCAACTCACTGGCCAGCGGCAGGATGGTGAACCGCTCTCCGCACACCTTGACGGTACGCTCCCCTGCCCAGACCCCCCTGCTACTCTGCCCGCTGACTCCACACCCACTGAGCGCGAGTCCACTGCTGCCACTGCCCGTGCGCGCTCTGTCTGGCTTTCTCGCGATGCTGTCGCCCAGCTTGCCATCAGCAACGCCCTTCCCCCGTCCGAGCGCCCTCGCTTTAGGTCTCTCACCACTGCTCAGGCATACTTAGATGCTGTCATCCAGCGCTATTCCACCCCTCCGGCTGTCTCGGTGGGTCGCCTGATCCTCCCGATGCTCTTTCCTGACCTTGCATCTTTCCCCACTGTCTCTGACCTCGCTGCCCACCTGCGCTCGATAGATGAGACCTGGCGCGCTGCCTGCACTGATGCACAGCTTAGAGCCCACCAACCGCCCATTACCTCTACCCTCTACCTGCTTGCCACCCGCCTCCCTGACCGCCTTGCTGTCGCCCGCGACCGCTTCCTTAGCATTCACCCCGCAGACCTCACCCTCACTGACTTTGTAGACACCCTGACTGTGATAGAGACCCGCCACCGCTCCATCGCCCAGGCGAGCGGTGTCGTGCCGGTCCCTATCTTTCAGGGTTGTGCCCCCGCCCAGTGTACCTTCTCCGACGGCTCTGCCGCAGTGGCTGAGACTGCTGCTGCAGCGCAGTTTCGTTCGGGGAAGGGCCGCCGCCCCAAGGTTGGGCGCGGCGGCGGCGGCGGCGGGGGTGCGGGAGGGGGTAGTGGTGGGGTCGGGTCGTCTGGTGCTGGAGCGGACGAGGGGACCCTGCCCAGTCCAGCTGAGCCGCCGCCCCTGCAGTTGCAGCAGCCGCAGCAGCCGCCGCAGTCGCAGCCTTCGCAGCAGCCGTCGCAGACGCGGCAGACGAGTGTCCTCCCACCCGGGTGGCACGGCGCTGGCGGTGGCCGGGCGCGTGGTGGTGTGCCGAGTGGTGGCTCTGGCGGCGGGCATTGTCAGTACCAGATCCAGACCGGTCCTCGCCGCGGTTTCGTTTGCGGTAGGCTCGGTCACTCCACTCCCCGCTGTTTTCGTCGCCTGGACGACCTCTTTCGTCAGCGCTTCGGCCCATCGCCAGACCTCCCGGACTAGCACAGTTTGCTTAGTCGTAAGATTCAGATTTTTGATATGGACATGGATGCCATTGTTGCTGCTCTGCATGTAATGTATGCTGATGACTCTAGTGTGCTTCCCGCTTATTACTCACTGTTGCCTAGTGTAGGTGTGCCTAGCTTAGCCTCCCCTGCTGCGTCAGGCGTAGGATTCCCTTCTTTGTGTAGTCTTGGTGCTTCCGCCGTCGTTCCGTTGCCAGACGCCTCTGCTTCGCTTTCCTTCACCTTGGACTCTGGCGCTTCTCGGTGTTTCTTCCGCGACTCCACCACCCTGACGCCGCTTCCTGTCCCAGCTGCCGTTTCTCTTGCTGACCCCTCTGGCGGTCTGGTAGTCGCCCGCAGTTCCACCACCCTTCCCTGTCCGGCGGTTCGTTCGGGCTCTCTCACAGGTCTGCATATCCCCTCGTTCTCCAGGAACCTAGTTGGTGTCGGCTGCCTCCAGGACCTTGGCGTCACCACTACGTTCCCTGGTCACGAGCGGTATGCTGTCTGTACCTAGGCCGCCACTGGTGCCCCCCTATCCACGTTCCCCCGGGACCCGGTGTCCGGCCTGTTCACTCTGGACACCGTGACCCCCCCGGCTGGGGCGCCTCCTCAGGTGGCTGCGTCTACCCAGGTTGCTGCTGCCTGCTCCTGTCGGTCCCTCACTCACCCGACTCTCCTTTGGCACCACCGCCTAGGTCACCCTGCGCTCCCGCGTCTGCGTCACATGTCCCAGCACGGTCTTGTCCTTGGTCTCCCAGGTTCCCTCCCCGCGTTTCCCTCCTCCCTAGCCCCACCTTGCACGCCTTGTGTTGAGGGTCGGCTTCGCCGTGCCCCGCACTCCTCCTCGTTTCCCCCTACCGCCGCGCCGCTGCAGACCCTGCACCTGGACGTCTGGGGCCCCGCCCCCGTCCCTGGGCCGCGTCGAGAGCGCTACTTCCTTGTGCTTGTCGACGACTTCACTCGTTACACCACAGTCTTTCCCCTGGAGCGCAAGGCCGAGGTGCCTGGCGCTCTCATCCCCTGGCTTGTCTCTGCGCGTGTCCACCGCGGTCTCCCTGTCTTGCGTCTTCACTCCGACCGTGGTGGCGAGTTTGCCTCAGGTGTCCTTGGTCGCTTTTGTCGTGCGGAGGGCATCACCCAGACGTTCACCCTACCGGACTCCCCACAGCAGAATGGGGTCGCTGAGCGACGCATCGGTTTGGTCATGGAGGTGGCTCGCACCTCCATGATCCATGCCGGTGCACCCCATTTTCTGTGGCCGTTCGCTGTGCGCTACGCTTCTCACCAGCTTAACCTGTGGCCGCACCCTCAGCAGCCGCAGGTTTCGCCGACTCGTCTTTGGACTGGGTCTCCTGGTGACGCGTCTGCGTTCCGCGTCTGGGGCTGCCTTGCTCACGTCCGTGCCTCCGGCACAGACAAGCTCACTGCCCGCACCCTTCCCTGCGTCTTCCTCGGTTTTCCCCTTGACGCGTCCGACTGGCACTTTTACCACCCGCCGTCTCACCGCTTCTTTCACTCTCGTGACGTCACCTTTGACGAGTCCGTCTCCTACTACCGTCGCTTCCCCCACCGTGGTCCCCCGGTTACCCCCCCCCTGTTCCTGGTCACTCCTTCCCCGGTAGTCCCTGCCCCTCCTCCTCCTCCTCCCCGTCCCGCCCCCTCTGGTGTGTCCCACGTCACCCCCCTTCCGTCGGTGGACCCGGTTGAGGAGTCTTCTGACTCTGGTGGCCCTCCTGTTCAATCCTCGCCGGCCGCCCCTCCCCTGGCGTCCCCTCCCCAGTCCCCCCCTCCACCGCCTCTGCCGCCGCTGCAGCCGTCGTTGTCGCTGCCGCCGCCGTCGCAGCACCCGTTCGCTGACTCTGGGGGTGCTCGTCCCGGTAGCCCTGGGGGGGGTCCCTCTGGGGGTGCTGGTGTGGAGAGTGCCGGTGGTAGCCGAGGAGCAGCTTGCGGTCCCGGTGTCGCCGTTGTACCGCCGCAGCAGCAGTCCCCGCCGGTGTCAGCCCTTCGCCTGCTCGGCCTTCTGTCCCCCGACCCTGCGTCGGTTCCTCCCCGGCCGTCTCCTCCTCTTCCTGTCTACGGCCCTGTCTTCCCTCCGCCGGACTCGTCCCCGGCCCGTCTCCCCCCTCGTTCCCCTCCTGTGTCCCCTCCTCTGTCTCCTGACCCGACTCATCCATCGCACGTCTCGTCTCACCGTCCCTCCCGTGCTCGTCCAACCTCGCCTGTCTTGCGCTCCCACCCTATGTTGCTTCGGTCCCACGCGTCTCGTCCTCCCCTTCTGCCGTCGCCTCCCCCGTCCTCCCTTGTTGTTGCACTCCCCCCGCTGTCTGACTACCTTCGTGCCGCTCGTCCCCTTGTCTCGAGTCCTTGCCTCTCTCGTTACCGACCCGTCTGTTCCTACCTGGTGCCTTGACGCTCTTGTCGGTGCTGTCGCTGACTTCGCCTCTACCCGCCGCCTTGACTACGCCTCCGCTCTGGTCTCTGACCCTGCCTGTCCTCCGTCTGTCGGGGGTGCTCCTGCCCTTGGCAGTGACGTCCTGGAGGACCGCCATTTCGAGCTTGCTTTCCTGTCCGAGGCTGCTCCCCATCTCTGTTCCATGCTGCTAGTCCCTGAGGGTGACCCAGACGCTTTTCACATCCCGACCCCTCGCACTTACGCTGAGGCGACTTCGGGACCCTGGGCCTCGCAGTGGATAGCTGCCATGGAGCAGGAGATGGCATCTTGGAGATCCACCGGCACCTTCGTCGACGCAGTTCCCCCACCTAGGGTGAACGTAGTCGATGGCCGCTAGCTCTTCAAGGTGAAGCGCCCTCCTGGAGAGCCGCCTGTCTTCAAGGCGCGCTATGTCGCTAGAGGCTTCAGTCAGCGCGAGGGGGTGGACTTCTTCCAGACCTTCGCTCCGACCCCGAAGATGACTACTCTTCGGGTTGTGTTACACCTAGCTGCTCAGCGTGACTACGAGCTTCACTCCCTCGACTTCTCCACTGCCTTCCTTCAGGGCAGCCTATACGAGCAGGTCTACCTGCGGCGCCCTCAGGGCTTCACTGGCACCTTCCCTCCTGGGACCCAGTGGCTCCTGCGGCGCCCCGTCTACGGCCTGCGCCAGGCTCCCCGTAAGTGGCACGACACTCTCCGTGCTACGCTTGCTGACCTGCAGTTCTTTCCGTCTTCCGCAGACCCTTCGCTCTTCGTTCGTGCTGGCCAGACTCCGTTCTACATCCTTGTTTACGTCGACGACCTGGTCTTTGCCACAGCAGACAGGGACGCACTGGCCTCCGTGAAGGCAGAGCTGCTGAAGAGACACACGTGCACTGACCTTGGAGAACTGTGCCGTTACCTTGGCTTGCAGATCTCCAGGGACAGAGCTGCGCGCACCATCACCCTGACTCAGTCACACTTGGTGCGCCAGGTCCTTCAGAGGTTCAGCCTTCAGTTCTCCTCTGCACAGCCCACCCCTCTGCCTGTAGACCACAGACTCTCCGCTCCAGTGTCTGAGGAGTTGGTAGAGCCCAGCGGCCCCTACGCAGAGCTGGTGGGTTGCCTCATGTACCTGATGACTTGCACTCGCCCAGATCGCGCATACCCTCTCAGCATCCTGGCTCGCTTTGTGGCCACAGGCAGACACCGACCGCAGCACTGGTCTGCCGCTAAGAGGGTTCTGCGTTATCTTGCTAGTACATCGGGCATGGGGTTAGTGCTAGGAGGACGCAGGCCAGTGGTCCTTACTGGATACACAGACGCTTCGTGGGCAGACGACGCTGAGACACTCAGGTCTACCCAGGGCTACTGCTTCAACATTGGCTCAGGTGCCGTCTCGTGGAGAGCTACCCGCTCCTCGTCTGTTGCGCAGTCCAGCTGTGAGGCCGAGATCTACGCTGGTGCCATGGCGGCACAGGAGCTCTGCTGGCTGACCTTCTTGCTCACTGACTTAGGTGAGCGGCCTAGCTCTGCCCCGGTCCTGTTCGCTGACAACAGGGCCATGATCCTCCTGTGTCAGGAGCCTCGACTCGAGGGCAGAGCAAAGCACATTCAGCTGCGGTACTTCCTCCTGCGTGAGCTACAGCAGCGACGTCAGGCTCGCGTAGTACACTTGGCCTCAGGTGCCAACACGGCTGATATCTTTACGAAGGCGCTTGCGCCTAAAGATCATCAGCGGCACTGTGTACAGCTTGGTCTAGTTCCTGTAGCCTCTCACTTGCTAGGACCTTGACTTTGTACTGTCCTTTATACGTATACTCAGACTGGACTTGTGTCCTCTCCTAGTGGCTGGACTAGTAGTGCCGCCCTGCTCTTGTTCTTGCCTTGTTTGTACTCCTTCTGAGTGGTCTCTCAGACCCTTGTCTCAGAGGTTGGACTAGTAGTGCCGCCCTGAGCTGTTTGTTTAGGGCATTCCCCTATGCAGTCTAAGGGGTGTGTCAAACATGTGTATTTGTCATGTTTGTATAGACTGTATAGGGTCACCTCTTAGAGAGTACAGCACGTAGGTATATCTGTGTGTACTCTCACTCTATCTGATATTCACTTCTCAATTCTGATAATACCTACAAACAAGACGTTTTGACTTTATCCCGTATTCAAATCGCCATGCTAGGGTGGAACGAGATAAAGACGTGCCAGCTCAGATCTCATCTTCATTCAGTAGCATGTTTGGTATGCCCTTGGATACAGGGAACTTTCTGCCAGTCTCTGGGCAAATCAGGGCTCCCTCCTCTAAATGAACCTGCGTAGGACACCAACAGAAGTAGCAGCAGCAGTGGCAGCAGCAGCACATGCAATGAGAAAAGGGGACATTCAGGCATATAATGGCGATCTGTCAATCGCTAGTAAAGTGCAGACAGACAACACTTCGCAATTAAAAGGTGGGAAGAAGTGTGTACTTTTTTGTGTGTGCAAGCAAATGCATGCTTGTGCAGAGTGGGATTTTGGAGGGAAAAGGACAGCAGACAGCTCTCTGTAGATACTGTTAAACTCTGCCTCAGTCCAGCCTTCCATTGGTTGAAATTCAACCAGCACCCGTGTTTGTGGGAAGGGAGGGGGGGAGGGGGGAGGGGGTGGGGGGTGTCTGGGGGGAGGTGAAGAGACAGCTTACTGGATACAGAGGCACGGCAGAAACCCTGCCTGTCCTTACCTCCATGAGCGCGTGATGGAACTTTCTCAGAAAGTCCTCGTCGTCCAGCATGGAAGCATCTGCCTGTGGGGGCAAGTCAGTCACGCCGAGCTGCGTACGGATGAATGGGAGCGATGGGGGAAAGAGGCAGTGGAAGAGGAAGTGGGGAAAGGTTATGAGACCAGGGATAGGTAAACCTAGTAGGTCATGAGACCTGGGATAGGCCTGCCAAGTAGGTACAACATAGGCAAGAGGAACAGGGTGGAGAAAAAATCACGTTGGTAAAGAGGTGATTCGGCGTGAAATAGGAAGAAACGGGTTGTGGGACAAAGAAAAACTGTGAAAAAATCAGGGTTGAAGGGAGGAGGCTTAAGAGGGGTATTAGGCCAGGGCCCAGCAGGGACAGAGACTGATGATCTTATGTTAGTAGAACGAAGGGAACGGTGAGTTTACCGCTTCAGCGGCCTCTCTGAGGGCTGGAAAGTCGATCTTAGGGAAGATGTGCCGTAAAAAGTCGGGATTGAAGTCTGCTTCACGCTCCTCATACTTTACAGCTTCGATCTTCAGCGGGTAACCCTTGGTAACCCCTTTCACCGTGCACTGCAGCATGTTATGCGTCAAGAGCTTCATGGCGGTCTGTGAGGACACCCGCGAATGACGACAAGACCGCAATGACTAAGTGAGCTCGTTGTCGTTGCTCCAGAGAGTAGAGAGGCAAAGAAAGGTGATATTCGCTAGGATATCACGGGGTTCTCGCTATCACTGAAGAAATGATCAAATTAGGCGAGGATAGTCACTAGTCACTAGGTGTGAGACGTGCGCACTTGGTGTGGGAATAAACGTCAGCCGGAGATTCCGAGGTCGGCTGAAGAATTGGTGCTTGGAAGCAGAACTGGGAAAATGTCCTGACGGTGAAATCTCGGAGCGCGTTCTGGCTTCCTGAATACCTGACACAGCACCTATGCTGAATCCAGGTTACCGGAGAGGTTACAGAATGGGCAGAAACATGTGGACCAAATTCCAGCCTCGTGACAAAGGAATCCTTGCAGCGTGGGGCTGAGGGTTCAAAACACCTGCACCTCTTGTTGGGTACTTGGTTCGAGTGATACATCTCAGGCGATCAGCCGAACCGTCAGCGAAACCCGACGGACCGACGGCTGCCACTGGGCAGTAACAAAAACCCCCGGGGGCCACAAGCCCAGGGGGGAAGTTCCGGGTCGACGCCTCCCCCGATTGGCTTGGGGGACCTAGGGGGTTTTCTATTTCTGCCCGCGGGCAGCTTCGGCCGTCGGGCGACGCTCTGACGACGCGGCGACGCTCCCCTTCCCCACTCAGGGCGTGGTACATACAGTTCCGAATTTTGAATAATTGGAACTGAGTTCGAAAACAGCCCTTGAAGTAGTCGGACGAACATGGTACCTCCAGTTCCGAAACTCACGTGGTACCTCCGTCCCGACAGAGGGGACGGCATTTGAATTTTCAAACGCACGCGAAATGGCGAACGACACGAATAGTCCGACAAAACATCAAACCAGAGTTACGACATGCAGTTGTCGCTTCCCGTCGTTACTGTCGTTCACAACCGCATGCTAACAAAGCTGGAGACTGGGTCGCGCAGTTTTCGGTTGGAAACTTTCGCCAGATCAATTCCGATTGGCCGATTCCCAATCTCTTTCGAGCGTCAACCTTCTTCTGTAGGGTGACAACGTCTACAATTCGCCCATTTCGCCAGGGGGAACTGGGTAGACCGTTCAGAACTGGCATGGAGACCATTCGGATGTCTGTCTGGACACCCCTGCTGCTATGAATGGGACTGCCGAGTAGCGCTGTGAACGAGTGAATGACAATAAAATCAAAGACAATACAATATATAGAAAACCTAGGGTGATCCTGGACGTAGGATCGGAAGGTTCGGGAAAGGTATCGAAGGGCCTCGATGTGTCGTAACGAGGTCCGGAAAGGCCAAGGAGGCTCGAACTGATAGGTCTGGAACCCTGGCGATGGTTCGGGACTGTTCTAGTCGTACGCTCTGTCGAAAGCCTCAGTAAGGAATTACGCATTCCTTACACCTGCCCGGATGGTACTGGTAACCTGTTCTATCATCGCGGGACGCGCTACACTTTGTGACGAAAGTATGTGCATCGAAATAAAATCGTGTTTCGTGTTTCTCTACAAACAAGTGTCCAACGAATTTCAATTTGGGCATTTTGTATTTTTTCGCTCGAACTGCGCTTCGACCTCGAGAAAAATATCGCGCCAGCCACAATGGTGATAAAATCGGGCTGGCGTAGGGGGGAAAACGTTCTGAAACGGGCGAAGGTTGCTTCTACGGAATATTCGTGGAACTTTTTTCCTGTAGTTTCTGACTGTTGGAAATATCTCAAAGACTTCAGCGTTTCTGAAGTGTAAACACTACACTTGAGGAAAAGTCATAACGGGTACGCGAGTCAACGAAGGTTACACGAAGGGGCGGACAAAGAACACGAATGGACACGAAGAGTCGCAACCGGAGGTTGCAACTGACCGTTACAGCTGCTAAGATGGTAACAGAACCGTCAATCGAGTCGCTGTGCGACTCGAGAAACCGATCCTTTAACTGTATTCTACAACTGCTTTACTTTCCTACTTTCTATATATTACTGTATGCTTGTTTCTTTTAATCAATCACTTGTTCTCATATACTAGTACAAGGGTTCAACTACTCAACTTCCGCTGCACTACTCAAGTCTTTTACAACTGGGACATAGTCTCTGGAAAGATCCCAAGGGCATTTCTCAGCCCAACATGGTCTGAGAGCTGGTCAGAGACCAAACTCCCAGCAACTACACTCTATCTACAATCTGCAATTCAACGACTCCATTTATTACAAGTCATGGACAGCAAAGGCAAGAAAATCTCCACGGGCTCACCCAGCGCCCAAGACACTCAACCCGGCAACTCTGGATTGCACACTTCAGGACTGCAAACCGAGACCGGCGCTGCTCAAGAAACAACAGGAAGAGCACCGGAAATTGTGACCCCATCACCCTCTTTAAGCGTGGATCCAAACCTTATGGAAAGGTTCTTCAGCTTCATGTCGCACTTCGACCAGCAGCAGCAGACAAGGACACGTGTGCATTCAACACAGAGCAATGGAGGAAACATGGGATTAGCGCCGATGAGCCTCGACAACTCATCGTTCGGGCGACACAATCAAGCGCCTACCTTTGCGCCTTATCACTCTTCACCGGGAACGTTCGAGTTCATGCCGTCCCATGCCCAACCAACAGCAGCTGCATCACAACAGACACCAAACGAGATTTTAAGTCTCCAGGCGCAGTTTTCGCACGTGTCTCTATCAAGCAAACGACAGTGTGACACAAAGCAGACTCATGCAGCAACTGACAACAATACAGATGAAGACCGGAGGAAAGGCGATGCAGTATATGAGTCGATGCCAGACACTCCGCGACCGCCTGCTTCGGTGCGGAGGAACAATCACCGAAGAGAGCTCCGTAACGCTTGTCCTCGCTAGGCTCGGGCCAGAATGGAGAACCACCCGCTCGCTCCTTCGCGCCCACGGACGAATCTCGGAGATGCACCTCTGCGCCGAGCTTCATGCTGAACAACAGGAGATGGACCTGTTTGAAGAAAGACAACCAAGAAAGTAGCAATCGTTAGTCTTCTACACTCAACGAAGGAACGATAACAACTACAATCGACGCGGGAAGCAAGAACAATGCGACAACAGAGGACTCACCATTGTGCCGCCGTTCTGCCACAACTGCCAAACATCCGGACACTCCAAAGTCAACTGCACACGTCCCCGAGCTTATCGTCCAGTAGACCCACAAGTCGATTCCACTCAAGAAAGCCCGCCAAGGCGCTCCTCCACATCTGCGCAAAGTACACCAAACATCATCAACTGCATGATACACATCGATAGCTGCACACCCGGATCACCACCCACTTACACTCCAGACGAAGAAGAACTGCCGCCGCCGCGCTCACAAGGACTTCAGGTCAACCCGACATACGCTGCAGTCGCCAACACCGGACGAAACACCTGGTTCTTGGATAGCTGCTGCGGTCAACACATGTGCTCCTCCGGGCGCTTCGTGCAGCGAGAACGACGCCTCAACCGCGATGTCATCATCACCGTCGCCAACAACGAGAACCTGAAAACAAACAGACAAGGAGTGGTTCAGTAACAGTCCATGGAAACAAACGTTATACTACAACTCAACAAAGTTCTCATCGTCGACAATCTGGGATACAACTTGCTCAGCGTCAGCCAGTTAATGGCAAAAGGGATTCACCTGGAGTGCGACTCCTACTCCAACGAATTTCGTCTTTACCACGGGAAGGGCGGTCTCTTCATCGGTCGAGCTCTCCTGAAGTCTGGCGTCTTCGTGTTGGACTTCGTCCCCCACCGCGGTACTGCCGACAGCGATGGCATCGTGTCGTTCGCAGCCTGGACGCACCCACCGGATCTTGACCCCGACTTCAACCCCGACGGATTCTGTTACTCCAACACCATACCTGCAGCAGAGAGAACACGAGCGTTAGCAGTTATCAGACAAGAAAGACAAGTACCAGCAAGCGTCCCTTCCCAACCATCACCCACAGCAGCAACAGCAGGACCCAGCCGAGTACCACCACCAACGATCCGAGGACCACCAACCGAAGCAGATCAACTTATGCCTATCACACGAGAAGTCTACCGAAGTCCCGCCACGGTCGTCGCATTCTTCTCCAACACCGACATACACCAACGCTCGCACGATCATCGCGCCTCCGACGACATCTGGCACCAACGCCTTGGGCATCCTGCAAATAGCACGGTACTACAAACCATCCAAGCCGAAGTGTTAGAACGAAACGCTCTCCTTACAACAAGCGGACAGGAAATTCGACGACCTTGCGCACGGTGCTTCACATGCCCCGAAGCAGAACTTCAGTACCAACCTTTTTCGTCACATCACAATCCAAGCGCACCTGCATACGCACCGATGGAAAAGGTTTACCGCGACATCTTAAACATGCCTCGAGACGACACTGAAGCCGACTTCAACTATGTCATAACGTTCATTGATGCAGCAACAAGATATGTCTGGCACTACAACCTCAAGACGCGCGATCAAGCCTTCGACGCCTTCACGACATGGCTCCCCATCGCCGAACGAGAATCAGGAACCAAGCTCAAGAGCTTCCAGTCAGACGGTGCACTGGAATACCAGTCACAACGCTTCAGGACCTATCTGGCAGAAAGAGGAATCAGACGCCTGGTGTCTCTACCCTACGCTCACCAGCAACAGGGGGTCGCAGAAAGAATGAACCGGACCTTGCAGACGACGATGCGGAAGCTGCTCCTGGGGATGAGACTGCCCAACGCACTGTGGCCAGACGCGATGACCCATGCAGTCCACCTGCACAACCTGCTATCCTCGTCATTGCTTCCCAACAACGCATCACTGCACCTGCTGTGGACAAGAAAAAGGGGCAGCACAAAATTACTTCGGGTTTTCGGCTGCATGGTACAGTACAGACCCCACACAGCCAGAGCAGGACGCTTCACTCAACGAGCACGATGGGGACTACACATCGGCATCGCCGAACATTTTCAAGCATGGAAAATCCTCGACATACAAGACAAAAATACTGTGGCATCACGTGATGTGATCTTCTACGAACGGCTGACGCTGCAGCATTACCTGGACAACGTCGCCAACACAGACGACCCCACCGACGGTGTCGCAGGCCTTCGCTCCTTCGCTGACCGTGCTGCCGAGGTTGACGCAGCAGAAGAAGACGTACATGGAGCTTCGGAAGCTGCCGGTACACTCCCTTACTGCTCCGTGCCAGTCCCACTCCACGACGACAATCCTCTCGATAGCAACAACCTCGACACATTTTACTACTTCGCTGACCAAGGTTGCGTTACACCTCACCCAGTCGACACGAATGTCTCAGAACGCATCGGCCCAAACTACTTACCTGATCCAGAAGATGGTGACGAAGCTGCCTATTACGGGAATGAAAATTCCCCTCGACACACGGGACTGCAAATCCTCGGCTTATGGATCTCCGTCCAGCATCCGCCGCTTCCATCTCCGCGCGAGCCCACGACTCTGTCACAGGCTTTGGGGGGGGAACATAAGGCGAAATGGAAGGAGGCGATGGAAAAGGAACTAAAAGCTCTGCAAGACCGAAATACATGGAAGCTGGTACCTGCAACGAACATCAACGGGAAGAACGTCCTCTCGAGAAAGTGGGTGTACCGCATCAAGACCAATGCGGACGGTTCCATCGAACGATTCAAAGCTCGATGGGTTGTACGAGGCTTCGATCAACGATACGGAACCGACTACACAGAAACATTCGCCCCAGTCTCCCGTCACACCTCCTTGCGCATCCTACTCGCCGTCGCGGCCACGAAGAAACTACCACTGCGCCAAATCGACGTCGCAAATGCTTTCCTGTACGCACCTGTGGACGCCGAGATCTTCGTCGAGCAGCCCCACGGATTCATCGACGACCCCACAAAAGTATGCCAGCTGATAAAATCCCTTTACAGGATCAAGCAAGCCCCGCGGCTTTGGCAGCAGCACCTTCATGGTCGCCTCGTCGGAATCGGATTCCTACAACTGCCGCACGACCAAGGCATGTACCGACTACAGGAAGGAAGGGAATTCATCCTACTCATCGTCTACGTTGACGACATGCTCTACATCGGCTCCACTACTGACATCGCCACCTGGTTCGAAGGGGAGCTAAAAAGGGACTTGACACTCACGGTGTCAGATACCATAACCCAGTACCTGGGTCTGAACGTCGTCGAAGACAACTCGGCGTTCTACTTATATGCTGGAAAATACGCAGGCGTCGTCGCAAAGAAGTTCGGACTAACACCAACTACAGTCGCAACTCCCTACCGCTACGGGAACAACAACGACACCTCCGCAAAACTCCCTGCGAAGCAAATCCAGGGGTATCAGCAGAAGCTCGGCTGCCTACTATTCGCAGCAGTAACCTGTCAACCTGACCTATCCTACAGCGCGAGCCAACTGGCGACGCATCTAAAACAGCCGGAACAAGAAGATCTCGTGGAATTAAATCGGGCGCTACTCTACTTCGTCTCTACGCCGATGACCGAAGTGACCTACAGTAAAGCAACAACATCGTCCGTACAACTACTCGGATACGTCGACGCCGACTACGCGGGAGACAGTGAAAATTGACGATCGAGAACGGGCTACATCTACCGACTGGAACCTATCGGGACTATCTCTTGGCAATCGAGCAAACAGGAACTAATCGCACTATCTTCGGCTGAAGCAGAATATATCGCCCTCTGCACTGCGACTAAGGAAGGACTTTACCTGCGAGAGTTGCTCGAGGAAGCCAAGATTGCGACCCTGCCCGTCTTCTCACTCCTCTGCGACAACCAATCTGCGATCAAAATCGCGAACAAGGACGGCTTCGCCAACCGAACCAAGCACATCGCCCTGCGATACTTCTTCGTCAAAGATGAAATCGCGAAGGGGAGACTTCAACTCAGTTACTGCCCTACAACAGAAATGGCCGCAGACTACCTGACGAAGAAACTGGTGAAAGCAAAGTTCGACCACTACATGCTGCTGACCGGGCAGATAAACGTCGCCGAATCTGGAAACGTCAGCACTCCAGAAACGAAGGGGAGTGTTGGAAATATCTCAAAGACTTGAGCGTTTCTGAAGTGTAAACACTACGCTTGAGGAAAAGTCATAACGGGTACGCGAGTCAACGAAGGTTACACGAAGGGGCGGACAAAGAACACGAATGGACACGAAGAGTCGCAATCGGAGGTTGCGACTGACCGTTACAACTGCAAGGATGGTAACAGAACCGTCAATCGAGTCGCTGTGCGACTCGAGAAACCGATCCTTTAACTGTATTCTATAACTGCTTTACTTTCATACTTTCTATATATTACTGTATGCTTGTTTCTTTTAATCAATCACTTGTTCTCATATACTAGTACAAGGGTTCAACTACTCAACTTCCGCTGCACTACTCAAGTCTTTTACAACTGGGACTTAGTCTCTGGAAAGATCCCAAGGGCATTTCTCAGCCCAACACTGACTAACGGTGGAACCCGACTGATAAAACATGTTGCGAACTCACTAATTCTGATTGTTTATATCGTGTCACTGACCGTACATGTTATCTATGCCCGTAATACTGAGCGCCGATGCATTTTCCCAATTCAAAAGCTTGTGGTGGGATTCGCTGCATCTCATTGTTAGATTAATTTAGTTTCTTATGGCTTAATTGAAGCACTAGTTACATTGTCTTGTTTTTGTTTTCCATTTGAACCCAGAACTGGATGTGACCAAGACGTATTTATTTTGTTGAAGTAGCTTTCCTTTTGCTGTTAGCCTTCAAATGTTGCAAGATTGAACTATACCGCAAGTACACTTGTTTGAAGGCTCTCCATCTATCGAGATAGCCAGAAGCGCATCTGCACCGACCTGCCCGTTGTCAGCAAACGAGTTCGCCATTTTCCAAACCAAATTCTCTCTCGCGCCCGCATCATACTCACAGCGACAGCTTTCGTGTGCAAATCACCGCGCTTCGTCTGATCCAAACCCAACCACATCGGGGATGTCAGCGCCTCGGCAGGCCCTTTCCCCCACAACAGAACCTTTTCCGCAACCCCTCCGACATCTTGGTCACATCCAGTTCCGAGAGAAAGCCTGGCCAATGACCTTGCTTTCTTCCAGGCTGTAGAAACAATGGAGGCAAATGCAAAAAACCAGGGCTGAGGCATATTGCAACGGCAACCAGCAATACCATCCCATACGTTCTCCATCCCCTTGATTTTTCTAGTTGTTATCAGGTCGCATAGGAGCGTCCTTAGCGAGTGACATACTCCAAGTACTTTTATGTGCGAGTTATCCGGTTGAACCCTCTCAGATCCTAGACTCCCTCGGCCACCACGCTGAAGCTGTTGCCATAGCTAATAAAGTTGTTCACAGAAAGACGCGTATTCAGCGCCTAGTGCTGTTAAGGATGCACTAGATTAGTGTTCGTCGGAACGTACTGTTGTTCCCGTAAGGTAGGTTAGTCCACCATGGGGAATTCCAGCAGCATATCGGCTGCTGCTGTCGAGGAGGCCAAAATCCAGACTCACAGTTAGTATCCATGGCATCTATTCTCGCAGTTTGAGTCTGTTTCAACATGGTTTATAATAAGCCCTTCGTAATTGCTTACAGTGACTGATGAAGAAGTTCAAAGGCTTAAACGGAGATTTCAGAAGTTCGTCGGGAAGCGGCAAACTGAAGCGACACTTGAAGAGTTCTCTTCCCTTCCAGAATTATGTAAGCTTTGACAAGTGCCAGATTTCATCGCATTCGCAAGCCTGCGGATAGACTACTGACTGCCTTAAACCCCTTTGGTCTCTCTGTGCAGCCAATAATCCATACGTTCCTCGTCTATTCGCGCTTATGGACCTAGATCGCAACGGTAAAATCAATTTCTTGGAGTTCTGCCTTGGCATGGGAATGTATCGTTCATTGAGGAAAACGAGAGATGGAAAAGTACAGTGTAAGTAGTGTTTGTTTGTTTGTTTTTTTTTTTTTCCGCAGCACTTCTGTCCCTGAAACGACCTTTTTCCCATCCGAGTTCTGAAGCTCTTTATTGTGCTGATTCTTCTTTCCAGTACTCATGAAGCTTCATGATCGCGACAACGACGGAAAGCTTTCGGTTTCAGAGCTCACGGACCTGTTATCTGTCACTGCTGGAAAGAGTCTATCTGCAGAGCTACTGAGTCAGGTATATCGCCGTCTGTGCATCTCTTCTTTTTCCAAGCTGGCTTTATCGTAACATCGTCTATGGGCTCGTTGCATATGCAGGTTGCGAGTTCTCTTCTTTCTGCTTACGACGTAGATAAGGACGGTACCTTGAGCATCCAAGAGTTTTCTTCTCTCGTAGCAGCAACAGGAATGAGCAAAAGCCTTTGAGCTGACATGTCCGTTAGGACGCTCTTGTTGCATTTGCTCGAGGTATTATGTGTAGATCCAACCAATTATTAAATCGTAGAATCAACCGTATTGTGCAGACGGCATGTAATGTTTATGCACAGCATCCGTTTGGGCAAGTGTGACGTGTCTATATCTAAAGCGATTGTTAAAACTTTGTGTGATTTAGGGGAATATTTGTTGTACTAAACGAAGTTGGTGTTACGGGTTACTGTATGCACGCCACTTCTAGTTATCGACACATGCAATACCAAAGAACGGCAGCCCTTGCCACCATGTTTCAAGGTGCTCGCTGGGCGGTTCATAACTGATCTCCAGTCATTTTCTTCAGCCCATCATGTAAATCCGTCAGCAATCACGGCTCATCTCGACATGTCACATCTTGGGTCCTCTTTGTCCGCGCAACCCTGTCCTAGCCAGTCCACGCCGTCGTCTCCATCATGCTATCCGGCTACCGCGACGCGATCCCCAGCCTCCCTTGACCTGTCTCCATTAGCAAAATGGAAGTTCAAAGGAGCAGCGAAAGCAGCCAAGGCACAACCCATGCCGTCGCTGCTGGCGGATTTAGCCAGGCTCGGACCTCTCAGAATTCATCTGGTCGACGGAGCGGCGGTGGCAGAAGTGACTGCGAGTCAGGCTGCTCTGCTAGAAGCTGCCGCGTTCGGGAGAGAGATGGGAGACTGGGGAGGGGGGCCTGCAAGGATGAGTGACGAACCTTGCGTAGTCGATCGGGACTTGAGAGCAGCGGGAAAGGCTGAGCTACGGGGGGAAGCAGAGGGCGCTGCAGCGTCGAGAACACAGGAAGACGCGGCAGCACGACTAGGTGATTTTCCGCTCAGCCTTACCAGCGAGAAGATGTGGGGGATTTCAGCTGTCTCTGAAGCAGAAATTGCGGTGGTAACTGAAGGGCAGTCTTGCATTATTGGTCTCTCTTTTGGGCCTGAACGTTTTACACAAATTAGGGATTTTGGCTTGCGTTGTGATGTTGAGAAGGCAACCCTTTTTCTGGCACTCGTTTCCACCTAAGCCTCCTTTTGAAAATGCTCATTCCTGGCTCCTGCCCGCCCTTTCACCCCGTTCATACTGCAGCCAAGAAACACAGAAGCTTCCCACCAACAGCAGTAGTGGCGGCAGCAGGGGGTGCAGCCCTCTTGGCGTCGCTCCAATGCAAGGGTCAGAGCTTGAGATGTCTCTCTGGGTTTCGCGCATCCGCTGCAGGCGCCACCCCAGGCGGCACTGCCGTTACTGGTGCTACGAATGCTGTGGCCATAGTTGCAGCAGCAGCAGCGGCATTAGCAGGTGTTGCATCGGTGATGCTGCCTAGGCTCCGGCGAGTCTGGCAGCGTGGCATTGAGGAGGTCACGAGAGGCTGCGACGATTCGAGCAGCATCAGCACAAGTTCAAGCAGTGAGCTTCCAACCTGCATAGTGCTGCTCTCTCTTGAAGAGCTCATGTTTCTATCCGCTCGTGTCAAGTGCGTGGTGTATGTTGACCGTGATGCCTGCATGGAGACAGTGTGTGAAGGAGGTGAGGCTAGAGATGCAGGGCAGCAGCACATGAAAAGGAGCAAAGAGCCAACCGCAGCAGCATCAATCCTGGAGCTTGAGTCCCAGCAGACCAGTGACAATGATGATACCAGCAGTAGAGACAACACCAGGAGAGATGGTAGAAGAGACGATAGCAGTGGGAGTGATATCAGCAGGAGAGATACGGATGAGCAACATCGGCCCACAGCAGCAGCAACATGGGAGGTGAAGGAGCAGGAGGTGGTGCAGTACGGCGAGGCGTGGAGGAGAGGGTTTGGGGCGATGGCAGCAGTGTACGGGCAGCTGAGAGGGCGGAACTGGGTGGTGCGGCCAGGGCTGCAGTTCGGCAGCCATTTCACGGCTTACCAGCACCACCCGGCTCTCGTACATTCCAAGTGAGTGCTAAGTCGCTCCTCTCCTCATCGGGGCTGCGTCGTTTTGCTACTGCAATCGCCTTGTTCCGTAACTGCATGCTTTGCTGTGCTCTTTTCCCTCGTTTTGGCAAGTCAACCCATTTCCCGTGTCTGCAACTCGTGGGGCTTCCCGTAATCGTCTTGCTTCCCTGATCCTGCCCCTCCCAGGCTCTATTCCCTCTTTCCCTCCACCCCCCTCCTGCGTTGTGCCGTGTACTGCTGCGATGCTTTTTTCTTCGTTCTGAACAGCTTCATGGTTCTGGTGAATGGATCGGGGGTGAGCAACCCGGTTGCAACATGGAACGACCTGCATGCCACGGTCCGCCTCGCCTCCACTGTGGCCAAGGTACGTTGGGCGTTGGGACCTCGCTTGCTTGTACTTCTATGCACTTTTTCCCTTCCTTGGTTGAACTCCAGTCTCTGTCTTTGGGAGGTGACAATAAAGGCGTGACGAAGGACGTGCTTGTTGTGGCCAGAGATGGGTGCAATTATAGGCAAAGGTTGCGGGGCCAAAGGATTAAAGCAAAGGTTTGCGGAGTAGGGCACGTGTGTGTGTGTATGGGCGAGGAGGTTCTGCCAAGGCTTCCGCTTATCCTGAGCCGCCCTTCTTTCTTACGATAAACTGAAGCCATTCACTACCCCGCCTTCACTCTCCGCTGACACCATTCGCTCTTTCCTCGAGCCGAAGCTGCTGGTTGCATGTGCAGGGGAGGACTTTGCAGCTCGAGCCGAAGCTCGAACAGCCTTATGATGCACGACACAAACTCCTTTATTTCTATCTATACCTAACCGTTTTGCCCTTCTCATCCTTCCACTCCGCATCTGTCTTCCTGCGATCCCTGTGGAGCAGAAGCTCCTGATTGCATACGTGGAAGAGGAGGGGGAGGGTGGGGAAAACCATGTGGCTCCCCAAACAGACATGCTGGGGGCAGGAATCACAGAGGCAGGTATTGGTCAAGTGGGGGGAAATGAACAGAGCAGGCGGAGCAGGCAAAGCAGTAGCAGCAGCAGCAGCCAAAGAAGTGACAGCAGGGGCAACGGCGGTGGTGGTTGTGGTGGTGGTAGCAATGGTAGCAGTACTGGGATTAGTGTCAAAAGTCAGAGTATCCGTAGCAGGGAGGGGGTGGGAAAACAGGAGGTGCTAATGTTGAAAGTGAATAAATGGAATCCGGAGAGGAATCGAGAAAAACGCACGTACGGATAGCATCTGAGGGCAGGAACAAGTGGTTGATGATGCGAGGGTAGGGGAAGGTGCCAAACATATGTATCTCTTATGTTTGCATAGACTGTATAGGGTCACCTCTTAGAGGGTACAACACTTAGATATATTCACCTGTACTCTCTCTCTCTCTCTCATTCATTATTCATTCCGTTTTGAGATGGTATCAGCAGTAGGTAGGTCCCCGCCCACCCACGCTTCCACTCTAGGACCTACCCTCCCCCCCCTAGTTGCGCCCGCCCTAGCCGTGCCCGCCCCAGTCGCGCCGTGCGCGCCACCTCCCCTCGGCCCTCGCGCCCGTCCTAGCCGGCCTCGTGCCCGCCCTAGCGCCCCGCCCTAGCGGCCCCTCCTGCCCGTCCTAGCGCTCGCCCTAGCGGCCTCTCCGCGCTCGCCCTAGCGGCCCCTCGTGCCCGCCCTCTCGGCCCCACGCCCGTGCCCGCTCTAGCGGCCCCTTCGCCCGTGCCCACCCTAGCACCCGTCCTAGCCGGCCCCTCGTGTCAGCCCTAGCGCCCCCCCCTAGCGGCCCCCTCGTGCCCGCCCTAGCGCCCGCCCTAGCGGCCTCCCCGCGCTCGCCCTAGCAGCCCCTCGTGCCCGCCCCCGCGCCCGCCCTAGCGGCCCCCTCGCTTGCCCTAGCGGCCCCTCATGCCCGCCCCAGCGCCCGCCCTAGCGGCCCCCGCGCCACCGCTCGGCCCCTGCGCCCGTCCCAGCCGGCCCGCGCCCGTCGCAGCCGGCCCGCGCCCGTCCCAGCCGGCCCCACGCCCGTCCCAGCCGACCCGCGCCCGTCCCAGCCGACCCGCGCCCGTCCCAGCCGGCCCCGCGCCCGTCCCAGCCGACCCGCGCCCGTCCCAGCCGACCCGCGCCCGTCCCAGCAGGCCTGCGCCCGTCCCAGCCAGCCCCGCGCTCGTCCCAGCCGACCCCGCACCCGTCCCAGCCGGCCCCGCGCCCCTCCCAACTGGCCCCCGCGCCCGTCCTGCCCCGAGCTTTGTGCGGCCAGCTCGTCGTGCCTGCTCCGGCCCTGCACCCTCCCTGGTACGGTTCCCCATCACCTCTACCGCACTGTACCGCACTGCCCCGCGCTGCACCGCGCTGCACCGCACGGTACCGCACTGCACTGCACCGCCCTGCACCGTATTGCACCGCGCTGCAACGCACTTCACCGCACTGCACCTCACTGCACTGCACTGCCTTGTATCGCACTGTACAGTCCTGCACTGCTCCTGATGGCGGCGGAGCTTCGCTTCGACGCTGAAGGCCAGCCTCTTGAGTTCGAGGCGTGGCTTGCCGACCTCCGTCGCCACCTCACTGGCCAGCGGCAGGATGGCCACCCGCTTTCCGCACACCTTGACGGTACGCTCCCCTGCCCAAACCCCCCTGCTGTGCTGCCCGCTGACCCCACACCTGCTGAGCGCGAGTCTACTGCAACAGCTGCCCTTGCACGCTCTGTCTGGCTTTCCCGAGACGCTGTCGCCCAGCTTGCCATTAGCAATGCCCTTCCCCCGCCTAAGCGCCCTCGCTTTAGGTCCATCACTACCGCCCAGGCTTTCTTAGATGCTGTCCTCAAGCGTTATTCCACCCCTCCTGCTGCCTCGGAGGGTCGCCTGATCCTCCCGATGCTCTTTCCTGACCTTGCGTCCTTCCCCACTGTCGCTGACCTAGCTGCCCACCTGCGCACGATAGATGAGACCTGGCGAGCGGCCTGCACTGACACACAGCTTAGAGCCCACCAGCCGCCCATTACCTCTACCCTCTACCTGCTTGCCACCCGCCTCCCTGACCGCCTTGCCGCCGCCCGCGACCGCTTCCTTAGCATCCACCCCGGTGAGCTCACCCTCACCGACTTTGTCGACACCCTGACTGTTATTGAGACCCGCCACCGCTCCATCGCCTAGGCGAGCGGTTCTGTGCCGGTCCCTATCTTTCAGGGTTGTGCCCCCGCTCAGTGTACCTTCTCCGACAGATCTGCCGCTGTGGCTGAGACAGCCGCTGCCACGCAGTTCCGTCCGGGGAAGGGCCGCCGCCCCAAGGCTGGGCGCGGCGGAGGAGGCGGGGGTGCCGGTGGGGGTGGTGGTGGAGTCGGGTCGTCTGGTGCTGGAGCGGACGAGGGGACCCTGCCCGGTCCAACTGAGCAGCCGCCTCCGCAGTTGCAGCAGCCACAGCAGCCGCAGCAGCCGCCGCAGACGAGGCAGGCGAGTGTCCTACCGCCCGGGTGGCCTGGCGCTGGAGGTGGTCATGCGCGTGGTGGTGTGCCGGGCGGTGGTTCGGGAGGCGTGCGTTGCCAGTACCAGATCCAGACCGGTCCTCACCGCGGCTTCGTTTGCGGTAAGATCGGTCATACCACTCCTCGCTGCTTTCGTCGCCTGGACGACCAATTTCGTCAGCGCTTCGGCCCGTCGCCGGACCTCCCGGACTGGCACAGTTTGCTTAGTCGTAGTATTCAGATTTTTGACATGGACATGGATGCCATTGTTTCTGCTCTGCATGTGATGTATGCTGATGACTCTAGTGTGCTTCCCGCTTATTGCTCATTGTCGTCTAGTGTAGGTAGCTTAGCCTCCCCTGCTGCGTCAGGCATAGGAGCCCCTGCTTTGTTTAGCCTTGGTGCTTCCGCCGTCGCCCCGTCGCCGGACGCCACTGCTTCGCTTTCCTTCACATTGGACTCTGGCGCTTCCCGGTGCTTCTTCCGCGACTTCACTACACTGACGCTGCTTCCAGTTCCTGCCGCCGTTTCTCTTGCTGACCCCTCCGGCGGTCCGGTAGTCGCCCGCAGTTCCACCACCCTTCCCTGTCTGGCAGTTCCCTCGGGCTCTCTCACAGGTCTGCATATCCCCTCGTTCTCCAGGAACCTAGTTGGTGTCGGCTGCCTCCAAGACCTTGGCGTCACCACTACGTTCCTTGGCCACGAGCGGTATGCTGCCTGTACCGAGGCCGCCACAGGTGCCCCCCTGTCCACGTTCCCCCGGGACCCGGTGTCCGGCCTGTTCACCATGGACAACGTGACCCCCCCGGCTGGAGCGCCCCTTCAGGTGGCCGCGTCTACCGAGGTTGGTGCTGCCTGCTCCTGTCGGTCCCTCACTCACCCGACTCTCCTTTGGCATCACCGCCTAGGTCACCCCGCGCTCCAGCGTCTGCGTCACATGTCCCAGCACGGTCTCGTCCTTGGTCTCCCTGGTTCTCTCCCCGCTTTTCCCTCCTCCCCTGCCCCACCTTGCACGGCTTGCGTTGAAGGTCGGCTTCGCCGTGCCCCTCACTCCTCCTCGTTTCCCCCTACCGCTGCGCCGCTGCAGACCCTGCACATGGACGTCTGAGGCCCCGCCCCCGTCCATGGGCCGCGTCGAGAGCGCTACTTCCTCGTGCTTGTCGACGACCTCACTCGCTACACCACCGTCTTTTCCCTGGAGCGCAAGGCCGACGTGGTTGACGCTCTCATCCCCTGGCTTGTCTCTGCGCGTGTCCACCGAGGTCTCCCTGTCTTGCGCCTTCACTCAGACCGTGGTGGCGAGTTTGCCTCAGGTGTCCTTGGTCGCTTCTGTCGTGCGGAGGGAATCACCCAGACGTTCACCCTGCCGGACTCCCCACAACAAAATGGGGTCGCTCAGCGATGCATCGGCTTGGTCATGGAGGTTGCTCGCACCTCCATGATCCATGCCGGTGCACCCCATTTTCTGTGGCCGTTCGCCGTGCGCTACGCTTCTCACCAGCTTAACCTGTGGCCGCACCCCCAGCAGCCGCAGGTTTCGCCGACCCGTCTTTGGACCGGGACTCCTGGTGACGCGTCTGCGTTCCACGTTTGGGGCTGCCTTGCCCACGTTCGTGCCTCCGGCACGAACAAGCTCACTGCCCGCACCCTTCCCTGCGTCTTCCTAGGTTTTCCCCTTGACACGTCTGACAGGCACTTCTACCACCCGCCGTCTCACCGGTTCTTTCACTCCCGCGACGTCACTTTTGACGAGTCCGTCTCCTTCTTCCACCGCTTCCCCCACCGCGGTCCCCCTGTTACCCCCCCCCTGTTCCTGGTCACTCCTTCCCTGGTGGTTCCCCCCCCCCCTCCCCCTCCCCGTCCTGCCCCCTTCGATGTATCTCACGTCACCCCTCTCCCGTCGGTTGTCCCAGTCGAGGAGTCCTCCGACTCTGGTGGTCCTGCGGCGCAGTCCTCGCCGTCTGCCCCTCCCCAGGTGTTTCCTCCTCCGCCGCCTCTGCAGCCGCCGTCGCCTCTGCCTCTGCAGCGGCCGTCGTTCCCGCAGCTGCCGCCGCCGTCGCAGCAGCCGTTCGTTGCCTCTGGGGGTGCTGGCGTTGGAGTGGGTCCTAGCCCCGGTGGCCCTGGGGGTGGTGCCGGTGCCCGAGGGGTTTCGGGCCCTAGGAGTGTTCCTTCTGGGGGTGCTGGATTGGAGTCTGCCGGTGGTTCTCGAGGGGCAACCTGCGGTCCCGGTGTCGGCGTTGTGCCGCCGCAGCAGCAGTACCCGCCGGTGTCTGCCCTTCGCCTGCTCGGCCTTCCGTCCCCTGACCCTGTGTCCGTTCCTCTCCTCTCGTCTCCTCCTCTTCCCGTTTACGGCCCTGTGTTCCCTCCGCCGGACTCGTCCCCGGCTCGTCTTCCCCCTCGCTCTCCCCTTGTGTCCCCTCCTCTGTCTCTTGACCCGACTCCTCCGTCTCACGTCTGGTCTCGCCACCCCTCCCCTGCTCGTCCTGTCTCCCCTGTCACGCGCTCTCACCCCATGTTGCTTCGTTCCCACGCGTCTCGTCCTCCCCTTCTCCCGGCCCCTCCTCCGTCCTCCCTTGTCGTTGCTCCCCCCCATCTGTCTGACTATCTTCTTGCCGCCTGTCCTCTCGTTCCTCGGGTCATTGCCTCTCTCGTTACCGACCCGTCCGTCCCGGTTTCGAGTCTTGACGCCCTTGTCGCTGCGGTCGCTGACTTTGCCTCTACCCACCGCCTTGACTACGCCACAGCTCTGGTCTCTGACCCTGCCTGTCCTCTGTCTGTCGGGGGTGCTCCAGCCCTCGGCAGTGACGTCCTGGAGGACCGCCAGTTCGAGCTTGCTTTCCTGTCCGAGGCTGCTCCCCATCTCTGTTCCATGCTGCTAGTCCCTGAGGGTGACCCAGACGCTTTCGACATCCCGACCCCTCGCACTTACGCTGAGGCGACCTCGGGACCCTGGGCCTCCCAGTGGATAGCTGCCATGGAGCAGGAGATGGCATCTTGGAGATCCACCGGCACCTTCGTCGACGCAGTTCCCCCACCTGGGGTGAACGTAGTCGATGGCCGCTGGCTCTTCAAGGTGAAGCGCCCTCCTGGAGAGCCGCCTGTGTTCAAGGCGCGCTACGTGGCTAGAGGTTTCGGTCAGCCTGAGGGGGTGGACTTCTTCCAGACCTTCGCTCCGACCCCGAAGATGACTACTCTTCGGGTTCTGCTACACCTAGCAGCTCAGCGTGACCACGAGCTTCACTCCCTTGACTTCTCCACTGCTTTCCTTCAGGGCAGCCTACACGAGCAGGTCTACCTGCGTCGCCCTCAGGGCTTTACTGGCACCTTCCCTCCTGGGACCCAGTGGCTCCTGCGGCGTCCCCTCTACGGCCTGCGGCAGGCTCCCCGTGAGTGGCACGACACGCTGCGTGCTACACTTGCTGACCTTCAGTTCTTTCCGTCCTCGGCAGACCCCTCACTCTTCGTTCGTGCTCGCCAGACTCCGTTCTACATCCTTGTGTACGTGGACGATTTGGTCTTTGCCACAGCAGATAGGGACGCACTGGCCTCCATGAAGGCGGAGCTGCTGAAGAGACACACTTGCACTGACCTTGGAGAACTGCGCCGCTACCTTGGCTTGCAGATCTCCAGGGACAGAGCAGCGCGCACCATCACCTTGACTCAATCACACTTGGTGCGCTAGGTCCTTTAGAGGTTCGGCCTTCAGTTCTCCTCTGCACAGCCCACCCCTCTGCCTCTAGCCCACAGGCTCTCCGCCCCAGTTCCTGAGGAGTCAGTAGAGCCCAGTGGTCCTTACGCAGAGCTGGTGGGTTGCCTCATATACCTGATGACTTGCACTCGCCCTGATCTCGCATACCCTCTCAGCATCCTGGCTCGCTTTGTGGCCACTGGCAAACACCGACCGCAGCACTAGTTTGCCGCTAAGAGGGTTTTGCGTTATCTTGCGAGTACATCGGGCATGGGGTTAGTGCTTGGAGGGCGCAGGCCAGTGGTCCTTACTGGACACAGAGACGCTTCGTGGGCGGATGACGCTGAGACACTCAGGTCTTCTCAGGGCTACTGCTTCAGCCTTGGTTCGTGTGTCGTCTCGTGGAGAGCTACCCGCTCCTCGTCTCTTGCCCAGTCCAGCTGTGAGGCCGAGATCTACGCTGGTGCCATGGCGGCACAGGAGCTCCGCTGGCTGACTTTCTTGCTCACTGACTTAGGTGAGCGGCCTAGCTCTGCCCCGGTCCTGTACGCTGACAACAGGGCCATGATCATCCTGTGTCAGGAGCCTCGACTTGAGGGCAGAGCGAAGCATATTCAGCTGCGATACTTCCTCCTGCGAGAGCTACAGCAGCGCCGCCAGGCTCGCGTAGTACACCTGGCCTCCGGTGCCAACACAGCTGATATCTTTACGAAGGTGCTTGCGCCTAAAGATCATCAGCGGCTCTGTGTACAGCTCGGTCTAGTTCCTGTAGCCTCTCACTTGCTAGGACCTTGACCTTGTACTGTCCTATATATCTATATGTACTCAGATTGGACTTGTGTCCTCTACCAGTGGCTGGACTAGTAGTGTCTCCCTGGTCTTGTTCTTGCCTTGCCTGTACTCCTTGTGACTGGTCTTCAGACCCTTGTCTCAGTGGCTGGACTAGTAGTGCCGCCCTGACCTGCTTGTTCAGGACCTGCTCCTATGCAGTCTAGGGGGTGTGTCAAACATGTGTATCTCTTATGTTTGCATAGACTGTATAGGGTTACCTCTTAGAGGGTACAACACTTAGATATATTCACCTGTACTCTCTCTCTCTCATTCATTATTCATTCCGTTTTGAGACCCTTGCACTAGTATGTGAGAGCAAGTGATTGACTAGAAGAAACAAGCATACAACAATATATAGGAAATAGGAAATAGAGCAGTTGTAGAATACAGTTGAAGAAACAGTTATCGAGTCGCTGTGCGGCTCGATAACTGTTCGGTTACCACCCTTGCAGTCGTAACGGTCAGTCGCAACCTCCAGTTGCGATCCTTCGAGTTCCTTCGTCCTTTCGTGTTCTTTCGTCCAACCTCCTCGTGTAACCTCCGTTGACTCGCGTACTCGATACAACATTTCTTCGATTGTAGTGTTACAATTTAGAAACGCTCAAGTCTTCGAGGTATTTCCAACAAGTCGCTCCGCGCATTTGTGAAGACGCATGGCGTGAAACACTGAAATTCAAATTGCATTTTACATAACACACGGGCACTATATTTTTCTGGGCCCAGTCGTTTTTTTAAGTGAAAATTTATATACACCATAGGGTGTTATATACGGGGGATTACGGTGAAGAGGAAAACAGTGCCATGCATGGTAGTACAGTAATAGTGCACCTACGGGAGTAGCATAGTACATTTGTATGCGGTGTGAGAGTATTGTTGGTTGTAACTTGTATCAACATGCATTGATTAGGCATGTTTGAGTTGATTGGTACTGGTAGTTTGCTACAAACAGTGCTATAGTATCAAGCAGTCTCTCCTTTCTGGTAGTGTACATGTGCAGCATCCCATCAATCTGTCTCGACAATGCATTTATTAAAAGCAATCCTATGCATCCACATCTACAGTGGTTTATAAATGTCAAAGCAACACTCAATGCCATAACTCATCTACAGTTAAAAGTCTGTAAAAAGAACGAAATAATTTAGTTTCCCCGAGGAGAGAAAACAGGCACGCCCCAGGCGCTAGGGTACAACCTCCTTTGGGAGTAAATGAAGAAGAGGCAGTGAATTCGAAGGATGAAAGCACTAGAAGAAGCGAGGTTGAGAGCAGTGTACGACATGGAGCATGAATAAGTCACCACCACCAGCAACCACAGCCATCCATCCAACCCGTTGGCGGCTAGGGGGGGCACTTGCAGAGCACTCTGCCGACGTAGAGGCTGCCGGACGTGCAGACGTAGGGGTAGTTGTACTTGTTGAAGTTGGCGCTGCTGCACTTGCAGATCTTGCAGATGATGCCGCCACATGTGTCGCCCTTCACCACCGTGTACGTGCCGTACGTGCACGACGCTCCCACGATCGGTGCCGAGTCGATGCATAGCTGGAGAGGAATGGGCGCAGGTGGAGGACATAAAAGCAACTTCAGCACGGAAGCCAAAAGCACTGCAAATAAGTCCAGGAGTGCAGTGGTAGAGCTGCTATTAAGGCAACTTTGAATTCCTCCCCTCCCCTCTCCTCCCCACCCCTCCCACAATCCCCACACCCTGCTCCCCTCTCCTCTTGCCCCACATGGCGTTGCGAGCCGTCAGCAGTGCAGATGAGCCCAGGGCTCTACTGGTACAGCTGCTTCTGTGGGACCTCAAAATCTTCCCCTTCCATTCCCCCCCCCCTCTACCCAAACACCCCTCCCTCAAGCCTCACCTCTTGCCCCACGAGGCGTTGAGAGCCGTCAGCGGTGCAGATGAGCCCGGGGTTGTACTGGTACAGTTGCGTGGCCGAAATAGGCGGGTACGAGTTGATCATCACGTCGTTGCACGTCTCCCCGGGGTTGACTGTGTAGTAATTGAGGCACGTCTGCGGCAGCGGGGCGCCCAGCTTTATGCACACCTGGGGAGGCAGAGAAGGGGGAGGGGGAGGACGGGGGGAGGCGAATGCACAGTAAGAAAGGGGAGGCCGGGGGCCGGGGGAGTGAGCCAGGGGGTAAGTAGTAGATAGGGGAGAGGCACGAGAAGGACAACGGGAGAAGAGGGGAGAAGGGGGGACGGAGGGGGGGGAGGAAGGGGGACAAGGGGGGAGGCGGCAGGTACCTGCTGTCCAGTGGTGAGTGCGTCGCAGTTGAGCCCCGGGTTGACAGTGGCGAGCTCGGCCAGGGACAGGCCAAAGGTGCTGGCAACTAGCGTGCAGGTATCGCCCTGTAGGGGAACGGCGGTGGGAGCGGTGGAGGAGAGGGGTTGTGCACATGAGCGACGGATTGAAGGTGCCAAAGCGGTTGCACATTGAGCAGAGAGGAGATGAGAGGAGGGGAGAGGAGGGGAGATGAGAGGAGAGGAAAGCAGAGGGAGAGGAAAGCAGAGGGCAGAAGAGCAGTGCAGAGCAGAGCAGGGCTCAGTGGAGGTGCAGGTGGGAGCATGCGGCGCGTACCTCGATGATGGTGTAGGGCACCACACAGCCCTCCGCCGTGGTGCTCGCATTCTTCACCACCAACACCGTGCCCGCGGGAATGGTGCTCGGACACTCAATTGCCTGGGAATCAGGTATGAGAGAGAGAGTAAGGAAAGGAGGGGGCGGGCGGGAAGGGAAGGGTGCCGAGGAAAGAGGAAGAAGGTGGGGGGGTGGGGGGGGAAGGGAAACCATGAGAGGGGCACTTGGCTGGCAGGCACTGGGGAACTTTCAAGGCGGGAGGGATTAAGTGGGATTGATGTCCCGAGCGCGACTCACATGACCAAGCAAGGCCCGAGCGGAGCAACAAAAAGTGGGCAAAGGCTGCTCTGTCTGCGAGGATTGCTTGGCCAGGGTTATGGGATTACAAAGGAGAAGGAGAGCCATGGGGTTAACGGAGGAGGAGAACGGAGGAGAACTCACGGGGTTGAGGGAGGAGAACTCCTTGTCGGACACGAGGAACGTGGAGCGCACTTGGTTGCACGTCATGTCCACCTGCAGAGTGACCTTCACTGTCACGCTGCCCGGGATGCAGGTGGGTGATGTGTCGGTGCGCTGCCCGAGCACGTAGCCCGGCGAGCACAGGCACGAGTAGCCGCCCTTGCCGTCGTCCACGCACGTGCCGTGGCCGCAGGGGTTGAGCGCAGAGAAAGAGCACACATTAGCTGGGGTGGTGGTGGAGGGTGGAGGGTGGGAGAAGGGAGGGACGAGGGTGTAAGACTAGCGCAGGGGAGATAGCAGAGAAAGAGAGAAGGCCGTGGCTGAATTTGAGGGGACGAGGCACGGGGGGTGGGTAGGGAGGGGCGGTGGGCGGGCACGGGCATGGGCACGGGCGGAGGGCGGAGAGCGCGGATCCAAGGTTAACTGTTCCGTGCCAAGTGACCGACCCCTTCACATAGCAAAGAGAAATGAGCGACGGGAAATGTTAGAACTCACACACTCTGCGCAGGCTTGTGATGGCTTGTCCAGGCGTGTCAAGGCTTGTTGTGAAGGCACGTACCGACGGCGCAGGTCTGCGTCTTGTCGAGGTTGGTGACAGCAGTGAAGCCAGAGGGGCACGTGCACTTGTTGCGCGCACCGCCATTCTGCCTGGACTTCACAGGCGTGCACGTGCCGCTGCCACATGGGTTGATGGGCCCACACGGGTCCGGTGCTGAGGGAGAGAGAGAGAGAGAGCAGGCAGAGAGGGAACAGGAAGAAGGGTCAGGGGGAGTGGGGGATTGAATAAGAAACAAAGTTGCCCAAGGGTAGAGACCAGGGCAGGGGAGTATTTCCAACTGAGACGTCTTAAAAAGTCACTCCATGTGCATGTCATCTCATCCCATCTCATTTCATCTCATCTCATCTCATCTCATCTCATCTCATCCCATCTCATCCCATCTCATCTCCCATCTCCTCTCAGGCATCATACTTGAAAGAACGGGGTAGAGCCCCGGCAGCGTGTTCATTCCGCAGATGCCCGGGCCGCCCGCAATGGCGATCTTCATGTAGCCATTCTCGCCCCACGAGGGACCCCAGGAGTTGCGGATGATCCAGTGGGGCGTGGCGTCGAGCAGGTTAAAGCCCACCACCACCACCAGGTGGTCCACCACTTGCGTGGTGAAGCACGCAGGGTCGTTGTACACGAATCCCTGGCAGGTAAGGAAGAAGCAATCAACAAAAAAACACGAGAGGCCGAGACAGGTGGGAGCATATGAGCCAAGGCCATTGACAGGTTGGAAAATGCATGCATGCATGCATGCATACGTGAGAGAACCTACCGATTCAGTGAACCCAGAACAGCCCACACAGAGCAACGCACAGAGGCAACACACACAACGTGCTCCTGAGTCCGGCTGGCACGTACCCCGGTGAACTTGATGAACGAGTCCTCCCGGGCCTCCAGGTACACCACCACGGGCTGGGCCTGCACGGCAATGGCGATGCCCAGCCACCCGCGGATCTGCACCTGCTCGAACATGGCAATCGGGTACGGCTCTCCAGGCATCTCATAGCTGCCCCCGCTCACGCTCCCGCTCCACCCCTTGCCCCAGAACAGGCTCGAGCCCCACGAATTGGCACGCAGCCGGCGGCCGCCAGCCAGCAGTGACGACGCGGTGTCAGTGGCACTGCTGCTGCTGCTGCTCTTGTCTTCAGAGGAGATTAAAGACCTTCTTAGGACCTTGCAGGTGTCGGAGCTCGGGATGCCGGTGTAAGGGTAGGAGTCGGAAGACGGCAGCCCGCCCGAGGCGGCAATGTAGTTGAAGGCGTCGTCAGGGCGCCCCCCGGCGCAGGTCCAGGTGCCCTGGCAGTCGATAGCCCGCTGCTCCGCCAGGCTGGGTGCCGCCGCGCCAAACACGATCGCGTACACCGCCTCCACCGCCGCCACCGGCGCAAAGATCCAGCATGCCGAGCACAGGCCTTGGTCCTTGGCGGGCTGCAGGGCGGAGGGGACGCGCGCACGCCAGTCGACCGTTGGGGTGATCTGCCACTTGGGGGAGGTGGCGTTCCCAGTGAAGCCGAGGGAGGCGTAGCGGAAGTAGCTGTTGAAGTAGGAGCCGGACACCAGGGCTGTCTGGTCCAGCTGCGCTCCACGGAACTCTGGAAAGGAGGGGGGAGGGGAGGGGTAGGGGACAGGGAAAGGTTAAGGGAGAAGGGTGAGTGAGGAGTGGGAAAGGCCATGCTGGCACTCGGATGTTTTTGGGGTTTAAAAAATAGACTCGAATCGCATTTGAAGGCAGGTAGGTAGGTGGGAAGCAGGTAGGTGTTGGAGGATACAGAGGCAGGTGGAAGGGCGAGAGGCAGGGAGGCAGGAGGCGGGAGGCGAGGCACTCACTTCTCTTGCGCAGGCTTGAGTTGTCCCAGGATCCCAATGGAGCTGCCGTGGCCATTGGGAGAGGGGAAAAGGGGGAAAGGGGGAAAGGGGGAAAGGGGGACAGGAAAAGGGGAAAGGGAAAGAGAGAGGAGTAAGGCCGCATGCCTGGGTGAGGGCATAGGGGAAGGGAGAAGGGGAGAACATAGGAGGGCACAATAAAGGGGTCATCCCTCACACCTACCAACGCACGAGGCTCAGCACACGACCCAAGGCCGAAGCAAGAGAGTGAGAGAGAGGGAAGGGGGGGGGGGGAAGAAGAGTCTGTGAGAGTAGGAGAGCGACTGGAAAGAAGTCACAAGGAAGAGGGGGAGGGGGCGAGGGGGCGGGCGAGGTCACAAGGTTAAATGAAGCTGGCTGGGCACTCACGGGGAGCAGCAGGCGCAGGGTACGGAAGGCACGAGGGGTACGAGACTTGCTGGTCTTTCCCGAAGCGGATGGTGAGTGTGGCGTTGTACATGCCGGGGTTGCACATGCACGCCGGTACGTTGGACGCGCCCGTCAGCATGCACGTGCCCAGCCCGTTGCAGGGGCCCGTGGGGAGCGCCGCGCCGCAGAACGACACGCACTCGATGGGCCGGCGCTGCGGACCGATCGGGCACACGCCGCCGTTGCTTGCAGCACCGTTGCCTGCACCCCCACCAGTAGCACCGGCAGCACCAGTAGCATCGCTGCTGCTGTTGCCCCCAGAGTTCCAGTACCCGTCGCCGCTGACCCGGTTCGCCCACCGGCCGCCCCCACCGCGCTTGGACCCGCGCCAGTTGCTCTTGGAGTCGGAATCCGTGAAGCTCTCGGACTTGTTCCAGTACCCCCCCAGGAAGCAGTTCCCCTTCTGGCTCCCAAAGAAGGACGCGCCGAACACAGTCAGGTTCGCCTCGCCGTACCCGCCCTTGAGCGTGGCCGGGCAGAACTCCGAGTCCCCACCCATGTAGGCGGCGGGCGGGGTGACGAAGTAGTTGCCGCTGAGGTCGTAGGTGGCCTGGGCGTCGTCCGCCATGCCAGGGGAGAGGAAGGAGAAGATGGGCGCGCCGGAAAGCTGGTTGTTGCTCACGTCCAGGAAGAGCAGGCTGGAGAGGGACCCGAGGACGCTGGGCAGCCGCCCGTAGAAGAAGTTGCGGCTCAGGTCGCTGTTGCGGGGAGGGAGGGGAGGGGAGAGGAGGGGAGGGAGGGGGGGGAAGGGGAGGGGAGGGGGGGGGAATGGAGGAAAGGGAGGGAGGGTGGGGTGGAGAAAGAGGGGAGAGGGGGCGAGAAGGGGGAGGCATGGAAGAAGGAAAAGGGGGGGAAAGGGGGATAGCATTGAGACGAGATGAGTGGAAAGAGAGGGTGGGGAGAAGGTGGCGATTGCTGACAATGTTGAAAGAAAGGATGGGCAGAGCTAGCAGAGAAAGAGACTGAAGCCGTAGCCGTGGGGCAGCCGCTAGGGGGGTTTCAAGGGAGGGCGAGGGTAGAGCAAGTACTTACAGAGCGAGCAGCGAGCGGAGGTTGGAGATTGCGACGGGGATTGTACCAGAGAGACTGTTGCCTCCTACCAGACTGGAGGGGAGGGAGGGAAGGGAGGGGGTGTGGTAGAGAGGAGGGGGGGTGAGAGAGGGGAGAGGGGGTGAAAGAGGGGAGGGGGGTGAGAGAGGGGAGGGGGGTTGGGATAGATAGAGGGACGACGAAACAAGAAGGGCGAGGAAAGTAAGGCATTGAAGCGCAATGGAAGGAAGGTTGGAAGTGGCGACAAGGGAACAGGCATGGGCAGGCGAGGGTGGGGGGTGGGGGTGGAGGAGAGAGCGTACAGGTGCTGCAGGCTGGTGAGGGAGAAAATACTGCGCGGAAGGGGGCCCGACAGCTGATTGGCTCCTAGCGCTCTGTGCGGGTACGGGGATGGGCATGGGGATGGGCATGGGGATGGGCATGGGGATGGGCATGGGGATGGGCATGGGGATGGGCATGGGGATGGGCATGGGGATGGGCATGGGGATGGGCATGGGGATGGGCATGGGGATGGGCATGGGGATGGGCATGGGGATGGGCATGGGGATGGGCATGGGGATGGGCATGGGGATGGGCATGGGGATGGGCATGGGGATGGGCATGGGGATGGGCATGGGGATGGGCATGGGGATGGGCATGGGAGAACAGAAGAGGCGGCAGGAAGGGATCAGCAGGCGGCGAGAAAGAAGGGCGCTTTCCGCAAGGAGAGGCAGAACTGGAGAAAGAAAGAAGCAGAGTGGGATGGAGTGATTCTCTAAGCTCGCGAGCGAGAGCGAGAGAAGGCTGGCTGAGGGCGTTCTCTAAGAAAGCGAGCGAGCGAGGAGCGTACAGCGTGGTGAGCAGGTTGAGCTGGCCGAAGCTGTCGGGAAGAGGCCCCGAGAGGGAGTTGGTGCTCAGGTCGCTGCAGGGGGGGACGGGGAGGAGGAAGGAGAGGAGGAGGGGAGGAGGGGAGGAAGGGAGGGAGGAGGGAATGGGGGTCAATAGAAGAAAAGGGGAAGAAAGCCGAGGGATGAAGAGGGAGCGGAGGAGAGGGGGGAGAGGGAGGAGTCTATTTTAGAGGCGTCTCAAAAGAGTCTATTCTGGAGGCGCCTCAAGAGTAGAGGGGGGAGGGCGAGGGGGAACAGGAGCTCACAGCACTCGGAGGTTGACGAGGTCAAAGATGCCCGCCGGGATGGAACCCTCCAGGAAGTTGCCGCTCAGCGACCTGTGTGCCGCAGGCAAGCAAGCGGAAACGGGGGAGCGGACGGGAAGTGCGGACGTAAAAGGTTAAAACCAGAAGAGGCGGCGGGGAGACGAGCACTGGGAGTGAGAGAAAGGCGGGAAAGCAGGAATTCTGTGGGGAAGGGAGGAGGAAGAGGAAGGGGACGGGGACGACGAAGGGGAAGAGGGGAAGGGGAGGGGAAACGGGGGAGGTGCGGGAGTGGGAGGCGAGAGTGGGAGACGGGAGTAGACGAGCCTCGGCGGGGAGTGGTTGGAGACATGGCTTGGAGAGGGAGCGTACAGGTTGGTGAGAGAGACGAGATAGCCGATGGTGGGCGGGATGGCACCCGCGAGGAGGTTGTGGTCCAGACTCCTGCTCCGCGGACAGGGGGAGGGGAAGGGGAGAAGGGGAGAAGGGGAGAAGGGGAGAATGGAAGCGCGGTGAGAGCAAGGTAACAGGAGGAATCCACGGCGAGAGAGGAAGCGGCACGACGGGAGGGGAACGAGGATGGGGGCGCAGGCACCAGGGCCGAAACAGGACGAGACGACGCGGCGCACGGCTATGCGGCGGGCGGGCGGAACGACGGCGGAACGACGGCGGAACGACGGCGGGACGGGCGGGCGCGCGGGCGCGCGGACTTACAGAGTGTCAAGCGCGGAGAGCTGAGCGATGGCGTCGGGAATCTTCTGACCGGCAAGGCCTGTGCTGTCTGTGATTATTCTGCCATGGCGGGTCGGCACGAGTGAGAGGGGGGAGGAGAGATAGGAGGCACGGTACAGGAACCTGTAAGTACGCCGCCTTAGCATGCAGCAAAAAATGGGCTCGCAAACGGGTACCCGGAACAGGATGATTCGTTAGCCGCATCAAGAAAACAAGCAGCGGGTACAGGCTAGCGATCCGGTCCCCATATAAGCTCTACTGTACGCGACTACTACCTAGAAGGATTAGTGAGTGATTGCGGAAGACTATAACTTCTTTTAGCCAATTCCCGGGCAGGTAGCCAGCTACGGAGCGAGCTAATCAGGTAGTCAAGTAGCTCATATTGGAGACAGGCTGTAGTTAAATCGTTCAGGCTGTAGTTGAATCGTACAGGCTGTAGTTAAATCGTACAGGCTGGTGACTTGGCCCATGGCGTTGCACGTGAGTCCTTGCCATTGCGCGCAGCTCGTCTTATTGAACCACGTGTCGCCCAGCGGAATGTACGGCCCCCACGCGTCCAGGATGGCCCCGAGCGCGGGTACTGCGCCGGGGGGCGGGGAAGGGGGGGGAAGGGGGGGAAGGGGGGGAAGGGGGGGAAGGGGGGGAAGGGGGGAAGGGGGGAAGGGGGGAAGGGGGGAAGGGGGGGAAGGGGGGGAAGGGGGGGAAGGGTGAGAGGGGTGGAAATGCGTGAATAATTGGGAGAGCAGTGGGAGAGGAGAAAATCATGAGGCTGCAACGGCTTGCACGATGCAAGATCGTGGCAGCGAGAGACTGGCGTAAATAGAAGGCGCGAGAATCAGATGGGACGGGATGGGGTTATGATAACTTTTTACGATATGAGGGTGGGAGGCTCACATTGGCTTTCCGCGACGCGCTGTGCGCAAGCGAGGGGGAGCAGGAGGAGGAGGAGAAAGGAGAGGCGGAGAGGGAGGGCGGTTAGGGAGTGCCGCAGACTGGTGCAGGGCCTGCTATGGGGCCCCATGACGGGGTGCGGTCTACCGCGTTGATATCGTGCTGGCCTTGTGCTCGCAGCAGCGGCGGCGTAGGCGGCAGCGGCGGCTGCAGCTGCTACCAGGGTGGATTGTGAGAGTGTGTTTGGAGTAGACTAGTTGGCACCCTTTAGGCGACGGGCGCCACGAGGTACCGACCGAGGCGCGGACGAAGGTAGAATTGATGAGTTTGACAAGAATTAACGATGAAGGCGCTGCGAAGGAAGGATCGAGGCCAGGGTACGAAGGCTTTTTAGGACAGACAACCACCAAAAAGACGAATGTCGTACAGCAGGTCCTTGTTCTGTAGTGTCGTGAAACAATGCGCTCGGCAGGATAGGTCAGGGGAGGGGGAGAAGTTGCTTCATCGTTGGAATTAGGGAAGTGGGTCGATTCAACTTCTCGAATTTGTGGTCGTGTTCCGTGGAACTGAGTTTCAGCGAGCACGAATTGGGACGGCAGTGGGGGCGAGGAGGGAGGGGGAGGTGGGTGGGTGGGTGGATGGCATTGCTGCTGCTGGTTGCAGTGTTTTTGCCCCCACAACTCAACTCGTCTTCGTCAGCTTCGTTTCATCTTTGCAAGGCTGACACGTGTGAGAGGCTGTCACGGGGCTCGCGAAAATCTGTCGTATCTCCGCCAGCCCACTGTTGTCTGATACGATACGGCTTCCCCACGTCGCCAGTGTGTGCAGCCCCAGGGAAAATTTTCCGATCTCCGCTCCGCGCCTCTCCGCGCGCCACCCTAAGACCCAGGTGAATACAGTAACACCCTGCTCCGGCGACACTACTGTACCGGGATGCGCAGGGTTCTCCACAGGCGCAAAATGAGCAGGCGCAGGCGTTTTTCCTGTCACTTGGGTCACGCAAAGCAAACAAATCCTCGATAAGTGCTCGCAAATAAGACAACCGAGTGGTCTGCTGCTCAGCTCCAACACAACAACCACCCACCAACCGCTTCTCACCTACCACCATGTGCCCATGTTCTGTTTCACTAACGGTGGCTCGGCTTGCAGTAACGGGCGCAAGGTGGTCCAGTTTCCCTCAGTGCCAGGAAGAGATTTGGTTTGGTTTGGTTTGGTGGTTTCCTCCCTCACCCAGTCTGCTCTGCCTGCACTCCCTGCCGCAACCTTGCCTTATTGCACCTCAACGCACGAATGACTGTTCACCTCTCGTGTTTAGGCAATTGAAACAAACTTTCTGGGCAGCTGGACACATTCCTCCTCCATACGCTGAATCCTCCACCCTCACGGCTTCGCGTGGTTGGCTGTACATGCCAGCCCAGGAGAAATCGGCGTTCTCAATTCTGGTTGGATGGATTGGAACAGATTCAGAATCTGAACTGGACAGTTGGACAGGGTGGCTCTGGACTACAGTGCAATGCTGCTGCATAACTGCCACACCGATCGATACACCATCCCTTATGTAATAACCTCCTTCAATTCAAGAGGAAAACGACTAAATCTTAAAATCCATTGCTTGCAAGCCTATAAATTACACATGGGAAAGCATCCCATGAAGTTACCCAAGGAGCAACCTAGCAAAAAATGGAAAAAAAAAATAAAAATGAACAAAGCGAATGAGGGCATCAATCCAAGCCCTGAGGGCTAACTCCTTGATCGCTGAAGTATGATCAAGGCTTCGGACGACAAAGAACCTTCCCCACATAAAGTGTTGAGCTGGAGCATTTGAAGCCCGGGTTGTGGGCGTACAAAGTGCTGTAGGAGCACCTAAACACCTTGCACACTACACTTGCGCACGTGTCGCCGCGCACCACTGTGTAGGATCCATAGGAGCATCTCACAGCGCCGACAACAGTAGCATCCACACATACCTGTGCTCATCAGACAATTGGAGGGAGATTAGAGGGCCAGGAGAGGCAGGAGGATTAGGAAGGAACAGGTGCTTGGACATGTAGGTACAAGAGAGTGCATGCAAGCAAGAGGGCGCTGGGCCGCGGGCGGCATCACAGGCAGATAGCAGTACGTACAGCAGATGGCACGCAACAGATGAGTGCTCATGAGGAAGGGGATGAAGTACCTCTTGACCCATAAGCCGTTGCGAGGTGTCAGCAGTGCAGATGATCCCAGGGTTGTACTGGTAGAGCTGGGATGCTGTGATAGGCGGGTACGTGTTGATCATCACATCGTTGCACGTCTCCCCGGGGTTGACCGTGTAGTAATTCAGGCAGCTCTGCGCCTGCGGCGTGCCGGACCTGATGCATACCTGCGCAGTCAAAAGCGGAACATGCACACATAAGGACCGGACATATGCACGTTAGGAAAAGGAAGGGTGGGGGTTGAGGGGGTGCAACGGCAGGGGGGAAGGGGAGAGGAGTATGTGAGCAGGAGAAGCAGGTGTGGTGGAAGTATGATATTTAGCAGAGGCATCATGTTAGTGTTTGCATGAGTCGAGTGTGCCTTTCCAGCAGACTGACCTGTTGACCCACTGCCAGTATCCCGCAGTCCAGGTCCGGGTTGGTTGTGTTGAGGTCGTTCAGTGTGACGTTGAACATGGTCATTATGGTCGTGCATGTGTCACCCTGCGAGAGCAAAAAGGAGAAGGGGGAAGGAGGAGAGGGGGTGGGGGGGAACGCAATGCAGGCTAGGTGGAATGAGGAAATGAGGGGGGGCGGGAAAACACTGGAAGCACGAGGGACCATTATAGAGGGGAGAGTTAGGTCACTTAGCTGCGTAGTAGCACTGCAACAGCGCCCACCTGAGCAACAGTGCCCACCTTAGAAACAGTACCCACCTGAGCAACAGTGTAGGGTACGATGCAGCCGGTGACATTGGCGCTGGTCTGCGTGGCGTTGCGAGTGACAATGACCGTGCCGGGGGGGAAGGTGCCTGCGCACTTGAGTGACTGGCGGGAGGAGCGAGCACACAGGGGGCGCCATGGACGAACATGAAGGGATCGTTACTCAGCAGCAAGCAGAGAGTGGCAAACGTTACTCCAAGGCAGCACATCGGCAGCAGAACATGACAGAGGAAAGAAAGGGAGGAGTACAAGAAGGGCGGGCGAGGGACCAGAGGGGAGCGAAACACGCAATGTGAGAGGGAGAGAAAGACGCGGCCGTACGGTTGAGAGCGTACCGGGTTGAGAGCTTGGAAAGTCCGCTTGGAGAGGAGATACGTGGAGCGCACTTGGCTGCACGTCATGGCTGCCTGCAGAGTGACCTTCACTGACTCGTCGCCCGGGATGCACGTGGCAGAGCCGTCGGTGAGCGAGCCGAGGATGTAGCCGGGCGAGCAGAGGCAGGAGTAGCCGCCCTTGTTGTCGTCGATGCACGTGCCAAAGCCACATGGATTCCTGGCGAAAAACGCACACACCTTGGCTGCACGGGAGAGGGGAAGGGGGGGGGGGGGGGGGGGGGGGGGGGGGGGGGGGGGGGGGGGTTTGATGGGGTGAAGGGACAGACAGGTGAGCAGCAGCAGCAGAGCATGAGGAGAGACGGGAGACGGACAAAATGAGCAAGTAGGAGGAGGGGCAGTTCAGAACAGGTATGCTGAGTGGCAGCAGACGGAAAGAGGACAAGGTAAGACAAGGTAGGACAGGGTACAACAATGTTCCGTACCTAAAGCACAGGTCTGGGATTGGTCAAGGTTGGTGACGGGAACAAAGTTAGCAGGGCAGGTGCACTTGTTGCGCTGGTTCTTGTTGCCCGGGATAGCGGTGCACACACCCCCCCCGCAGGGGTTGATGGGCTTGCAGGGGTCGGGCGAGACGATGGAGGGGTAGAGCCCCGGCAGCGTGTTCATTCCACAGATGCCCGGGCCGCCCGCAATGGCGATCTTCATGTAGCCATTCTCGCCCCACGAGGGACCCCAGGAGTTGCGGATGATCCAGTGGGGCGTGGCGTCCAGCAGGTTAAAGCCCACCACCACCACCAGGTGGTCCACCAGCCGCGTGGAATAGCAGTTGGGGTCCGCATACACGTAGCCCTGGGAAGGATGAGACAAGGAGGAGAGCAGAGGGAGATGAGGGGGAGACGAAGAATTAAGGACACTACACTCACAACTGAGAAAACGTTGCTACGTGCCACACTATGCTCACAACTGAGAGGGCACAATCAGGACTCAAAGAGTACACCAGAACAGGGGAAAAGAAAATATAACAAGAACAAAAAAAGCCAAAACAAGAACACGAGCCCGAACTTACCCCGGTGTAGTTCATAAAGCTATCAGCCCGCGCCTCGATGTAGACGACGACGGGCTGCTGCTGCACGGCAATGGCGAGGCCAAGCCACCCGCTGATGCCCACGCGCTCAAACATCGACACCGTGTACGCCGTGCTCGGCATCGGGACCACCACAGGCGCTTTTGCGGCAGTAGTCCAAGAGGAAGGCAGAAGCAGACGGTCAAGCGTGTGCTTGAAAGTGTTGGTGTTGGTGTTGGTGTCGGTGCTGCTGAGCTCAGGGAGGAGTCGGCGGTGGGTAGTCGAGAGCAGCCGCTTGCGAGTGACCTTGCAGGTGGCGTTGTTGGCGACGCCGGTGAAGGGGTAGGCAGTGGAGTTGGGCAGCCCACCCGAGGCAGCGATGTAGTTGAAGGCGTCGTCGGGGCGCCCCCCGGCGCAGGTCCAGGTGCCCTGGCAGTCGATAGCCCGCTGCTCCGCCAGGCTGGGCGCCGCCGCGCCAAACACGATCGCGTACACCGCCTCCACCGCCGCCACTGGCGCAAAGATCCAGCACGCCGCTGCAGGGGAGGGAAAGGGTGCGAGGCACAAGCAACGTCAGTTGGGAGGAACCACAGGAGACCTCCTTTCTAGCACTGTCTTTGAGAGCAATTGCCAAGAGCAAACATGACAAAGCGGTGGAAGCTCTGGAAGAAGCAAGCAGTGGCAGTGAACGCAGATGGCTGGGTCACTGACCGCACAAGCCCTGGTCCTTGGCTGGCGAGAGAGCAGTGGGGATGCGAGTGCGCCAGTCGATGGTCGGGGTGATGTTCCACTTGGGGCTAGTGTAGTTGCCGATGAAGCCCAGCGACGCGTAGCGGAAGTACGTGTTGTAGTAGGACCCGCGCACCACTGCCGTGTCGTCCAGCTCGGCGCCTCGGAACTCTGAGACGGGAGATGCATGGAGAGGGGAGGGGAGAGGAGGGGGGGTAGGGAAAAGCGGGTTATGAGTACCATGGCGCTGGGAGACGAACACAGCTGAAAGCAAGGGCTTGCAGCACCAGCAGGGCGGGAGAAGCGGGGTATTCTGAGGATTAGTGCGGCAAGCAATAGTGCAGGGCGAAGCGCAGGTCACGAGCAGCAGCGGTGCTCACCTCGCCTTCGCCACGTGTTGGCGTCGGGAGGAGGTGGTGGCGCTGGTGGGAGGAGACACGGAGAACAGGGAATTGAGAAGGGAACACAGGGAGGCCGGATTGAGGCGACGACGCCAAGTCATGGGGAATGTAGAGGCTTGTGAGAAATCTTCGTGGAAGGTGCAAGCACAAGGATGAGAGGTGGAATGTTCGTGAGATGAGGAATGTGTGTGAGAAGGAATGTGAGTGAGGAGGAATGTGGGAGATGAGGCATGTATGGCAGGACAGGAAGACTCACGAGGCGGGGCAGGGCCGGCGTTGGGCGAGCAGGAGGGGTAGGTGACCTGCTCCCGGCCCACTTGGATGGTGAGCTGCACGGCGAACATGCCGGCGTTGCAGGCGCAGGTGGGGGTGTTGGAGGGGGACGCCAGGAAGCACGTGCCCAGGCCACCACAGGGGCCCGACGGCAGCGCCGCGCCGCAGAACGCCACGCACTCGATGGCGCGCCGCTGCGCCCCCACCGCGCACCCCGTGCCCGCACTCGCGCTGCCGCCACTGCTGCCGCTGCTTCCGGTGCTGCCAGTGCTGCCAGTGGTGCCGGTGCTCTTCCCAGAGGAGGAGGAGGAGGAGGAGGATGACGACGAGGAGGAGGAGGACCAGGAGGAGTAGCTACTGGAGCTGTAACCCTTGTTCCCATGGCTCTTACTGATCAAGCTGCGGCCACTCAACACGCTGCTCCCACTGCTCCCACTGCTCCCACCGCTCCCAACCGTAGGAGAGTAGTAGGAAGAGGAGGAGGACTTGAGCTTCTTGCGCTCGTCAAGCGACTTGCCGCCTTCCGACTTCCACCCTCCCTTCCTCTTGTCCTCTGTGAAACTCTGAGTAGTGTTCCAGCTGCCAGCCAGGAAGCAGTTGCCCTTCTGGGAGCTGTAGGGCGAGGCGCCGAACACGAGCAGGGAGGACGCGGCGTACCCGCCTTGCAGGGAGGTCGGGCAGAAGGGGAGGGGGGCCCCGCTGGGCCCGGCGGAGAAGGAGGAGACGTTGGCGGTGAGGAAGTTGCCGGAGAGGTCGAGCGCTGCGAGGGACGTGTTGGCCATGGCGGGCGACGCGAAGGACGCAATGGGCGCCCCGCTGAGCTGGTTCTCGCTCACGTCGCTGCGGAAGTTGGGGGGGGGAGGAGGGAGGAGAGGGGAAGGGAGAGCGGACGGACTGAGCTTGAGTGCAAGCTCATGCGAGGAGTGGTTGGGCGCCATCGGATAAGCGGGGAGTGCAAGTTGGAGAATGCAGAAGGCGGAGGTGAGAGAAAGCGCGGAGGTGCATGCAGGTGTTGGCGCGCTTACAGGTGCACAAGGGCTGTGAAGGCACCGAGGGCGGCGGGCATGCGACCATAGAACTTGTTGCGGCTGATGTCACTGCCACGAGGGGAGCCGGGGGACACGAGAGAGGGGGGGGGAGTGAGCGAGTGATTGAGAGGAGGAGCAGGAGAGCATGAGACGAGAGTGCAATGCACTCGCACATGCATGTGCGAGAATGTGTGCGGCATGCATGCATCTGCGCTCGTGCATGTGTATACGGAGTCGTCAGCGGCCGTCAGCAGCTTACAGTGCGAGCAGCGACTTCCACGCGCTGATGCCCTCTGGCAGCACGGACGCCAGGGAGTTGCCGCCGATCAGACTGCCCATGGGGGGAGAGGGGCGAAAGGGGCGAGGGAGGGAGGGGAAGCGGGGAAGAGGCGGCGGGGAGGAGAGGAGAAGGGGGGTCGGAGGGGAGGAGTGAGCGAGGTGAAAAGGGGAGTGAGGGCAAGCAGACGAGGAGGGGATCAAGGGCATGCGAACAGCTAGGCAAGGGGCAGGTGGCAGTTGGAGGGAGCAGAGTGGGGAGGCATGAGCCATGCAGTGCCTTTTTAAGAATTCTCAAGGATACCAGTTACAGGCAGGCGGCGGCAGTTACATGTTCTGGAGGGCGGAGAGCGTGAGGAGCGAGGCAGGGATGGAGCCGGTCAGCCGGTTGTTGCCCAGCGCTCTGCGGACAGGCAGAGAGGGGGAAGAGGGGGAAGAGGGGGGAGAGGGGGAAGAGGGGGAGAGGGGGAAGAGGGGGAAGAGGGGGAAGAGGGGAAGAGGGGGAAGAGGGGGGAGAGGGGGAAGAGGATATAGATGGAGGTACGAACGGGAAACGCTCAGGTTGAAGCGAAGGCAGAGGGGGGGGGAGGGGGGGGAAGAGGCAGAGCGACTGTTTCAGGCATTGCACATCGCATTGGACGGACGAGCACGGACGAGCAACGGGTGGCCAGGCGATGGATAGGGTGCAATGCAGTGCAGTGCAGTGCAGTGCAGGCAGTGCGGTGCGGTGCGGGTGCAGTCCAGTGGTGGCGTACAGCGTGGAGAGCACGGAGAGGGGGGCGAAGCTGTCGGGGATGGGCCCTGTCAGGTAGTTGCTGCTCAGGTCGCTGGTGGGGCCACAGAGGGAGGGCAGGAAGAGGGGGAGAGAATAGGGAGGGAGGTTGGAGGAGAGCAGAGTAAGGGCGAGAGAGGAGATGAGGGCGTGCAGCACGGCACAGCACACGAGACAAAGGCACAGCAGCAAAGCAGTTCACGATGGCGGCGTTGAGGCGTCAGCTTTCTCACGAGACGAAGGGGGGAGCTCACGCGGGGGGTGCAACAGTTGAGGGCAACTCTATCGCCGGCGAAACCTCAAACTCGGACTGGATAGTACGTGCGTGCTCGTCGCGGATTGAAGCACGCGGGGGGCGGAAGGGAGGGCGGAAGGGGGGGCGGAAGGGGGACGTACAGCACGCGGAGATTGACGAGGTTGGAGATGCCGGCGGGAATGCTGCCCTGCAACCCGTTGCCGCTCAACGTCCTGCCGTGGTTTCGGGAGGGGGAGAAACAAGGGGCGGTGAGGCGGAGAGAGGGGAGGGGAACGGAGTGGAAAGGCAGGACGGGGAAGAGTGGGAGAAGAGGAGAGGCGGCGTGCACGCTTCACTTCAACGAAGGATAGTAGAGCTCGAAGAACAGGATTGGATGGGGGAAAGGACGGGAGCGGCGAGGACGGGAGAGGCTGAGCGGCGTACAGGTTGGTGAGGGCGGAGAGGTATCCGATATTGGACGGCACACTGCCCACCAGGAGATTGCGATTCAAACTCCTGCGCGCGGGGAACGGGAGGGGAGAGGCGCGCAGAGAGGAGAAGGGGGCCGGGAATAGAAGGGGAACGGAGAAGGGGAGGGGAGCGGAGCGGGATAGAATGAAGAGCGGGGGAGCGGAGGGTAGGAGAGGAGAGCTCGTCATCTGGACAGAGACAGCAGTAGCTTCACCCGGCACGTTAAGACCTCCTGCGGACTCCTCCTCGGGCAAACGAGGCTACTATTCGCCTTCATGCTGCCAATGCCTGCATTCGCCTTGCTAGACCCGCCCTTGTCGCCCGTATCGCCCTTGTCGCCCTTGTCGCCCTTGTCGATTAGTACGTGCAATCATCCCTTGGCGAACTCTCCGTCGTGCATCCCCTCCTCACCCTGCCCTACCCGTTCCCCCCGCCCTCCCCCGGTCTATAAGCCCGCGCAACCGCTCACGCGCACGCTCATGGGCGCCCGTTCGAGCGCATATTCCCCCAAGAGAGTGCTCCCGCGGCTTACAATCGTTGCAGCGCGCCGAGCTGGGTGATGGCGGCGGGAACGCTCTGCCCGATCAACTGACGGCGGCCGGAAAACTCTCTGCAGCAGAATTCGTTAGGGGGGAGAGGTGGACGGGACGTGGGGGAAGGGCATTGGGGGGTGAGGAAGCCGCCGAAGGGAGAGATGAGCGCGCGGAAGGCAAGCGCGGAAGGCAAGCGCGGAGGGCCAGAGGAGACATCGCGGGTGGTTAGTAAAACGCAAGAGGGAGGTGAGGGAGGCGCACAGGGAGGTGACTTGGCCCATGGCGTTGCAGGCGAGCCCCTGCCATTGCGCGCAGGTCGGCGCGACGAACCACGTGGCGTTCAGATTGAGAGCCGCGCCCCACACCTCCATCACCGCCGCCAGCGCCGGGCCTGGCGGCGCGGTAAGGACAAGGGGGTGGAGAGTCGGGAAGGGGGAAGCGGGGTGGAGGTGGAGAATGGTGGAAGATGAGCGAAGGGGGTTGACGGGGGAGAGGAGGGGGGAGAGATATTCGGTGCAAAAAAGGCGCGGAGATGCGGCGGAGTGTGCGGGAGATGTTGCTAGGTGCGCGCAAGCTGATCTACAAGCCCCTACTGGGCAAAGCTATCAATAAGACTCTAGGGAAACGCGCAAAAGGGGGTCGCGGAAGTCGATAACAACGACAACAACGAGGATCCCTAAACCGGGCCGACTGGGAGAACAGAGAGTCTGGATCGGGGGAGTAGTGACATGGCAAAGCCGGATGCTTCTTCTCACGTTGACTATCGGCAACTGCTTGCGCGTTAGCGGAGGGGAGTGGGCATGGCAAGCAGGAGCTCCACGCGACGAGCAGCGCGAGCACTGGGACTGGTGAGTTAAGGCACCGCGTGGACCGCCGTTGGCCATGGCGATTAGTTGGCGCTCGATGCGGTATTAGTGTGGGGCGATGCAATCCCATTTTGGGCGATCGAGCGGTGGAGAATGGTGGATTGACGAGGAATGGCAACGTGTATGGTGTGAGGTTAATAGTATTAAGGTCTCTTAGTCGGAATGGGGAGGTCAAGAAGTACTAGCCGCCAGTAGGGGAAGTCGCGATTCCGAGGCCCTGACTGCAAGAGTAGTATTACTACACAATTTTAAAAAAGTTACAAACAGCAATATCATCGGTGTACGGCCAGGTGAATGTGCCGCCTAATGGGAGGCGTAGCGTGAAGATTAATTTCCGGAGGGCGGTCTGCTGAAGGTGCAGGTGGATTAGTCCAGTTTGTCAGACAAGGGTTGTGCCCTTGTCCCAGTCAGAGGCCATACAGGCGCTGAAGCCTGCACGAGGAGAGTTCTGAGAGGGCAAGCTGTACGGGCGGGTGTGGTGTGGTGCGGGGAATGACGAGGAGAGGCGGGAGAGGTTGGGGGAAAGGGAGGCTGCTGAAAGCGGGGTGGGGGGGAAGGAGGGGGCATCTGCTGGAGGACTGGCTCGGTGTGGCTGGTTATTATTGGGTTTTCAGGGCACCTTGTGGCAGTGTTATCATCTGCCAGAAAAGATTTGATGGGGGTATGATACGGACCTATGGATGGTGTGCCAACAAACCGAGAGCCAATACAGGGATTTCTATTCCACGAGATAGGCCGAGGGTTGTAATTTAATTTCTGGACAACCTAGACCTCGCCAGATAAGGCGGTATTTCAAATTGGTGCTTTATTCAAAGTGTATGAAAATGTTACATACCACGAAAAGAGGGTGTTTGACACTGAGGGAGACAGGCTGTTTTGGCTGTTCCGCCATTTATGTTCCCCTGCGTCTGTAGCTGTGCTCTTGGTGTTTCCTGACGTGGCGACTGGTTACTGGAGCTGTTTTGCACTGTTTCAGCTGACGGGAGCGCAAGCGGGTGGACTTTGCGTGTTCCGCACAACCAGCGGGTGCGAGGCAAAACGGGCCGAGCCTAGGCGAGGGCAGGGTAGGGTGGTTCCATCCATTCCAGCCACGCCCCCACCCCGCTCACGAAGAGCGGGGCGAAATGTGCCTCCCTTTCCCCCACTCCATCCCCGCCCCAAGTATTGTGACAGAAATGCTTCTTTGTGGCTGTAGGGCATCCGGGCAGCCCGTAAATTACGAATTCGCCATACAGCGTACCAGTCCCTGCCATGTGACGCTGCTCTGGGGAGGATGCACGCACTGACTGCCACCAACCAGTCAAAATCGGGCATACAGAATTCTGAAAGCCAAACGAATTCTCCACATTCCGCTGGGCTGATGACAGTAGAGGCTCATCTTTCGCCGAACTGAGGAGATAACACATGCTGTTGTTTGTGGGGAAAAACAACAAAACAAGCCGAAGGTAGGTTGCCACGTCATTGCCGTGATGTCACATTTGCGACAAAACACTGCTGCCGAGCAGCACTCAGGGCCCCGCACAACTGATGTTTCAGGTGCTTTGACAGGCAAAGAATTGTGACGAGCCGCACCACCTGAACGGTTGCCTTACCGTCACTGTAGTGTGCTGTACAGAACTGCACAAGCTTGGCACTGTACTAGCCTCGGCCTGTGCTTCCCCCTGGAAGTGGGTGTGGTTGGTGAAGTACACGAATTAGTCTTTGTCATAGCCGCAGCACAACTCGAAATGTGCCGTATCATTGCGAAGTGTAGAATTTGTTGAATTATAAACGAATATAATACAAATAGCACAAACGAATTAATAAAATGGGGGCCTCCATCTACATCAGCGATTAATTTAGAGTGGCTTTGGCTTGCAGAGAACCTTTCCTACATACAGGGTCGATGATGAGCACACGAACCCCGGGTTGTAATTGTACATCAACGAGTACGAGCATCTGAACACTTTGCACGCCACACCCCCGCATGTGTCGCCAGAAACCACGGTGTAGTATCCATACGCACAATATAGTGCACCAACAACGGGGGATGCATCCACACAAACCTGCAACATAATCAAAATTGGAAGACACTGGGTGTTACAAATGATCTTCCTCTCTAATGGAACTGCAAAACTGAAGGAACCCAACAAACCAACCAACTTATGCAGGTATTTGCGGATTTTGCAAACACACATATTTAGGTCTTACTTACATCTTGCCCGATGAGTCGTTGAGAATCCGCTGAGCAGATAATCCCAGGGTTGTACTGATAGAGTTGCGCTGCAGAGATTGGTGGATATGTGTTGACCATGACGTCACTGCAGGTTTCCCCTGGATTGACCGTGTAATAACTCAAGCAGCCTTGCGCTTCAGGGGTACCAGATTTTATGCAGATCTGCAGAAGCAAAGAGGCACACCAAGAATCCCTTGAGTCACTGGATTCCGAACACCATGGCAATCGTTTTGACAAGCATGTGATAAACTGTGCAGCACCCCACAAACGCGCATGCACGTGGACACACCTCCAGAGCACAAGCCTACCCAAGAGCATGCACCAGGAAAGCAAATAAACAAACAAAGTGGTTACACATACTAAGCAGTAAATGAGTCAATTAAAACAAAGAAACTCCTCACCAGCTGTCCAGAGACGAGAGCAGCGCAGTCTAGCTCAGGATTGACAGCTGCAAGGTCGGCAGTGGTGAGGTTGAAAATGGTGGCGATGCCGGCGCAAGTGTCTCCGGCCACAATGGTGTACGGCACGATGCATGCCGATCCGTTCACTGTGGAGTTCTTGGTCACTACCACCGTGCCTGCTGGGTACGTGCCCGGACACTTGAGCGACTGCGAGTAGGATGGAGGGAGGGGAGGTGGCGGAGGGGAGGAAGATGGAAGGACGCAACAGAGGATGATTTCCAGGTAGTGGAAGATGCAGTACTGCTGATGTTCTAGAAGCGATTAGGAAGGAGGAGCTCAAAGAAGCGAGAAGCAATTAGGAAGGAGGAGCTCAAAGAGGAAACGACGAGGGCGGGTAAGTTGGGTGCGTACGGGGTTGAGCTTGGTGAAGTTGGCCTTGGAGAGCAAGAATGTGGAGCGGATCTGGTTGCATGACATGTCGGCTGGCAGCGTCACCTTCACAGACGAGGCACCTGCACGGATTACGGATTGAGTAAAGTGCGCACGGAGGAAGGGAGGAGGAGGGGAGCAGGGGAGCATTGGTAAGGGTGGTGCATCAGCAAGTTGCTGGTGCCTTCGGTGAGAGCTGGCTCAAGCGATGCACAATGATGCACGAGGGAACTACGAGACCGGAAGCACCGTTGCATGAGAGAGCAAGGGCACAAACGCATGGACACATGCACACACCCGCACACAGACCACCAAGCAAGCACCATCACAATCTTCAATACACGCCCCACACTCCAGCAAAAACTGAGTGTCGGAGGTCCTCACCTGGGATGCACGTGGCAGAGCCGTCGGTGAGCGCGCCGAGGATGTAGCCGGGCGAGCAGAGGCAAGAGTAGCCGCCCTTGTTGTCGTCAACGCATGTGCCGAAGCCACACGGATTCATGGCGAAGAACGCACACACCTTGGCTGCAGGAGAGGGGCGGGGCGGGGGGGGGGGGGGGGGGAGGGGGGGGGGAAAGGGGGGGGGAAGGGGACCGGGGAAAGCAGATGAAGCATGAGTCCCAGGTTTGACTATCGAGCAACAGGTGGTGACTATAGAGTCGCCCAGCTGCTGATCTGATGGCAACTTGACAAGACATTACCTGCTCCTTTTCTCACAGAATCTGTTCTTACCATGTTACCTTACCATGCACCTGTTCCATCGGGCTTCCGTGGTGCTTACCAATGGCGCATGACTGTGTCAAGTCAACGTTCATAACTGCGACGAAGTTGGCAGGGCAGGTGCACTTGTTGCGCTGGTTCTTGTTGCCCGGGATAGCGGTGCACACGCCCCCCCCGCAGGGGTTGATGGGCTTGCAGGGGTCGGGCGAGACGATGGAGGGGTAGAGCCCCGGCAGCGTGTTCATTCCGCAGATGCCCGGGCCGCCCGCAATGGCGATCTTCATGTAGCCATTCTCGCCCCACGAGGGACCCCAGGAGTTGCGGATGATCCAGTGGGGCGTGGCGTCCAGCAGGTTAAAGCCCACCACCAGCACCAGGTGGTCCACCAGCCGCGTGGAATAGCAGTTCGGGTCTGAATAGACAAAGCCCTGAGAAAAGTGAAGGGGAGCCAAAAAAATGAAAAAGAGAAGGACAAAAATGTAAAATGGTGATGCTAACAGAAGGAAGAAGGCTTGCAAGACAAGGTTACACGTAATGAGGAACGATTCCTTGTACAGTTGGTATAAAGCTTCTATCCGTGAGACGTCTCAAAACACAATCTTTCTACCACGGTTTGGCGGAAGGCGAGGAACAAGCAAACTGGTCCAACCACGCACACGCAGCAGACCCTAACTGCTGGCGACGAAGGAACTCAGAACTCAGAGCTCACCCCAGAGTAGCTGACAAAGGAGAGCGCCCGCGCCTCGATGTAGACGACGACGGGCTGCTGCTGCACCGCAATGGCGAGGCCAAGCCACCCGTTGATACCCACGCGCTCAAACATCGATACTGTGTATGCCGTGCTCGGCATCGGGACGATAGCCACATCCTTCTTTGGTGCGGTCACGGCGAGCTTCGACTTGCGGGGTCTTGCCTTGAGGAGACGCGAGAGTGTGCGAGCAAGAGAGGGGAAGGAGGCAGGGAAAGGTGAGGAGACCAGGGGATTGTTGTCTTCACTGGCAGCAGCCTCTGCCGCAGCCTCTGGGTTGTAGGATTGGTGGAGAGAGAGCCTGCGGGAAAGCACGGCGCGCCGAGCGAGCCCTGCTTTGCACATGGTGCTGTTAGCAACGGCCGTGTAGGGGTACGCGGTGGAGTTGGGGAGGCCGCCCGAGGCGGCGATGTAGTTGAAGGCGTCGTCGGGGCGCCCCCCGGCGCAGGTCCAGGTGCCCTGGCAGTCAATAGCCCGCTGCTCCGCCAGGCTGGGCGCCACTGCACCAAACACGATTGCGTACACAGCCTCCACCGCCGCCACCGGCGCAAAGATCCAGCACGCCGAGCAGAAGCCCATATCTTTGGCCGGCGAGAGTGCCGCGGGGATGCGGGTGCGCCAGTCGATGGTGGGAGTGATGTTCCACTTGGGGGTTGAGGGAGTGCCGATGAAGCCCAGCGATGCGTAGCGGAAGTAGGGGTTGAAATAGGTGGAGGAGACTGTTGCGGCCTGGTCCAAGTTGGCTCCTCGGGATTCTGCAACCAGAAGCAAAGAAGCAAGGACAACGCAAGGCCAAGAAAGGGTGACTCTGTATGGGATGCAGGCGGCTAGACTGATCGGATCTAACCTGCTGCTAGGCACGAAAATGGCGGACTGGTAGACGGGAGAACCAGCCATTGGCACGAGGGTATGCATGGTGAGGTTGCAGGAAAGGAGGCATGAGAACATGGGAGCTCACCTCTTTTCCTCAGGGTGGAGTTATCTGCTGCAGGTGGTGGTGCTGGAAGGAAACACGCAGTGACGAGAGGGTGGTAGAACAGCAGAGGAGAGGAGGAACGTGAGTCGCTGGGAGATGACGGGTACGTACGCGGACAAGGCGAGAGGGTAGCAGCAGAAAACACCAAACAGACAGGTTTGAAATCCTGGGCTTGCTCTGCCACGCTTGGCACGGCTTATGAGGTTGGCTTGAAACACACTGTTAATTTCTTTCTTCGCACGGCTTACGAGGAGGAGCAGGGCCGGGGTTCGGCGAGCAGGACGGGTAAGAGACAGCAATCCTCCCCACGATGACAGTGAGCTGCACGGCCAACATGCCGGCGTTGCAGGCGCAGGTGGGGGTGTTGGAGGGGGACGCCAGGTAGCACGTGCCCAGGCCGCCACAGGGGCCCGACGGCAGCGCCGCGCCACAGAACGCCACGCACTCGATGGCACGCCGCTGCGCTCCCACCGCGCACCCCGTGCCCGCACTCGCGCTGCCGCCGCTCTGGGCTCCTGCTTTGGTGCTTACTCCGCTGCTTGCTGCTGCCGGGTTCGTGTTGCCCTTGCGCTTGTCGTCGACGAAATTCTCAGTGAGGTTCCAGTTGCCGCCCAGGAAGCAGTTGCCGCGCTGGCTGCTGGACGGGGAGACACCGTAAACGAGCAGATTGGCTGAGGCGTACCCGCCTTGAAGAGTCGACGGACAGAAGGAAAGCAGAGTTGTGGTGTTGGTGGTGGTGGTGTTGCTTCCGGTGGTGGTGTTGCTACGGATGGTGGTGTTGCTGGTGGGAGAGCTGGCTGCTGGGCTGCTGGCAGCACTCCTAGCGGAGAAGGAGGAGACGTTGGTGGTGAGGAAGTTGCCGGACAAGTCGAGCGCTGCGAGGGACGCGTTGGCCATGGCGGGTGACACGAAGGACGCAATGGGCGCCCCGCTGAGCTGGTTCTCGCTCACGTCCCTGCCAAAGGGGAGGGTGGAGGGAAGGGGGAGAGAATTGATTGGGCTTGAGGTCAAGTTCAATCCAGGATTGCTTGAGAGCAATCGGAAGAGCGAAGGGAGAGAGAAGCCGAAGAGCTTGCGTGCAAGTTCACGTGAGCTTCGGTTGAATGCAGAAGGCGGAGGGAGGAGCACAAGCGGGGAGTAGAAGAGAGGGAGCGATGGGCATTGCAAGCGACGAGGAGCCCCAAAGTAGACACGATGAGAGGAAATATACAAAGAGGAGGCGAAGAGAAGAGGGGAGGGAGGAAGAGCACGAGGTGCATGGGCAAGGCTGTGCACGCCTATCCGTGGCATGCGCGAGCATGGAGGGAGACAGAAGGGGCGCTTACAGGAAGACGAGCGAAGGCAGAGCGCCCAACGCGGCAGGCAGCCTTCCATAGAAGGAGTTGCGACTCACATCTCTGCGCGTGAGACACAGATCGGAATTCCAATGGCAGTTAGTGATTGGCATGGGAGGAAACAGTCAGGACGACTCGCATCGTATCAGGGTAGCTTGATGAATGTGCCAGGTGCCAGGGCAACCAGGGACGCCAGGAAGGTGGATGCAACATCCATCGTATGGGATGAGGGAAGAAAGGAGGGTTGATCGGCACATGACAAGAGGAGCACGTGTTTGCACAGAAAGAATGTGCGCACAGCGCAACAGAGTACGAAACGCTGTTATGGGACAAAGGTGCAACAAAGGGATGCGTTGCGTAGGTTGTGAGAGTTCTATGCGTACAGTGCAAGGAGGGAGCTGAGGCCGGCGAGGGAGTCCGGTAGAGCGGAGGAGATGCGGTTGCCGCCGATCAACCTGCGGGGGGCATGCATGAAGGAGGAGAGAGAGAGAGGGGGGGAGAGCGTGAGTGAGTCCATGCGTGTGAGTCGCCGCCACAGCTCAGGACGAAAGGGGTGCAGTTGGGATACGCACGAGAGACGATGAGAAAATAGGAGAGGAGTCGATGACGTTATGCCAAGTGCTGTAATCTCACAGGTGCTGGAGATTGGAGAGGCCAAAGAGCGATGGGGGCAGAGGGCCGGTGAGCTGGTTGGACCCGAGAGCCCTACGGTCAGAAGCAGAGAGGAGCAACACAGAGAGAGGAGCAACACAGAGAGAGGAGCAACACAGAGAGAGGAGCAACACAGAGAGAGGAGCAACACAGAGAGAGGAGCAACACAGAGAGAGGAGCAACACAGAGAGAGGAACAACACAGAGAGAGGAGCAAGACAGAGAGAAGAGCAACACAGAGAGAGGAGCAACACAGAGAGAGGAGCAACACACAGAGAGGAGCAACACAGAGAGAGGAGCAACACAGAGAGAGGAGCAACACAGAGAGAAGAGCAACACAGAGAGAGGAGCAACACAGAGAGAGGAGCAACACAGAGAGAAGAGAAACACACAGAGAGGAGCAACACAGAGAGAGGAGCAACACAGAGAGAGGAGCAAGCCACGCAGAAAGAAGAAAGACTGAGAACCATGGCTGCTGCTGAACACGGTTAAGGTGAGAGTGGCTTGTGGAACGGCGGAGGGGAAACGACTCGGAAGGATGGAGAAGGGGGAGAGGGGAGAGAAGGGGGGAGGAGGAGAAGCCAGGGAGGCCGTACAGAGTGTTGAGGAGAGTGAGAGGGGCAAAGGAGTCGGGGATGGGCCCGGTCAAGCCGTTGGTGCTGAGATCCCTGTGGGAAGCATGGGGAGGAGCAGGTGCGGAGGAGAGGGCGGTGTGAGAAGCAAGGCGAGAACGGGGCATGGCGTCACATGGCATGGCATGGGTGACGATAGCACCGAGCTGGAAAAGAAGCAAGCGTGGGGAAGGAAAAGCGCGCATGCGGCGGAGGCGTGAACCGGCTTGTGGATGCAGAAGGCATGATGAGGACACGTGGAGGGCGCGTGGAGGGCGCGTGGAGGGCGCGTGGAGGACGTACAGGACGCGCAGCTTGACGAGCGTAGAGACGGACTGTGGGATGGCGCCCTGAAGAGCGTTGCCGCTCAGCGACCTGTGGGAACGCCGCGAGGGGAGGAGAAAAGGAGAGAGAAGAGGAGAGAGAAGAGGAGAAGACTGAACGGCTAGAGCCTGAACTCAGGCTTATGGACAGTGAGAAAGACAAGACGAGTAGATGGAACGACGCACTGATCTGATGCTCCTATTCGAAGGAAGGGCAGGAGAGGCGGCGCTGCGAACACGCTTCACTTGAACAAAGGAAAATAGAGCTCGACGGAAAGGATTGGACGAGGGAAAGGACGGGAGATGCGAGGACGGCGTACAGGGAAGAGAGGGCGGAGAGGTATCCGATGTTGGACGGCACACTGCCCACCAGGAGATTGTGATCCAGACTCCTGCGCGCGGGCGGCGGAGGAAGCGGACGGGGAAGGCGCACAGAGAGGAGAAGGGGGAAGGGAGGGGAGAGGCGGTGAGGACGAGAAGGACTAAAGACGGGTAAGCGAGTCTATCTCGACTAAATGGCGGCGAGCACAGCGGCGAAACGAGACGCGCGAGGGAGGGCCGCGACAGCGGGGCACTGAGGCACACGGACTCGCGCGGACGGGGCTCAAGGAACTCACAGGCGCTGCAGCGAGGAGAGCTGAGTGATAGCGGCCGGTATGCTCTGCCCCGCCAGTCGCCGCCGGTTGGAGATCTCCCTGCACGCGATGAAACGGGGTGCGAACAGCGTGAACGAAGGCGTCAGCGAAATGAGCGGAAGGGTGAGAGACGTGAACGAGAAGTAGAGCGTCGTTCGTCGTGCGTCGTGCGACGTGCGTCGTGCGCCGTGCGTCGTGCGTCGTGCGTCGTGCGTCGTGCGTCGTGCGTATGCGTCATGCGCCGAGCGTCGTGCGTCGTGCGCCGTGCGCCGAGCGTCGTGCGTCGTGCGCCGTGCGCCGTGCGTCGTGCGTCGTGCGTCGTGCGCCGTGCGTCGTGCGCCGTGCGTCGTGCGCCGTGCGTCGTGCGCCGTGCGTCGTGCGTCCTGCGACGTGAACTGGCCAATGACTTCATCGCAGGAGGATGACACTGGCGCAAGCAGGAGGTGAGGGAGGCGCACAGGGAGGTGACTTGGCCCATGGCGTTGCAGGCGAGCCCCTGCCATTGCGCGCAGGTCGGCGCGACGAACCACGTGGCGTTCAGATTGAGAGCCGCGCCCCACACCTCCATCACCGCCGCCAGCGCCGGGCCTGGCGGCGCGGTAAGGACAAGGGGGTGGAGAGTCGGGAAGGGCGGGAGTGTGGGTTAAGAGAACAGCCGTGGCGCGACGTACTAAGTACTACTTCCACCATAGCCGAGCTCTTAAAGCCGCTTGCAGCAAAATGATGAGATTGTACTAGTAGTAGGGAGGATGACCCGATTTGGACTCAACTTGAGGATGTCTGGTTGACCCGTAACAGTTTCGGAGGGACTATCTACGGACACTAACGGACGGCTGGGATTCTCTCATGGTGCGACGCTGCATTGAAGATGCGTGGACATGAGCTTGGAGTGCCGCATTTCAAGGAGACGAGAAGTAAGCGCTAATGCGCGTGGGGATCACTCGCGGTAGCCATTACGCTACAGGCCACAAAAGACGGCGAAACGAGCAATTTGACGCTAGACGAGCGTTCCAGAAAGCTAACGTGGAGGAATGTAGGCCGATAACGGGATGGATGGATTGAATTAAGCTACCCATTGAATCGTCGTGGCTGGAAGGCCCTTTCCAGATTCTCTCAGGACTTACGTTGACTGTCTGCGACTGCTTGTGCTTTTATTCGAGGAAGAGCTACCAAAACGGCTAGGCATGCGACGAAAAGATTCGTCGAGCAGCAATGCCGGGACGTCCATGAGGGTGTGTGCGACGAATGCGACGTCGGACAGCGAGAGCGACGATGCCGCTGAGAGTCCATCATGATGTTTGTAAGCTATAACTAGGTAAATGGAGATCTCTAAGGACCTTGAAAGTGAAATGCGGGTGAATGGAACCAATCCGAAGCCAGGGAAAAGCGATTCGTGGGCCGTCGATTTAGGAAACGGCTGGCTCTGGAAACAATAGCGCTTGCGAAACTTGACCGCCTACTACAACAGAACTATGGAAGCCGTTCGTCCAGAAAGAACAGGGGAAAATCAGAGAGGGGTGTGCTTGGCTTGATTGAGTATGAAGGGTTGTCAGATGTCCTGTGCCTGGTGAACGATGAAGTGTTCCCAGATGTGGCCCACATTGCCTAAGACTGGCTTGCTGTTTCACCAAGGGTTTAGTAAGCAGAGCAGACAGCTGTGGGTGATTTGCTTGCTTCCCTAAGGAAGGACTGTAGGGGAACGAGGCCAGATCGAATGACGCAAAAATTGGCTTATAAGGCAGGGGGCAGGAGGACAGCGTGGCTGACTGGGTGCCTGGGTGTACGTGTACTGGCGCTCCCGGTCAGTGGCGTGGCGGTGCATGTGGGAAAGTAGGGGCCAAATCTCTGGTGTTCGCGAGCCTGGTCGGCGACAGGGTTTCTTGTTGGGCAGTGGGAAGGTTGGTGAGCTGTGCTGTACAATACAGCACACAGAGCGTAGGGCGTGGTGCAAGTCTGTTGGGTCGCGGGGTGCCAACGGGTGACTAACGGGCGGGATTAGAGACAATCTGGTATGGTTTCATAGCTTATCAAAATGGTTTGGTTCGGTGAAGAACTGAGGACGGCTAGGTTTGTCTGGAAGTTGCACCACACCACCAGAATTTATTTAGTGGGCTAGGCTTGAACGCTGTAAATTCATCCAATTGTCCATCCCTTGGAGGGGAAAAAAAAAAAAACTGGAAAAGCGAAGGTTTTTTAGGGCCCGTCCAAAAAGTTCAATTGGGGGTTAAGGACCCGTTTTTACGAAATCAGGTACAAAACTTGAAAACGATCCCGAAATCGTTTCCCCCAAAACCGCGCCCCACATTGCGAACAAAAATAGAGACTGGCGCCAACTGGGTGCGTAACACAAAAAAAAAAAAAAAAAAAAAAAAAAAAAACAACAACAACAACAACAAGAAGAGGCGACGAGATCGTCTTAGGGTTGCGGAGCATTTCATGATGAGACTTTATTGTACATAAAATGTTATATTTCCATATCACAACAAACATTTGATTTTTATTTCACAAACTTGAAAAAAAAAACCAGCCCGATCGATTGCAATAGGTTGCTCCGCAACCCAACAAAAAACGGTTCACCTCACACGCCCCAAATCGCAGTTACCAAATGCTGAATCTGCGAGACAGATCTGTGCTGGGCTGGTTGGTATTTGCGCTTGGGTGTTGCGCCACGCGAAGTATTTGTGAATTCGCCTTGTTGTCATCAAGCCCGACTTTGGCGAAACCCTAAATTGCCAAACGGACCCCCCGCCCTCCCCCCCCCCCCCCTCCAACCCATACGCACACCTACCGTCACCCGAAAACGGATCTAGACTGGGGTGTATGAACCCTCACATGCTTCGACTGTCCCGAGTTACGGAAAATTCGCGCACCTGTCCTCGCGAAAGCAGCGCGAGGTTAAAATCGGGTTACTTTTCACCAAAGAATAGAGTGGGCAATATTTGGACCCACCCTTAGGGTCCTTAGTCTACCTAGCTGTTGTGTGTTTCTTTCCCTACCTCAATCCTGTCCTGGGTCCAACCTTACTGGTTGTACTGTAGAAGTAATTTCCGCGATCTCGACACTAACCCTGCTTTCACACAAGGGCAGTCCATGAATTGTGGCTAGAGATGCAGAGGAGGCACCAAGAACCACACCCACGTATCACAATGAGATGAGAGGCTTGTGCATGCACCTTGTCCACACACACACACACCCACCTTCAGCCAATTTTTTACGTACACGACAAACACAAACACCAGGTGGGCCAGCAAAGGCAAACCCTCGAATTCGTTTCGGTTAAGAAGATCGAGTGTACGACATCCCCTTTCGTCCTATAAAGCTCTCATTCCTGTAAACTATCCGTCATCAATAGTCAATATCGCAGACGACTTGATTACACAAAAGTTTTGTCACAAGGGAATCGTCAAAATGTAATCCCCACAAATCTTGTGTGGGAAGATTTCGTCAGTGTCTACCAGCCACTCCTCGTCTTGCCCGTTCTTACCAAACTATCAGACATTCCTACTTTCCGCGTGTATTGTAATCGTGTCCCTGTTTCCATCGACCGACCCTAGGACGCTGCCATTCGATATCACTTGGGCCAAAAACATCACTAAATCTACAAGACTTGGTCAAGAACCCAATCCTCGGCAGCACTTAATTCTGAAAATTTTCCTCCGTAGGTCTCAATCCAATGGGAAAGTTTCATGCTGAGGTTGGGAATAAAACTCTAACCGAATGTGCCAACTGTCAAAGCCAAAGCCATGCCTTCACGCCAGCCACTCTCGGGCATGTACGTCAGCCGTTATCAGGTACTGTACATGGTGCAATCGCTTATCGGAAACTGAGTGCCTTTCGAGTCGCAGAGAGTCGAAAGCTGCGATTCGGCTGCACACAACAAACCTCCCACGTCGACAAAGCCTGGCTTGAGAATGCTGAAGTGATGTGAAATGCTCAGGTTACCGTATCTGATATGTCTGAAAGGAATTTAATTCCTTACGGGGTTGTACAGCAATCGCGTACACCCGAACTCTCGGAAGACCAGGCTCGGTTCGATTCCAAGGCAACCCCGAGGCTGGATCGCGCCGCCTCCGGGCCCTTCGAACGCGCCAATACCCAACCTAGCCCTGGTCTCGTCGCTTAGCTACAGGTCTCGCTACATCATGCTAGGCTCCCATTCTTGTACTCGTCATTATTATTCCGCGCCCTCTCAGTTATTATTCATCACAATGTCAAGGCAAGAACTTGAAAACAACCACACAACTCCCCATTAAGGGCAAGGAAATTGTAAGGAATTTTCCATTCCTTACCGAGCGGTACTGCTAGCGCGTACGCTCGAACACACTCGAAGCCTCGGGACTGTTCCAGACCTTCTGACAGAACCGCATCGGCTTCTCCAGACCTTTCGGTTCGACCTTCGGGAGTTCTCCGGGCCTCGCTTCGTCACTTCGAGACCCTTCGATCTCCTTCCTGAACCTTACCATCGCATGGTTAGACTAGCTCTGGTGTTCCTATATCTTGGCTTGCCATTCATTGTATCGTCATTCATTCACTTCGTTATTCATTTCCGCGCTACTCTGCTTGTTCATTCATAACACCTGGCATTCAGAGCCACTTTCCTCGCTCACCCGTTTTCGTGAGTTGATTTTTTTTTGGGGGGGGTGGGGGGGGGGGGGGGGGGGTGAGTCCCTCACGTAAGCTGCAAAGCGGTTGCTCGCGAATTAGACTGATTAATTCGCCCAACTACGATAGCGTTTGCGCTTACCAGAGTACAGGCACATTACGGATTTCCCCCTGCCCCGGCGAAGCATTCGCCAAATGGACCAAGCTCAGTTCAACGAGCTTCGGGAGCAGTTCAACGCCATGAACACACGCATGTGCTGGAGGACAACGAGCGACTTCGTGCGGAAGTTGCTGAGTTACGCCAGGCACGAGAGGATTCGCATAAGAAATATGCCGCCGAAGAAGAGGTCGCCAGCACCGGACGTATCGAAACCGTCTTGGACGAAATCGCACGTGAGGTGTCACAGGAGCACAAGGACAGTGAAGCCGCCGCAGCACCTGACGTGGCAGCACGAGCAGCAGCCGAAGCAGCAGCAGCAGCAGTGACAGCAGCAGCCGCTCGGTCAGAAGCAGCCGCTACTGTAGCCGCACTGGCGTTTATGCCGATCGTAACGACAACAACGATCAAACCGATAATGCCGCCCCCGTTCAACCCCACAGATAAAAATACTACTGTTACGGGCTGGTTATTTTCGGCGGAACTTTATTTCAATGCCGTTGGGATCACTGCTGACGATTTAAAAATTCGACTGGCTGTATCACTACTGCGGGGACCTGCGCTAGATTGGTGGCGACATACTCTACAGGAGGGGGAGTTTTCGGCAGGCGACACACAGGGGTTTTTAGGAAATTTTGGGTCTGCTGCCCAAGGGTCAACCGCGATTTTGGATCGACCAAGATTCGCATGTGGAAGGCGTGGGGTACAGCTTTGCGTGAACGTTTCGAGCCAATATCCGCCTCGGACAACGCACGCACGAAGCTGGACAACTGGCGCCAGTGGAGTTCTGTCCAGGATTACGCGTCGGTCTTCATGGCGTTATGCGATCAAATCACTGACATGCATGACTCCGAGAAGAAATCTCGATTCATTTCGGGTTTGAAGCAGGACATTAAATGCGAGGTCCGGCTGCGACTACCGGCGACATTTTACGAAGCCGTCCGGATCGCAGACAACTTCGACGCACATCGGACGTACGCGAGAGCGGTTTCCCGGGAGGGAAACCGTTTTCGTGGCCAGAATCCACGGCCCACGATTCATGGCGTAGTGGCGAAGGAGCACATGGAAGATTTTCGCAAGGGACAATGTTTCAACTGCCACCAGCCGGGTCACCAATCTCACGATTGCCCCCGAAAGAAGCAGATAAAGAAGAACGACGAAGGCAGGTCGGGAAACGCCAAGCGTCAGTAGCGGTCGGGCCCCCTACTGACCCTGCCTCATCGCCCGAAAAACAGCATCCCCACCGAGTAGTGGTTCCGATACATGCTATCAACCGCTCCCGGCTGAAAGAGGAGGATGACCCAGTGGACCACCCTGTACTGGCGGAAGGACGACTTCATGGAAGAAAAATAAAAATATTCATCGACGGAGGTGCGAGTCACAGCCTGATAAATCGAGAGACAGCACGACGACTACACCTGATGCTGGAGCGGTGTTTACCCGAAATCGACGCGCGATTGGTGAACGGCACCCTGCTGGCGATACGCGACAAAGTACATGTCGTTCGAATGAAGTGTGGCGAAGATTTTGGATTCAGCGCGCCGATGCTGGCGACAACGTTCGACAGCTAGGACGTGCTATTCGGACGTGTTTGGCTGCGACGACTCAACCCGCAGATCGATTGGACAACAGGCGAGTGCACAGTGAAGTGCGACAAAGGTTGGCGAAAATTACCCACGTGGCCGGAAGCAGAGACAACATCGACACGAGTCGACGCGGTGTGCCTCAATCGAGCAGTCAAGAATGGAGCGGATTTATACGCCGTCCATCTATCTGAATCGACGGAGCAGAATGAGGCGACCGACATGAACAAACTTTGCGCCTCGGTCCCGGATGACTTGGCGAAAATCATTCGGGAATATCCTGAGATTTTCCAGGACGACTTGCCAAGTGGACTGCC